AGAGATAATGGGGTTTACGAACCACCTGGAGACTGGGGGAGGGCTACCTTATAGCCATGACAATGTTTCGGACGGGAAAGACCCCCCCTCTGCAGATGGAGAAGTTTGCCCTTCGATTCAAGACCGAGGAGCTGGTGAGGACCTTAGCAGACATCTCCAACTGACAACAGTCTGAGGATGGATCAAAACATATGTGGGTGGAACACCCACAAATCCCGGCTATTATGGTGTGACCAGAAGACGATTCCCAGGGTTTTTGACGTACAACTGAGGCTGAGGAGTTTGCGGTGGCCTTCTTGGCGGCCAAGAGCGGCGACGCAGCTCCAGTTGGGGTCGACAGGACAGTTGCGGTGACCATCCCGTGGATCATAGCAAGTCTTTCAGGTTTCTTTGGGTAGATAGAATTGGATAGACTCATGTTGGTGGATGGTGTTGGATTGCCACATAAAAGGATACATGTTGGTCTAGGTGACACCCCATTCTGGCCAGCAGTAGTAGTCGTCGTCAGTGGTGGTGGTGGCCACTTATTGTTCCTGGCATCCCAACAGAAACTGCAAATGAGGGCTGACGACTGCAGAGTCAGCAAGCCACCCACTCTGTTCTGAGGCAGCCCAGTCGCAAGAAGACGAAAGGGTACAGGCCCTCTTGAAGCTATTAATAGTTGGGCATGGGTCAAGAATTTTGGTCGAATTGTATTTTTTTGACCCATACCCTGATGGTTGGTCTCATGGTTGGTGGCGATGCTGCATTTGGATCTCTCAGTCAACTTGACACCAGCCGATTGCCGCTGCTGTAGAAAGTAGCTGGTCTTTTTCGCTGCATACCAACTGATGGGGTGCATGACCACAAGATCACCGGCAGAAAGCTGCACTTTAATTGTGGGGATGGTCTATTCACCTGCCCCGGAATTTGGTTTACTTTATCTATTCCCGAAAGCTCCTGCAAAGGTTTTTTCCGAAAGAACTGCTGCCAAATTCAACTTTTCACTTCATCTACATAACATCTCCCACTTCCTCGACATCACCTACATCATCTACATCAACTTCATCTACATCACATACATCATCTACATCTCCTACATCTCTCCTATATCCTTTACATCACCTACATCATCTACATCAACTTCATCTACATCAACTTCATCTACATCACATCCATCATCTACATCTCCTACAATCTACATCACATACATAATCTACATCTCCTACATCTCCTACATCTCTCCTATATCCTTTACATCGCCTACAACATCTACATATTCATCTACATCACATGTATCATCTGCATCATTTTACACAATCTACAGGTGCTCAACGTCTACATATCTCCTATACAAACTCCTGCAATGTCATTTGCACGGAAGTTGTTGCATAGGAATTGTTTCACGGGAGTTCATACACAGGAGTTCATACACGGGAGTTGTTACACAGGAGTTGGCTTCCAGGTGATTTACTTGCATCTGAGTTCCCACAAACTCCTACTTCTCAAGTTCTTCTACAGTAAATCTCTCTCTCTTTTGGCAGCAGGGGCAGCCAGGGCGTAGCTTACGAAACGTGACCCTCTGCGGAGATCGTGCGTGTCGGACACACAAACGTGCGATGAAATGCGAACTTTTCTTGTGCCGCAGCTTCTGTTTGTCGAAGGAAGTTTAGAAGTCAAACTTCCGACAATATGGACAGATGAAAAGCAGAACAGGGAAGAGGCAGAGAGAAGAGAAAGATTAGAAGAAAGAAGAGTAGAAGAGAAAAGGTAAGAAGAAAGAAGATGCAGAGATGCGAGAAAAGGTAGGAAAGGCGCGAAACACTGTGTTTTTCCAATGATTTGGGGCTCCGGAGGGTCAAAAAGTAGGCTCGCTAAAGCGGCGGGTGCAGAGCCAGCTGGCCAGATGAGAGATGAAAAATTTGCAAGTCAAAATGTACAAAACACACCAGGTGCGGACCACTTTTGGCAGTTGAGATGCCGCAAAACGCCGTTGTGGCGCGAAGCACATTTCCAAGTCAAAATGCACAAAACACTTCAGCCTGGGACCACTTTTGAAAGTTGAGATGTCCAAAAAGTGCACGCCGTTGTGGCGCGAAGCACATTCCAAGTCAACATCTACAAAACACACCACGTTCGGACCACTTTTGGAAGTTGAGATGTCGAAAAAGTGCACGCCATTGTGGCGCGAAGCACATTTCCAAGTCAAAATGTACAAAACACTAGGGGTTCGAAGTTCGAACCACTTTTGGAGGTTCAGATGTCGAACAAGTGCACGCAGTTGTGGCGCCAACCACATTTCGAAGTCAAAATGTTAAAAACACCAGGGGTTTGGACCCCTTTTGGAGGTTCAGATGTCGCTTCGCTTCGCTTCACTACACTACACTACATTACACTACACTACACTAAATTACACTACACTACACTACATTACACTACACTACCTTCCACTACACTTCACTACATTACACTACACTACACTCCACTACACTACACTAAATTACACTACACTACACTACATTACATTACACTACACTACACTCCACTACACTACACTACATACACTACCCTACACTACCTTCCACTACACTACATTACATTACACTACACTACACTCCACTACAACTACAACTACACAACTACACTCCACTACAATACACTCCACTAAACTCCACTACACTAAATTACACTACACTACATTACACTACACTCCACTACACTGCACTACACTACATTACACTACACTACCTTCCACCACACTTCACTACATTACACTACACTACACTCCACTACACTACAACTACAACTACAACTACACAACTACACTCCACTACACTCCACTACACTAAATTACACTACACTACGCTACATTACACTACACTACACTACATTCCGCTACACTCCAGTACGCTACACTACATTACACTACACTACATTACACTGAATGACGCTGCACCACAGATAGACAGGTAGACAGATAGACAGATAGACAGACAGACAGACAGACAGATAGATAGATAGATAGATAGATAGATAGACAGATAGACAGATAGACAGATAGACAGATAGACAGATAGACAGATAGACAGATGAAAGAGAGAGAGAGAGATATAGATAGATAGATAGATAGATGGATGGATAGATAGATAGATAGATAGACAGATAGACAGACAGACAGACAGACAGACAGACAGACAGATAGATAGATAGATGGATTAGATATATTCGATAAATTAGATAGATAGATAGATAGATAGATAGGTAATTAGATAAAAGAGAGAGAGAGAGATAGATCGATAGATAGATAGATAGATACATAGAAGATAGGTTGGTAGGTAGGTAGGTGGGTAGTCAGAGAAAGAGAAAGAAAGAGAGAAGACCTCAAGCACCTTTCGGTCCATCAGTGGCTTCGCTCTGCCATTCCTGATTCACAACAACCAATCTCTCCTATAGGTTTCCTATTTTTGAAATTTCCGCCACCGCCTTGTGCGGTACTACTTGCAAAGGTGTGTGGGTGTCAAAGCTTCTATGTGTAAAAGCTTTCTGTGTAAAGGCTTCTGTGTGTAACAGCCTCTGTCTGTACAAGCTTCTGTCTGTAAAGGGGTTTGTGTGTAAACGCTCGTCTGTTGAAAAGCCCCTCTGTGTAAAAACTTCTGTGTGAAGCGCGATTCGCTGGAATCATCCCTGACCTGAATAGACGGCATGGGGGTTTGCAGATACACACATGATACACTAACTTCATTATCAATCATTATACATGGAATAATTTCCGGCTTTTCTCACCACTAGTCATTATGCATTAACAACCTCATTCATCATTCATCATCTTTTATCATCACTCATCGCCCGTCCTCTTCATATCTTCCTTTCCACCCTCTTTTGAGCTACTGCCTCCTGCTTTTCTGTCGGGCCACACTGTTGTCCAGTTGTGGCGCGGTGTACGGATTGGACGCGAAAATTCAAATTTTTAAGCGTTGGACATATGCCCCATTATGATCTACAGAGGCTTTACGCAGCGAAGATTTTACACAGAGAAGCCTTTACACAAAGCAACTTTCACACACAGAAGCATTTAAATTTAACCACAAAAACTCAAAGACAGAGAAGCTTTTACACACAGAAGCCTTGACACAGGGAAACTTGTACAAACAGAAGCTCTTACGCAGAGAAGGTTTTACACAGAGCAAGTTTTACACACACAGGCTTTTACGCACAGAAGCATTTAAACAAAGAAACCTTTAGACACAGAAGCTTTTACACAGAGAAGCTTCTACACAGAAGAGCTTTTACACACAGACGCCTGCACACAAAGGCTTTTACACACAGAAGCTTCTACACAAAGAAACTTTTACACACAGAGGCTTTTACACAGAAGATTTTACACAAAGAAACCTTTACACAGAGCAACTTTCACACACAGAAGCGTTTACACACAGAAGCCTGTACACAGAAATGCTTTTACACACACATATACATATATATAGAGAAGCTTTTACACACAGAAGCTTTCAAAGGTTTAATCCCGGCCCCCGATCATATTACCCCATCGGGCTTCCATGCAATTTGTTCATAGCCAGAAGGAGGCCACGGCAGCGTTGTTGCTGTTTCTAACAAAAAGTGACCCTGAAGAATGCCACTCCATCGTTGTCGTCGTCGACATCGTCATCATCATCAACATCATCATCAACATCATCATCATCATCATCATCATCATCGGTTGGTTTGATATGCCGCCTAACTTCTTCACTTTCCATCTTGGCCTCCTACCTTTCGTGTTCCCCCTTCTCAAGTCAGCTTTTTGCTGCGCTGACTGACTGGTGCCCTAGTTTATGTGTGAATATGAAATATCATAAATGGAATCATGATTCGCAACGGTACCCCAAACTAGGGTTGTATGCCAGTTCAAATGGGGTCATAGGTCCAATCATAAGTGGTAGGTGTCCGGCATTCCTCATTCCGCTTGCCCTTAAGTCTAGTCCACTCTTTCTGCGAAACTCGAGCTGGGGAGACTACCGTTTGATTTCAGGGTGGCCGAAACCTTTGAAATTTGTTAGTTGCGCTCACTTTAGTTTATGGATGCCTTGGTTTGCAAGTGCCTCTGAAGATTCAATGTTCGGGTGAAACAAATCTGGTTCAATTCAACGCCAAGAATTGGGATAGTGAATTAGATAGATAAATGTTGTGAAGCCAGTTGTAAAGCATGCCACATATTCCGAGGGGCGGGTTGTGCATTGCATATCAAATTGGGATGTCTTCTTGGGTTTTCTACTTATAGCCAGCGGAATTCGGAATAGCACCCACGGAAAGAAGCAGTGCAACCACTTTGGTCCAATGTGTGCAAACATATGGTTCTACACATTCACACCTAGCATCATACTAAGTATTTTCTCTGTTCACCTGCAAATATATAGGGCGAACGAATAGTATATGTTGGATGTGAATGGAGGAATCAGAAGTGGGCGTGAACCAACAAAAGAGGGGACCAACCATAATTCCTCAAACGGTATACCGTTAGGGGTTCTTAATGCTTTCCTAAGGTGTCCGCCTTGGCGTTGAATGGTGTGCCCGCGTTCCCGGGGGTCTTGTCTCCCATTGTACCCTCTCTTGTTTCCCTTTGTTGAATGGTGTGGCCGCGTTCCCAAGGGTCTTGTCTCCCTTTGTCTCCCATTGTACCCCTCCTTGTTTCCCTTTGTTGCATGGTGTGTCCGCCTTCCCAAGGGTCTTGTCTCCCTTTGTTTCCCATTGTACCCCTCCTTGTTTCCCTTTGTTGGATGGCGTGTCCGCCTTCCCAAGGGTCTTCTCTCCCCTTCTTGTTTCCCTTTGTTGGATGGTGTGTCCGCCTTCCCGAGGGTCTTGTCTCCCCTTCTTGTTTCCCTTTGTTGGATGGTGTGTCCGCCTTCCCAACACCTTGTCCCCTTGTCTCCCAGCCTGTCTCCCAGCTTGTCCCCCTTCTTGTTTCCATGTGTTGGATGAGTGTCTGCCTTCCCGAGGTCTTGTCTCGCCTGGTCTCCCATTGTCTCCCTTCTTGTTTCCCTTTGTTGGACGTTGTGTTCGCCTTCCCGAGGTCTTGTCTCCCATTGTCTTTCTTCTTGTTTCCGTTTGTTGGCTGGTGTGTTTGCCTTCCCGAGGTTCTTGTCTCCCCTTGTCTCCCATTGTACCTCTTCTCGTTTTCCTTTGTTGCATGGTGTGTCCGCCTTCCCAAGGGTCTTGTCTCCCCTTGTCTCCCATGGTACCCCTTCTTGTTCCCCTTTGTTGGATGGCGTGTCCACCTTCCCAAGGACTTGTCGCCCTTGTCTCCCAGCTTGTCTCCCAGCTTGTCTTCCTTCTTGTTTCCCTTTGTTGGATGGTGCGTCCGCCTTCCCGAGGCCTTGTCTCCCTTGTCTCCCAGCTTGTCTCCCGGCTTGTCTCCCTTCTTGTTTCCCTTTGTTGGGTGGAGTGTCTGCCTTGCGGAGGCTTTGTCACCCTTGTCTCCAAGCTTGTCTCCCACCTTGCCTCCCAGTGTGTCTCACCGCTTGTGTCCCAGCTTGTCACCCAGCTTGTCTCCTGCTTGTCTCCCAGCTTGTCACCCAGCTTGCATCCAAGATTGTCTTCCTTCCCGAGGTCTTGTCTCCCCTTCTCTCCCAGCTTGTCTCCCAACTTGTCTCGCAGCTTGTCTTCCTTCATGTTTCCCTTTGTTGGACGGTGCGTCCGCCTTCCCGAGGCCTTGTCTCCCTTGTCTCCCAGCTTTTCGCCCAGCTTGCCTTCCAGCTGGTCATCTTGTCTCCCAGGTTGTCTCCCAGCTTGTCTTCCTTCTTGCTTCCCTTTTCCCTTTGTTGGATGGCGCGCCCGCCTTCGCAACACCTTGTCCCCCTTGTCTCCCTTGTCTCCCAGCTTGTCTCCCAGCTTGCCTTCCTTCTTGTTTCCCTTTGTCTCCCAGCTTGTCTCCCAGCTTGTCCCCTAGCTTGTCCCCCATCTTGTTTCCCAACTTGTCTTGCAGCTTGTCTTCCTTCTTTTTTCCCTTTGTTGGATGGTGCGCCCACCTTCCCCAGGTCTTGTCCCCTTGTCTCCCAGCGTGTCTCCCAGCTTGTCTTCCCTCTTGTTTCCCTTTGCTGGATGGCGTATCCGCCTTCCCGAGGCCTTACCTCCCTTGTCTCCCATCTTGTTTCCAATGTTGTCTCCCAGCTTGTCTCCCGGTTTGTTTTCCTTCTTGTTTCCCTTTGTTTTTCGGTATCTAGTGTTGCGACAAAGCAAGCGAAGCCGAACAAAAACAGCCGTGAAGTAGTCCCTGGCATTTCCTGTCGCTCCTATTTCACGTGTTTGACCTTGTTCTTCAAAGCACTTCTTGAATCCACCAACTGTTTGGGGTCTACGGTGGCGTAATTTTCTTAAGGAATCAAAACGAGGCACTGCTAGACGCTGGAGGGTTTGTTTTGATATAACAAATGAATGACATTTGTTGGCTTATGTGTGTATAATTTTGACCAATGCCTGATTTTCTCCCTCTTACTGTAAACCAATATCACCTAACCATTGGGGGTGTCATACCCAAAATATATGTATGCCGAAAGTTTCAAATTGGAGTACTAAGCCCTCAGCTCAGCGGCTGCATATATCGGCAAGGCCGAGGTGGCTGCTGCTCCACAGTCGCTACCTGAGTGCGTTTTGATATGAAATGGAGGTAAGACTGGGCCACTGCTCATGCTTGGAATCTTTGCTTGGTTTCTTTCAGGCCAGATGGACATCCATTTGCTGGCCTGTCCCTGTTCGGATCCAACTCGTCCGATGCTTGATGCTAGCATGCTCTTACAGCCATCAATGAAAGACATGCTGTATAGTCAGACCGTTACAGCAGGGTGTAGTTCCAAACGTACGGCCCCACTGCCCATGTGCTTTACTTGTTCTGGTGCTTGCAACCACGGGCATGGCTTTTTGACCCAACCCATCCCATCCCAACCCCTTTTATCATGATGTTTGGTGACCTAGGTCCTCATCTGCCCTTGGTGGGGCGGGCCCAGTGCAGATTGAGAGTGGGACAACCAATTTTGCTGTGATGCTGTTGGGGTATCCCACAAAAATGGTCCGATTAAGGTGGCTCTCCAACAGGTGCGACAGCAGGCAGCTCCACTGGGGGCTTACTGTTTGGATCGACCACTGGATCACTGCACGGAGCTCGGGGACTGGCTGACCCGGATTTGGGGGGTGGGTGTGCTGGATTGAGACTGCTTGGCTCCTGAATCGAAAGGTTCGGCTCCACCAACTCCAGCAGTGGCGGCCTCTTTAGTGGCGGCTTGTTTGGTTCAACTTCTGGAGGCCCGGCCAGTGGACCATTGTTTAAATTCCACGGTCAATGTTACAAAGACCATCTATACCCTGTTGATTGAATTCGATCATTTACAGCAACTATTTCAATTCCCATAGCTGTGCTAAATTACAGAGGGTAAGTGGGTTTGTAGTTGCCCTGTGCGATTAGTGCGGGTGACCTTGTTGAGTGCCCGAGCTCTGCGCTTGGAAGGTGGGCTTTGGGGCCAACCAGCAGCTCAGGCAAGTCATGGATGGTCACACGGGCATTACATAATGACATGGGTCTCATAGGTTTCTACTAGTCGCTATGTACCTATCTAAATATCTATGTATCTATTTGTTTGCCTGTCTATCTATCTGATCTCATTTGATCTCATCTGATCTCATCTGGTCTCATCTGATCCCATCTGATCTGTCTACCTAGCTACCTGTTGGGCAATCAACCAATTAATCTATCAATCTATCAACCTATCAATCAACCAATCAACCAATCAACCAATCAACCAATCAACCAGCCAACCAACCAATCAATCAATCAATCAATCAATCAATCCATCAATCAATCAATCCATCAATCCATCAATCCATCAATCCATCAGCCAATCAATCTATCCATCGATCTGTCTGCCTGCCTGGCTGGCTGTCTGTCTGCCTGTCTGTCTGTCTACCTCTCGCTCTCTCTGTTTGTCTGTGCCTGCCTTTGTGTGCCTGCCTGCCTGCCTGCCTGCCTGCCTGCTGGCTGGCTGGCTGGCTGGCTGGCTGGCTGCTGGCTGCTGGCTGCCTGGCTGCTGGCTGGCTGGCTGGCTGGCTGGCTGGCTGGCTCTCTCTCTCTCTCTCCCCCTCCCTCCAGGATGCATATGCTGTATATATATATATATACATACATACATACATACATACATACACACATACACACATACATACATACATACATACATACATACATACATACATACATACATACATACATACATACATACATACATACATACATACATACACACACATACATATATATATAGATTATACATATACACATACACGCATGCATGTCTTACGATTGTTTGATTGGAACCAGCCTGCGTTAGATGATTGTCTCTTAGCTTCTTAGGGCTCGAATGTTTAAGTGCCGATCTTGACTGCCCTTGGTCCTATCTTGGGTTTGTGCCAAAACATTCTTCGCTTAACTGAAACCCTTTTTTATTCATCCTGATGCCCTTTCTCATCGGATTTTGTTGTGGGGGCCTGACGGTAGTTCTGTTAATTGCTGCTCGATTAGTTCTGATCGTTTGCAACCTAGCTACCTCGCCAACAATGCACCCAACAAATGGAGCCGCTCCGTCGCGCATGCTCAGCTGGCCGCCGTCATTGTGTTGCTCGGACATGGGAATCGTGGCCTTTGCTGTTCCCTTGTTGTCGCTGTGGTCAGCCGCAGTGACGTGCGGATTGACGCGCGCCGTCTTTGTCTCACGCCTGTGGAAACGTCCACAATTTCGCATTGTCCCACATTGCAGAGAGATTCACTCCCTACCTATCTATCTATCTATCTATCTATCTAACTATCTATATACATACATATATATATATATGCATTTGTGTCTTTCTTTCTTTCTTTATCTATCTATTTCTTTCTTTCTTTCTTTATTTATTGATTCATTCATGCATTCATTCATTTATTTATTTAATTGTTTATGCGCACAGTAGTTCTTCTCAATTTGTCAGCTATCGGTCTATATATAGTCTGTACAAGTAGTATCCAGGCAAGCCGGGGGCGGAAGTTTCAAAGTTGAAACGCCTATAGCCTATAGAGCGAACATGCAATGTGCCAGTGGGGTGCGGGCAAGCCTTCGGTGCTTCGCAGACACAATCTCTTGACTTTTCATTCCGGTGCCATCTCTTTTCAAGGTTGGATCTTTCCTCATTTCACCTGATCTCATCGCGTGGCAGCTTTTCTTGGAAATTGCTCATTGCATCCCATTGTCACCGCAGTCTGTGTCATCCCATCTCATCTCATCTCATTTCGTGTTTTCTCAGCGCTTTTCACTTCACTTTATCTCATCTCTTCTCTTCTGTCCTTTCCTCAGCTTTTCTCAGCTGATCACAGCTGTTCTCATCTCTTCTCATGTGATTTGAGCTTTTCTCGTCTCTTCTCTGCTCATCTGATCTCTTCTCTTTTCAGCCCTTCTCAACTTCTCCATTCTACGCGGCTTGTCTCAACTCAGCTCTTCTCGGCTCTTCACCGCTCTTCTGATGTCAGGTCGTCTCAACTCATTTCATCTCATCTCAGCCTGTTTCAGCTCTTCTCAACTCTTCTCAGCTCATGTCAGCTCATCTCATGTCTTCGCTCCTCTTCTCACATCTTCTAAGCTCTTCTCAGCTCTTCTGACATCTTCTCAGATGATCTCAGCTCTTCTCAGCTCTTGTCAGCTCTTCTCACCTCATCTCAGCTCTTCTCAGCGGACTCTCAGATCATCTCAGCTCTTTCTGGCCCAAAACCTGATCCCGGCGCCAAAGCCACAAAAAGTACGTTTTAAAAGGAGAATGGAAAGGGCCGAAAACGAAAAAACATCACCAAAAACTAATTGTTGCAACTTTGGCGCAACCATTCCATTGCCATTTGCAGGCAGCAAGTTGCAAAAGACCATGGAACTATGTGCGCAACAGCAACGTAGGGCAACAGTGGCGCAAACACCATAGAACTCTGCGCGACAGCAACGGAGAGCAACATTGATGCAGCCACTCTGATGCGATGTGCAAGCACCAGGTTACAGAAGCCTATAGAATGACGTTGCCAAGACAGAAGCCTCTCCTGGCCAAAACCTGCTCCAAAACCGGATCTCGGCGCCAAAGCCGGAAAAAGTTTACAGGAAAATGAAGCGCCCCAAAAACAAGAAAACCCAGGAAAACTCATTGCGGCAGCCTTGTCGCGATTGAACTGCGACTTCAACTTGTCAAAATGAAGCTTTCGTGCGAGACTTCTCTCAAAAACAGAAAGTCCAAGATGTGAAAACGAGGCATTCGTGTGAGACGTCCTTCAAAAACTGAATGTTGAAGATGTGAAAGCAAAGCTTTCGTGCGAGGCGTCCCTCAAAAACTGCAGAAGGTTGAAGATGTGAAAACGAAGCTTTCGTGCGAGACGTCCCTTGACAACTGCAGGTTGAAGATTGAAGATGTGAAAATGAAGCTTTCGTGCGAGACTTCCCTCACAAACTGAAGGTTGAAGATGTGAAAACGAAGCTTTCGTGCGAGACTTTGTTTAAAACAAAAAGTTCAAGATGTGAAAGCGAAGCTTTTGTGCGAGACCTCCCTCAAGAAGTAAAAGCCGAAGATGTGAAAATTAAGCTTTCGTGCGAGACTTCCCTCAAAAACTGAAATTTGAAGATGTGAAAACGAAGCTTTCGTGCGAGACATCCTCAAAGACTGAAGATTGAATATGTGAAAACGAAGCTCTCTTGCGAGACTTGACTTTCATTGCAGCGACGATCATTGCAGAGGCATGACAATCATTGCAGTGAGTGTCATTGCAGTGACAAACATTGCGGAGACTTTCGTTGCAGTGGCAAACATTGCGGTGACTTTCATTGCAGTGACAAACATGGCAGTGACAATCATTGCAGTGACTTTCATTGCAGCGAAAAACATTGAACTGGATTGAAGTGACATTCATTGCAGTGACAAACATGGCAGTGACAATCATTGCAGTGATTTTCTTTGTGTGGCAATCATTGCAGTGACGTTCCTTGCAGTGACAATCATTATTGCAGCGACAAGCATGGCAATGACAATCATTGCGGTGACAATCATTGCAGTGACTTTCATGCAGTGACATGCAGTGACAAACATTGCGGTGACTCTTTTTGCAGGGAAGAACATGGCATTGACAATCCCTGCAGCGACTTTCGTTGCAGAAACCATTGCAGTGACTTTCGTTGGTGTGACAATCATTGCCCCACATCTATCTCTGTTTCTTCTCTCTACCAAAATCTTTATCTACACAGACATCCATCTATCTATGTGTATCTGCCTGTCCATTTATTTCGGCATGCATGTACGCACGCATAGACACATGAGTCTCCGTATAGTTCCTCACATATTTTACCACCTGGTGAATTTCGATCGTACGCGCTGGAATCTGTAGGTCGTATGTGGGTCCATGCTCAAATTTAAGTCACTCAGTTTGGAAGGTGAAATTTTCAGGTCCGTGTGAAGGCGAGTGAGGCACCCTCCCTTCCAACATCTTCCAGCTGCTAGGCGGCAGATTCGCCTGGACAATCTGTGACGCCCTCAGAAACGCCACGGGGGCTGTGAATCATTTCCTTTTTTCGGGCAACATTTTGGCGTTACTCACAGCTTCAAGACGACTCCAACCCACAGATTTTGGCCACTCTTGGTACAAACCCCTTTTCAACTTAGAGGTATCCACTACAGTCATTTGCCCGCAAGGAAAGATATTGACACCAAAATCGGGCTCAAGATGTTGACCACATGGGGAACCAGATCATGAAACCCAATTTTTTTTTGACCCAACCAAATGAAATTATTACCTGCCATCAACCATGAACATATCTTCGACCTTCCGCACAACAGGACTGCTGCACAATACAGGACTGCAACCAACCTGATCATTCGGACATCGTCAACTACTGTCGAGACATATCAGCCTTCACATTCCTTCTTGGGGGCGCAGCACCAGTTATAATTTTTATGTCCTTAAAAATGTAATATCGTTCCAGGGGCCCATATCCAAACTTATCGAAGGTATTAACATCGCCACACCCAGAAACACATAAAAGCATCACCCCAACTGCACCCCCAATTTGTGACCCTGTGACCCCTGGACCCCGCGATGGTCGCACAGAAACGTCCCCTGTCGCAGCTGCGGGTGGCGGTTCTGGGGGTGTCGCGTGCTGGCCTTCCGCTGGCACTGCTCCTAGCAGAACGAGGGCATCAGGTGGGGCCAGTTGAAGCCAACATTGATCAGGAAACCTGCATATACATACGTATATATGTGCATATATGTATATATATATATTTATATATATGGTGGAACAATGTATATGTGCATATATGTACATACGTATATACGTGCCCTTGTAAACACACGTACCAACATATGTAAGGTATGTATATATGTACATACGTGTATGTGTATTGATGTAAATATTGTATATATGTATATATATATACACATACATGTATTTGTGTACATGTACATATGTATTTATGTATAAATATGTATATATGTAAATTTGTATATGTGTATTGATGTATTTATTATATATATGTAAATATGTATATTCTATGTATGTATTGTATGTAATGTAATGTAATGTAAAGTAATGTAATGTAATGTAATGATATGTAATGTAATGTAATGGAATGGTATGTAATGTAATGGAATGGAATGGAATGGCATGGAATGGAATGGTATGTATGTAATGGTATGTATGTAATGGTATGTATGTAACGTAACGTAACGTAACGTAACGTAACGTAATGTAAGGTAAGGTAAGGTAAGGTAAGGTATGTATGTATGTATGTATGTATGTATGTATGTATGTGTGTGTGTATGTAATGTATGTAATGTATGTAATGTATGCATGTATGTATGTATGTATGCATGCAAGTAATGTATGTAATGTATGTAATGTATGTAATGTTTGTGTGTTTGTATGTTTGTATGTATGTTTGTTTGTTTTTATTGTATGTATTGTATGTGTATTGTATGTACTGTATGTATTGTATGTATTGTATGTATTGATTGTACTGTATGTATTGTATGTATTCTGTATGTATTGCAGGTATTGTATGTATTGTATGTATTGTATGTATTGTATGTACGTAATGTATGTATGAATGTAATGTCTGTAATGTATGTAGCGTATGTAACGTATGTAATGTATGTAATGTATGTAATGTATGTAATGTATGTAATGTATGTAATGTATGTATTTTTTGTATGTATGTAATGTTTGTATGTATGTACGTACGTATGTATGCGTGCATGCATGCATGTATGTATGGTATGTATGTATGTATGTATGTAATGTATGTATGTATGTATGTATGTATGTATGTATGTATGTGTATGTTATGTATTGTAATGTAATGCAATCTAAATTAGTGTAATGTAATGTAATGCAATGTAGTGTAGTGTAAGGTAATGTAATGTAATGTAATGGTATGTAATGTATGTATGTACGTATGTATGTATGCATGCATGTATGTATGTATGTATGTATGTGTGTATGTATATGTGCAAATTTGTTTGCATGTAAATATTTGGACATGCAGGTATGTATAATATGTACACATTGTTTGTACTTGCATGTATGTCTATGCGTGTATTTGTATATATGCGTATATATATATATGTAAATTTGCATGTACATAAATAGATATGTATATATGTGTATATATGTGTATATGTATATATTTTTATATGTTTATATGTTTGTATGTATGCATGCATATGAATGTATAAATGTATAAATGTATAAATGTATTTATGTACATGTGTATGTATCTTTGTATATTTGCAAAAATGTATGCATGTATACATGTATTTATGTATGCATGTATGCATGTATATATGTAAATATGTATATTCGTATATATGTATAATGTATATATGTATATATGTATATATGTATATATGTATATATGTATATATGTATGTATGTAAATATGTATACATGTATATATGCATATATGTATGTATGGATATATGTATATATGTACATATGTAAATATGCATATATGTGCATACGTATATATATGTGAGAAGAGGCAGGCCACCGGCCAACGGGACAACGGGACAACGGGACAAATATATGTATATATGTTTATCTGCAAATATGTCTATATGTATATATGCATATATAATCATGTATATATTATATATGTATCTACGTGTATGTATATATATATATGTGTGTATATGGTTATATGTATAAATGCATTTATCTATATATTTATACGTGTATCTATCTGTATATCTATACTTTTTTAATCTATCTATCTATTTATCTATCTATCTACCTATCTATCTATCTATCCTCTATCCTCTATCCATCTTTCCATCTAATCCATCCTGCCATCTATCCATTCTATCCATCTATCCATTCTATCCATCTGTCCATCTGTCTATCTGTCTATCTGTCCCTATCTTGTCTATTCTGTCTAATCTGTCCATCTAACCTATCTACATCTCCTATCTACCTATCTACCTATCTAACCTATCTATCTATCTGTCTAATCTGTCCTACCCTGTCTATCTCTCTATCTATCTATCTATCTATCTATCCTATCTATCCTATCTATCCTATCTTCCCTAATCTATCTATCTATCTTCTCTATCTTATCTATCTTATCTATCTTATCTATCTTAAAATCTATCTTATCTATCTTATCTATCTTAATCTATCTTATCTATCTTATCTATCTTATCTATCTTAATCTATCTTATCTAGTCTTATCTACCTTATCTATCTTTCATCTTATCTATCCTTAATCTATCTTATCTATCTTATCGATCTATCTATCTATCTATCTATCTATCTATCTATCTATCTATCTATCTATCTATCTATCTATCTATCTATCTATCTAATCTATCTATCTAATCTATCTATCTTAATCTATCTATCTATCTATCTATCTATCTATCTATCTATCTATCTATCTATCTATCTATCTATCTATCTATCTATCTATCTATCTATCTATCTATCTATCTATCTATCTATCTATCTATCTATCTATCTATCATCTATCTATCTATCTAATCTAATCTAATCTAATCTAATCTAATCTAATCTAATCTAATCTAATCTAATCTAATCTAATCTAATCTAATCTAATCTAATCTAATCTAATCTAATCTAATCTATCTAGCTAGCTAGCTAGCTAGCTATCTATCTATCTATCTATCTATCTATCTATCCAGCTATCTACCTCTCTAGCTACCTAGTCTATACTAACAAAAATAATGATATATGATGCACCCATAATTTTCCATCATTTGCGGGGATGAACATCCATTTGCCAGCTGCTTTGGTGGGAACAGAAGGGTACCAGAATTTTAATCCATAGCATGGGAATCCTGGAGTCATTTTGATGGGGAGGATGGATTTGCGTCTGGAAACAGCATCAGGTGGTTTTGGTGGAGAAGGATGCGCCTGCTTTGGCTGCCCTACAGGCTGGAAAGTATCCCTTCCTGGAGCCCGGGGCTGCTGAGTTGCTACAGTCATGCCTCGAGAAGGGATGCTTTCAGCTCTCTTCCGACATGTCGAAGATCAAGGGTAGTGAAGTGATTCTGCTCACGGTCACCACTCCAGTGGATGAACGCTTGATCCCCAACATGAGCCTGGTGGAGGCGGCCATTAGCGACCTGCAGCCACATCTGTCGGGGGGGGAAACTATCCTACTGCGAGCGACAGTGTTTCCAGGCACCTGCGAAATGATTGAGCAGAAGTTGGCCAACCTGCCAGCTCTGTACCTTGGAGCCAATGGCAGCCAGAATGGCCACAATGGCCAGCATGGCCAGCATGGCCAGCATGGCCAGCATGGGCAGAATGGGCAGAATGGGCAGCAGGGTGGCAGCAAGTTCCAACGGGAGCTGTCGGTTGGCGTGAGTTTTTGCCCTGAGCGACTTGCATCTGGCCAAGTGGTGGAAGAGTTGAAGCAGGTGCCCCAGATCATCTCAGGCTCAACACCCCGGGCTTTGTCACACGCACTTGCTCTCTTCGAGCCGTTATCAGTAGACCTAGTCGAGTTGTCGCTGTTGGAGGCAGAGGTCGCCACCCTCTTTCTGAATGCCTGGCGGTATGTAAGCTTTGGAACTGCAAATCAGTTTTATCACATCGCAGTTTCCAAGGGCTTGGACTTTGACAAGATCCGCTCTGCCATCATCCATCGATATCAGAGAGCCGCGGACTTTCCCAGGTCAGGCTTCACAGCAGGTCCGCGGCTGTATCAAGACATGATGCAGCTGTCGGCCTACTGCAGGCACACCTTTTCTTTGGGAAATGCCGCCATGCTGGTGAACGAAACCATGCCCGATTGCCTGGTGGAACAGGCTCGACAGAAGCTGGCAGAGTGTGGTCGCAATTTCAAGGGCCTCAAATGTGGTATCCTTGGAATGGCTTTTAAGCCTGGCTCAGATGACTGTTCCCATTCGTTAGCCTTCAAGTTGCGAGAGCTTCTGCTGAGAGAAGGTGCGGAGGTGAGCTGTTCCGATGCGTGTGTTGGTGAAGCAGACTTTGTCAGTCAGGAGAAGTTGTTAGAGAGCCACGGATGAGATCCAAAGAGTTTTGCTGTGGTTCAATCTCACTCAAATTCGTTTTTTTAATCTTCCGGGAACTTCGTTGAACAAGTATTGGGTCCAAGTTCATCAAACAATAGCTGGTTGCTGTTTGATCCATGGTCGGGTGCTGGCCCTTGCATGTTTTCCGAGAGCCGGCCACTGAGGGCGAGCGAAGCGGTCTTCATTGGCTGCCCCCATGCGGAGTACAAGAACATATCATTTCCAAACCATCAGTTCCTTTTTGACTGCTGGGGCTTGGCCCGAAAACCTGAGATCACTGTCTTCAAAGCCCAATGTGAGAAGTTCCTTCGTGTCGCAGTGGTGGGGGGTGCTGGGCATGTAGGCTTACCGCTGTCTTTGGTGCTGGCAGACCGGGGGCACACCGTGGTAGTTGTGGACAAGGATGCAGCCAAGATAGAGTCAATTCAGGGCGGCAAATTTCCATTTCTGGAAGATGGGGGTCCTGAACTACTGCTGCGATGTTTGGACTCCAAGCAAATCTCTTTCACGACTTCCGTGGCGGAGGTGTCCAGTTGTGATGTCATCATTGTGACCATAGGTACTCCGGTCAACGAACACCTGAATCCCTGCTTTTCCGTGGTTCAGGCATGTATGGAAGAGCTCGCACCTAATTTGCGCAAGGGACAGACGCTGCTCTTGCGGTCCACCCTCTTTCCAGGCACGTCTTCTCGAGTCTTGGCAGGACTACCACCTGGGATCAGCGTCAGCTTCTGCCCGGAGAGGATTGCACAGGGGAAAGCCCTGGAAGAGCTCACGGATTTGCCACAAATCATCTCTGGATCCGATGGTGAAGCCCTAGACCATGCCAAAGCTCTCTTTGCCCCGTTGCTTCCATGGAAAATATGGAAATGGGAGAATCCCAGAAAACTTTGGAAATAATCAATCTTTTTGAGCATTTTGAAGCCATGAATGGAAACGCAAGACTTAAATGCAAACATCCAACGTTTTTTTTTACCTGGACCCAGGTTGTCCGTGGACCTGATTGAGCTGAATCTGCAGGAAGCAGAGGTAGCTAAGCTCTTCCTGAACTCGTGGCGCTATGTGGCCTTTGGCATTGCCAATCAGTTCCCGGGTCCAAAGATGGTATGATGATACCAACTAGTAAGAATTGGAAGGGTGGCTGAATCTCAATCACCAAACGAGTTCAACCATTGGCGAAAAGAACCCAGAAAACTATATAACTGATTATTTTGAATTTTGAATGTTATCCCAGGGTCTTGCAGGAGGCTCATACCCACCATATAATCCATTATAATCCCACTATAGCCCAATGAACCCACCGCATTTCTGGCTGGTTGCTCCATGCCTCCGAGGTTCTATCACATTGCCACCTCCAAGGGCCTTAATTTTGATCGCCTGCGAGCGGCCATCGTCCATCGCTATCCGCGGGCTGCCAGCTTCCCTCGCTCGGGCTTCACGGCAGGGCCATGCCTCTTCAAAGATACCATGCAGCTGGCAGCCTATTGTCGTCACACCTTTTCACTGGGCCATGCAGCCATGTTGGTGAATGAAACCATGCCAGATGCCTTGGTGGAGCAGGCCAAAAGGCAGTTGGCAGGCCGCAGCCTTTCGGGGATCTCCTGTGGGATTCTGGGCATGGCGTTCAAACCCAACAACGATGATTGGAGGGAGTCGCTGGCTTTTAAGCTTCGCAAGCTGCTTCTTTGGGAAGGTGCCTCGTTGCGGTGTACAGATGTCTACATGCAACGGGAAGGCTTCGTGTCTTTGCCTGAGCTTCTGGCACATGGCAAGATCTTATTCCTGGGGTGCCCACATGCAGAGTATCAAAATATCAGCATCAGAGCTGATCAGAAGCTTTACGACTGCTGGGGCTTCTTTGCAAAGCCTAAGTTAGCCATTAGCACGCCCTGGTCTTGATGACCGACCTGATCAGCTGGAAAAAGGAGACGCACCAAATATTCCGTGCAGCGGGTTGGGATCAAATTTGGGCAAAAGACATTTTTGGGTGGATGAACACCCATCCGCCAGATATTTTGGTTTAAACCAGGATACCGTGGTAGTCTGATGCCGCTTTCATCTGTATTCCAGCTTTAGACTATCGCACAGTGAGCTTCAACGCAGGCTTCAGGCAAGACAGCGGGGACACTATTCTCAACCCTGCCTGGGGCCAAGACTTTCGACAGTATCTTGGACAGCTACCAATTCCGAATAATATCATCTTAGCCCTTATTTGCTCCCCTTAAGTTCTGTCATGGCTGACTGGCAGTAGTTGTTGCCTTCTGTGTGGTCAAGTCAACTTCCGTGCCCTGGGCGACCCTCTTCAATGCTTAGGTCACTGTCAGGCTCAGCTTCATCCGGGGGTCTTTTCAGCGGAGCCTCCACTGGAGGAGCCTCAAGCAGTGATGAGTTGCAGGTCTATAAGCTTCTGCCGTGCAGTGGTGAACACGCGACATGTTCTTCCTGCAGCCATCGGCCCAAGCCATGCTCTTTTGACGGTTTAGCGCAGCCTGATTCACAAAGGGCCAACAAATATCAACAGATTGTTGTTCCGCAGGCGGCCTACAAGCTTTGTAGTTTAGTTGTCGTATGTATTTTGTTGTGCTGTAGGTATCACATCAGATAATATTTAGAATGCAGCATCATTATGACACAATAACCCCAAGAGGACCAGGCTGGGCTTCCTGGAAACTGGCCGCGTGTGCCCTCCATGTGCCATGCATCGCGCCTTGGCTCCAAAGGATCCAGTGCATCTTCCTGAAGTCTGTGAAGATGAGCCACCGTGCGAGCTGCCCAGTTGGTGCTCTCCTCCTGATGTCGCGCTAGGTGGGGCTCTCAACCAATTTGCAGGCTTTTTTGATCTTTTTTGTTTGTCATGTTCAGGCATGGAACTAAGCCACCAAGCAGTACAATAGGACATGCGGTTTATGATTCCACAGTTTCGATGGAAAACCTTAAAAATGAATCTGCACTTTGGCCGCTGTCCCTGCAGGCGATGCCAGCATTGAAATCTGGCGGATGCCATCAGGTTCCCCTGCAGCTCCAGAGCCCATCATTTTTGGCCGCCGTCCCTGGGTCCACTTTGGACGCCGACAGCAGTGTAAGGTCGATAGGCAGCCGGATGTTGAACTGCACACCCGGACCGCTTCCAGAAAGCAGGCCCTCCTGCTGCGGAATTTTCACGGACAGGTCTTCCTATTGGATATGGGTTCCTCACATGGGACCTACCTCGGAAGGCAGAAGCTGGCAGCGAAGACTCCCAAGGAGTGGAAACCTGGTGTGGTGCTCTTCTTTGCAGATGCCAACACCGAAACCTTCGAACTGAGACCGAGGCAGCTTAGGTATCCAAGTCCAACCAGCCGCCTGCTGGAAGCAAAGCCAGTGGCAGCCCCGGGCCCCACCGGCATCGCAGGAATTGCCAGCATGGTGGTAGGCCGCAACTTTGCAGGGGCCCGGCGGATGATGGGAACTCAGCTAGGTGAGGAGATTGCAGTCAAACCGAAAGTGGTGGATGTGGTCGAAGTGACAGATGAGAAAGCTCAGAAAGACCAAGAAACTGATCCTGGAAATCAGGTACAGGGAGAAAAATTGTACCCTGGAGATTGGGAAGTTCCTGCCGATGGACTTTCAAGCATTGGCTGGAAGCCTGAAGCGCAGAAGGATTCCAAGCCACATCCATCCGACCAAGCAGAACCAGCAAGCACAGGGCCTCCCACTGCCCTGCGGATCGACCCTGTGTTCTCAGGTGGTTCTCTGGCAGCGAGATTGGAGCAAGTGATGTCCAAGTGCCTGGGACCTGACGTGATCGGCACCTTGCGATCAAAGGGTCCCAGGTATCCATGTCCAGAGCGACCTGACTGGCAGCTGAACCTGTGGTCTGGAAGAAGTCGACCCTATGATCCAACGCAACCAGCCCTTGTGGTGATCAAAGCAGCGGTGAAAATGTCAGTTGGATTGACCCGACAGGTGACCCTTGAGTGGCTCAGCACCAATTTGCCGGCAGATTCTCAGCTGTTAGTTCGCTTCACTGATGCACCCCTGGAGTTGGCGGAACCTGCAGAGGCTGGGTGCTGGCAGCTGGATTTGCCCCTCGCAGTTTCTGGCAATGCAGGTAGGACGCTAAGAAAACAAAAGTTGCGGCAACTCTTGTACATATGGTAGGCCCCCCAACCAGAAAAAAAGTAAAAACCACCACCAAAACCACCAAAATAGTGTGGTACCACTTTTTGGAACCCCAATGTTTACAAGTAAGCCATCAGCCACTGATTGAGCCTCAGGTGTGGTTAGCTTAAGCAGCTTTCAGCCTCTACCCAAGAAGCTGTTTGTTCGACTCTGCAGCTGCGCACCCCGCAGAAGTGGCGACGTTTTGCTTGGGGGAGTCTTTGGTTCGACCTTGCGGCCTTTGGACATAGATGGTGATGAGTGGGAGCTGAGCCCCTCAGATGTTACTGGCAAGTTGGGAGCACAAGAACATGCTCCTCTTGCAAGTAAGACCACCAAGAGACCGGCCCTGGCATCACAGGTGCAAACACCTCTTGAGACAAAGCCCAGGGTGATCAGTGTTCCGCCGGCAAAATGCGAAACAGCGACCAAGGGTGCGGACATAGATGCGGGAAGTGTGAGTTGTGTGGAGAGTGGTACTGAAAGCAGTGAACGGAGCCCCGTGAGCCGCGTCAGTACAGAGCTTGGGTCGGAAGATGAGGATGAACCGAAGAAATCAGCAGATACCAAAGCTCAGATTCCAAGAGGTGAAGGAAGCAATCAAGCAAAGGTTTCAAAGGATAGAAGCGGGAAGGAATTTCAAGAAGCCAAAGGAGGGACAGTATTCAAAAATAAAGCCAAAGGAGGGACAGAAGTAAAAAGCAAAGTGAGAGACAGGAGTCCCTCAAGACGTGTCAAAACGGCTGGCCTTTCCAAGCGCCCTGCCTCGAGAAAGCAAACAGCTCCCCAGCGCACAGGATTCAAAGGGAAAACCCAACACGGCAAAACATCTCTCTCGCCAAAAGTGTCAGGCCGTAAACGTTTGAAGATTTTGCCAAGTGACAGCGAATCTGAAGGCACCAGGTCAGGGCAGGAGGAAGAACTCATGCAACTGCCTGCCTCACAGCTGGTGGCACGCATGAAGGCTGGCATCATTGCCAAGCGCCTAACCTCACCTGATTTCAAGCATGGCCGCCTAAGGGCGGCATATTCCAAAGCGTTGGATTTGCTTTGCGATGAGGCTGATGAGGGCTGATGGCTCAGGGACAACAGCATCAAGATGTAGCCTGCAAAAAGCAGGCGTTGCAGACAACGCCCACATCGTGCCTGCATGTGTCGCTGAAGTTGAAAACATAGGAGCTCCCCTAGCCGGATGCATTGGAGTGTGCTTGCTACTTCTCTTGTCACGAAGAACTGCAAGAGATGAGGCTAAGGCTGCTAAGGGTTAAATAGGAGAAAGCCTTCCACACCAAGCAGGAACATTCTGGTGAGGACTTGACTTTGTCCAGCTTTGCTGTCGACTTGGAAATCTCCGTGGTGGAGAAGCAAATGCAAACACAGCTGCTAGTGTTCTCCATTGAGTTCTCGCACCTCTGCGAAGCCTTAGCTGAACAAATCCAGTTTGTTGGAACTGCGGGCAGCAAGAAACAGTGGAACTTGTGCAATGGGTTTGCAGTTGGTTGGATGTTGTCCCGTGTCCCGTCTAATCACCCAGCACTACATGAACAAAAGGGTGCCACTCTGATTTTTGATTTGGGGCCGGACCTAGTTTACCATCGCAAGATGTTGCAGGACTGCTGGCTGGAATGTCGAGCAGCGATAGGCTGTGCTGCACTCAACTGTCTTCGGGTAAGAATGTTCGAGGATGCATATCTATTTCCATCTATTTCCATTATTTCTATTTAGTCAATTTTTTTGCATAACACGAATTCATATATCATGTAGCTAGGACACTTTAGTGGCTCCCTAGCTCCCCATTTAAACATATTCAACAGAGAATATGGATACTATGATGCAACCATAGCTCCTAGCTGCTTCCGCCATTCCACCATTCCAGGCTGAGTTCGGCGCCATCCAGCGGCCCAACACCTGGATTGTCGAAATCTTAGCTCCCCAGACGAAGGATGAGGAATGCCTGGAATGGGTGAACGAAGATCTAGCCATTTGTCTATCTACCCTATTTATCTACTGTATGTGAATAAGTAATAAGTACACCAGTATATATCCAAACAATTCCAAACAAGTACAAGTCAAGAAGAAAGTTAAAAACATTTAAAAACCAAGAGCACCCATCGCTTCTGGGTTGCCCCTGTAGAAGCTCCAGTCGTCCTTTTGTTGCAGGTGGACCGCACCCGCGGCCCCAGCGACTTTTCCGTCCACAGCAAATGCCAACGGTGCGCAGGTGGGGCCAGTATCATGCTATGGGGATATCATGAGATACTACGGAAATTAATAGAATAATTCGGGATCCAATTGGGGATAGAGTGGTATTCATTTGTCGAGTAACCCCCAACAAAGATGCCGAAGCGTATTGAACACTGATGGTAAGGTGGAAAGCTGGAATAAGTGTGGGAAAAACTGAACGTTCGGCATTTTTCTTGGGTATTTTTTTGGGGGGGCAAGCAGGAAACCTTCAGCTTGGGAAGTAGAATTCTATGGTTCCCTCCAATTCTTCCAATCCATCCAAGAGTGAGGTCAAACATGGGAATGCCACAAATAGAACTCCTCTAACCAATAACCAACCAAAACAGAAATGGGCGATAATATTCGATAATCCTCTTTAGGAAGTTCTCCATTCCTCACAGGTTATCTCATCGAAGTATGCATAAAGGGCTCCGGGGCTTAGGGTGCCATCATTTCGCCATTTGAAGGACAAGGAAGACTATGATCCAGAGGAAGAAGTCCCGGCCTCGTGACGAAGCCATTGTTTACTGTCGCAACGCGATATAAAGCACTCGTTGGATATACCTGTTGTAATTACATCCTTGCCACTGTGGGCACTGCAGCCCATGCATGATGATTTCATATCGACTTAAACTTGAAGTATGACTTGAAGTTCACTCTATCAATGCTCCTGGCGAGCATCTACATCGGGGAGATTGTCACGCGTGTGCATCATCCTCTTCCAAGACTATATATATATATAATTATATATATATATATATGCACATTCACACACACACACATATATATATATATACACATATACACACACACACATACAAATATATTGTCATCCAAGGGCTCTTGTTTGAAATGGATGTTCCGTGGATGCACTCTGTTGGGCCAAGGTGACACAGATTCCTGGCTGGGCACCATCAGTGAATTTGGAGGTTAAAGACTATGTCGCGACCGGGGAAGAGTCGGAAGAGGATCGCCCAAAGTCTTACAGCACTCAGCTTGATTCAAGGGGGGATTCTATGGAGTCGGCAGGCGACGTCTTTTTCTTCCTGGGATCCCCTTGCTGGATGTAATTATCTATATTCTGGATCCCTCCAAGTAGTGATATCATTTGCTAAACTGGGGTTGTCTGAAAATAGGGCAGCCCAAAATTTGATGGAGTTAATCATCACTTTCCCATACTTTGGCCATCAAAGCGGCCATATCTTTGGGTTAAACCCCCATTTTCGGACAAACCCCACTGGACCACCGAATTTTCTCAATAGCTCACTTTCTCCCAGGAGCTCTACAGCCAGCGTTCCAAGCTATTGCGCTTCGTGGAGGGTGAGTGGAAGGAACGTGGCACGGGCGATGCCAAGATCCTGAGGCATGGGGGATGGACCAGGACAAAAGCTGGAAAAAAGGGGAAATTCAACCTGGAAATATCCTTTCTTTGAGTCTTTGAGCTGAACAAATCCATGTTTGTCTGTAAGATTTCCCGGAAGTCCATCCATTGAATCATTGAATGTCACATTTTATCTGTTCAAAGGACTGACTAGTGACTAGTTTGGGGTACTGATTGACCTCACTTCTTTGATGTATGTCGCTGGTTGCGAAGTCGCGACGCCCAAAAACATGAATATGTTTGAAGATATACAGTTACAGGGGTGATGATCATTTTCGGATGATACATCCAACAAGTGGTTGAGCTGCATTGCCGGTTTTCTCACTTTACGCAAGGCATGTGGAGTCCCGCAAGTGTCGCTTCTTGATGCGGCAAGAGAAGTGATGCACTCAGCACAGAATACTCAGAAGCCCAACAAAACATATGTGCTATGCTCAAAACTTGGGAGTCGCAACTTGTGAAACATTATGTTGAATTGGCATTGCCACGAGGACCTCAAAAATTGTTGCCAACCACTACATCATCGATCAAAAGCCGTACTGTGTCACAGACTTAGTTCGCAGAAATTTTTCTGAACATCATGCAGTCAGAGGGTGGCTAGCAACCTTTACCAGCAAACCTGCTAGCACCTCATGCAGGAACTGGTCCACAATGCGGGCAATGCCAAGATTTGGGTCCTCGGCTCAGGGTAGTGCTGACATCCAAAAATCCTGAACCAGAAATTGATGCTGACATGTGACTGGTGAATACTGGTGATGGATGTTGAAATGGAACCAGAAATGGACTCCAGAAATAGATGGTTGATCGATGTTGATGGTTGAAATGATGGTTGAAATGTGATTTAAAACGCAGGCTGTTTCATGGCGCAGAAATTGGTTACAGATCTGCAGAGCCACCCGTTTCAGCTCCTGATGGCCTACTTTTCCCAAGGTTTGGACAGCCTTGGATTTCGCAGATGAGGAGCAAAAGGTGCACAGACGGCCACTTCGTTCCTTGTTGAGTAAATGTAAGGGAAGAAATCCGCAGATATGCTATGCCATGCATTTTGGGTGTAATCCAACCTCACGGCGCCAAAAATTGAGAGATTGTGCCATGATGGAGAGGTAGCTAAGTTGGTTTATAAGTAAGTTAACTGGGATTTATGATAGATATATCTATAGTTAATGGGGTTTACGAACTATATACCTGGAGACTGGGGGAGCGCTACCTTATAGCCATGACCATGTTTCGGACGGGAAAGACCCCCCTTCTGCAGATGGAGAAGTTTGCCCTTCGATTCAAGACCGAGGAGCTGGTGAGGACCTTAGCAGACATCTCCAACTGACAACAGTCTGAGGATGGAACAAAACCAATACTATTTTCATATGTGGGTGAAATGAACACCCGCAAATCCCAGCTGTTTTGGTGTGACCAGAAGACGTTTCCCAGGGTTTTTGACGTACAACTGAGGCGGAGGAGTTTGCGGTGGCCTTCTTGGCGGCCAAGAGCGGCGAGGCAGCTCCAGTTGGGGTCGACAGGACAGTTGCGGTGACCATCCCGTGGATCATAGCAAGTCTTTCAGGTTCCTTTGGGTAGATAGAATTGGATAGACTCATGTAGGTGGATGATGTTGGATTGCCACATAAAAGGATACATGTTGGTCTAGGTGACGCCCCATTCTGGGCAGCAGTAATAGCAAATGAGGGCTTATGGCTGCAGAGTCAGCAAGCCACCTCTGCGCTGAGGCAGCCCAGTGGCAAGAAGACGAATGGGTACAGGCCCTCTTGAAGCTACCCTCTGGTAAACTAACATAACTATGGAAAATCACAATTTTTAATGGGAAAATCCACTATAAATGGCAATTTTCAATAGCTATGTTAAATTACCAGAGGGTATGATTAGTTGGGCATGGGTCAAAGTTTTGGTCAACCGAAGTGGACCAAAAGGAAGAGCTGGTATGAGCTGGTCATTTTTGGGAATCTGATACGTACCCATATTCCTGTTTTGGGAACCCAACTGACATTTTTTTTAACCATGCCCTGATGGTTGGTGGTGATGCTGGCTTTGGATTTGAGTCAAGTTGACACCACCCGATTGCCGCTGCTGTAGAAAGTAGCAGGTCTTTTTCGTGGCATACCGACTGATGGGTTGCAGGATCAGACAGCAAGATCACCGACAGAAAGCTGCGATTGGACACTGAAGGTGCAACCTTTTCAACTTAGCTGACTAGATGCGCGCCATGGACGCAATGCGGTTGCTGGCAGCTGTCTTTGCAGTTGCTAGTGCTCGCAATAGCAGTGAGCTGCGCCGACCTGCATGTGCCTGGAATATGGTGGATTTGTTGTTTTAAATCAACGTTTTGTCATTCAGAACGCTGTTGGACTTTGCGTTGTTGGTCCACTCTTAATGAACTGAAACCTGGTCATTCTCTGGTGCAATGTATTTTCTTAGCTTTGCCTGCTTGGAACCGGTCGAACTTCAGGTTCAGCCAACAGCAAGTGTCTGGGGCTGAATGGGGACTGCTGTCCCACACCCAATGGTCGACTGTTGGAGTGCTGCGAAGGCAGTGAGGCAGGTTGTCGGATTTTTTGCAGCGTCCCAGATTGATGGGGAGGCTGCCGCTTGTCCAGATTCCTCCACATGCCCCGGCTCATTCCATACTAGACAACGGATGGCCCGAGAGCGTAGAGGAGCAGAGTCTTCTGTTGTTAGTATGGAGACACGCTTTTTACACACAGGCTCTTTTACACACAGACGCTTTTACACACAGACACTTTTTACACACAGACGCTTTTTACACGCAGGCGCTTTTACACACAAACACATTTACACACAGACCCTTTTACACACAGACGCTTTTACACACAGACGCTTTTACACACAGACGCTTTTACACACAGACGCTTTTTACACACAGGCTCTTTTACACACAGAGACTTTTACACACAGAGGCTTTTACCCGCAGAGACTTTTACACACAGACGCTTTTACACACAGACGCTTTTTACACAAAGACGCTTTTTACACACAGACGCTTTGACACACAAACACATTTACACACACACACCCTTTTACACACAGACGCTTTGACACACAGACGCTTTTACACACAGAGGCTTTTACACAGACGCTTTTACACACAGAGACTTTTACACACACACACACAGACGCTTTTACACACAGAAGCTTTTACACACAGACGCTTTTACACACAGACACTTTTACACACAGACGCTTTTACACACAGACGCTTTTACACACAGACGCTTTTACACACAGAGACTTTTACACACACAGACGCTTTTACAGACAGAAGCTTTTACACACAGACGCTTTTACACACAAACACTTTTACACAAACACTTTTACACACAGACGCTTTTACACACAGACGCTTTTACACACAGACGCTTTTTACACACAGACGCTTTTTACACACAGACGCTTTGACACACAAACACATTTACACACAGACCCTTTTACACACAGACGCTTTTACACACAGACGCTTTTACACACAGACGCTTTTTACACGCAGAGACTTTTACACACACAGAAGCTTTTACACACAGAAGCTTTTACACACAGACGCTTTTAAACACAGACACTTTTACACACAGACGCTTTTACACACAGACGCTTTTACACGCAGACGCTTTTTACACACAGGGGCTTTTACACACAGAAGCTTTTACACACAGACGCTTTTACACACAGACCCTTTTACACACAGACGCTTTTACACACAGACGCTTTTACACGCTTTTTACACACAGACGCTTTTTACACACAGACGCTTTGACACACAAACACATTTACACACAGAGGCTATTACACACAAACACTTTTACACAAACACTTTTACACACAAACACTTTTACACACAGACGCTTTTACACACAAACGCTTTGACACACAGACGCTTTTACACACAGACGCTTTTACACACAGGGGCTTTCACACACAGACGCTTTTACACACAAACACATTTACACACAGACCCTTTTACACACAGACGCTTTTACACACAGACGCTTTTTACACACAGACGCTTTTTACACACAGACGCGTTGACACACAAACACATTTACACACAGACCCTTTTACACACAGACGCTTTTACACACAGACGCTTTTACACACAGACGCTTTGACACACAGACGCTTTTACACACAAACACTTTTACACACAGAGACTTTTACACACAGAGACGCTTTTACACACAGAAGCTTTTACACACAGACGCTTTTACACACAGACACTTTTACACACAGACACTTTTACACACAGACGCTTTTACACACAGACGCTTTTACACACAGACGCTTTTTACAGACAGGCGCTTTTACACACAGACAAGTCCGGCACAAGTAAAATCGCAATTTTTCCTCCGTTTTTGACGATCGACCCTCATTTCGTGCGAAAGGGTTGCGGGACAAGTAAAATCGCAATTTTTCCTCAGTTTTTGACGATCGACCCTCATTTCGTGCGAAAGGGTTGCTCCGGGGCACGTAAAATCGCATTTTTTCCTCAGTTTTTGACGATCGACCCTCATTTCGTGCGAAAGGGTTGCTCCGGGGCACGTAAAATCGCATTTTTTCCTCAGTTTTTGACGATCGGCCCTCATTTCGTGCGAAAGGGTTGCTCCGGGACAAGTAAAATCGCAATTTTTCCTCAGTTTTTGACGATCGACCCTCATTTCGTGCGAAAGGGTTGCGTTTCGTGCCGTCTCGTTGGCACTGCCCCTGCTCCCGCCTTCAAAAGAGAAATAGAGGGCAAGAGGGCAAGAGGGCAAGAGGGCAAGAGGGCAAGAGGGCAAGAGGGCAAGAGGGCAAGAGGGCAGGAGGGCAAGAGGGCAAGAGGGCAAGAGGGCAAGATGTGAGAAGATGTGAGAAGATGTGAGAAGATGTGAGAAGAAGAGGTGTGAGAAGATGTGAGAAGATGTGAGAAGATGTGAGTGGAGGTGTGAGAAGATGTGAGTGGAGGTGTGAGAAGATGTGAGTGGAGGTGTGAGAAGATGTGAGAAGATGTGAGAAGATGTGAGAAGATGTGAGAAGATGTGAGAAGATGTGAGAAGATGTGAGAAGATGTGAGAAGATGTGAGAAGATGTGAGAAGATGTGAGAAGATGTGAGAAGAGGTGAGAAGATGTGAGAAGATGTGAGAAGATGTGAGAAGATGTGAGAAGATGTGAGAAGATGTGAGAAGATGTGAGAAGATGTGAAGATGAGAAGATGAGAAGATGAGAAGATGTGAGAAGATGTGAAGATGAGAAGATGTGAGAAGATGTGAAGATGAGAAGATGTGAAGATGAGAAGATGTGAAGATGAGAAATGTGAAGATGAGAAGATGAGGAGATGAGAAGATGTGAAGATGAGAAGATGTGAAGATGAGAAGATGAGGGATGAGGAGAAGATGTGAGGATAAGAAGATGTGAAGATGAGAAGATGTGAAGATGAGAAGATGTGAAGATGAGAAGATGTTTTACAGACCCCCACTATTGGAAGAACCCTGCGCTCAGACGCTCTCGGGAATAAAAAATAGTTCTGGGTTTGCCTTAAACAAATGGAAAACGTGTGGACATTTGGCATGTCCCTAAATCAATTGGTTGATGATGGCTGGTGATCACGTTCGAATTTAATGGCAATTTGAAGGTGTTGACTTGTCATGGCCCGGACGCAGGCAGTCGAGCAGCCGCAGCCCACGCAGGCGACGGGGGCCATTCCACCGCCTCACGTGATCCCTGGCTCTACGGCTGGTCTTGGACCTGCTTGTGAGAAATACCTTCAGGCAGGGATTTGGATTTGGATGGGGCTTCCAGTGCGTGCCAAAGACATGCCTGAGATGCATCATGTGACTAGCAACAATGATGCGGTGGAGGTTTATTTTTATGTTTGCTTGTTGGAGCGTAGCGGCTGCGAGAAAGAGCAAGCAGTAAACTCAGCATGTGGGTCACCTTTTGATGTTTGGAAAATCCAGCAATACATATAGGATCATATAAGCATACATAAGCCACCATTTAATTGTATGATCGATTATTGGGCTTACCATGGCACCGACAAAAGATCCCCCAAAACAATGCTTTAATTAGTAAGGTTTAGCCGATATAGACATAGACATGCTAGGATCCCCCAAGAAAAGCATTGGATTTACCAAACCATTGGGTTTATCGCATGGGTTTGTCTGAACATAGGACCACAATACCATTGTTCATTATCATGTTTCTCCATCAAAACTACAATTTTATTGGCATCACCCGTTTTCAAATACACCCCAATATCATATTGATAGCTAAGTAATATATATATATATATGATATTATAATATATCCTATTCTATCCATATTATGGGTTGTTTCGTAGGGTAAGTCACCAACTTCCCCCTTCAACCATTGAGTTGGTCACATTGACCCAAATCGTCTTTGTTGCTTCCTATATCACCATTACCGTACCGATATGGTATCCTCACTATACCAGCATGATATCTCCAGCACATCCCCACAAGGTGGCGCTCCCAAGTTCCAAATTGATTTTCAACAGCAATATATAGACATATCTACCATAAACCATCTCATTCTGTCATAATGTTTCGAGGCACCAAAATCCATTACTCACTAGTGAAATCTCTATTTTTGATGCCGTTTAGCCTACAATAACCACATTAAACCACCATTTTTGATGATGAAATCACCATTTCCATTGGCTTTTCGTGGGGCACGGCCGATTTTCCGCCAGGCCAAGGGCTTGACCTCCCCGGAGGACTTGGCCGCGCGCCTGCAGCGCTGCACCGTGGCACCAGGGGGGCCCGGGGGGCCGGAACGCTACGCGCCCAAGCCGGAGCCCGACATCCCGGGAGCCACCGATTCTTGGAACTGTGAACATCTGTGAACATCTGTGAACTGGGATGATTTTATTTCGATGTATTTCGTGGGCGATGATATTTTTTCATGCACCATGGTGCTTTTTTTCACGTGTTGAGATCTCCTGGTTTTGCACACGGAGAACAGCCAATTTTTGCGGGAAGTTAGCTTTCCAGATCCCAGAGCCAAGGATACGACAGACTTGCAGTGCCAGTTGCTTGGCTAGTCGCTGAGGGCTACTTGTGTTTTTTTTCCTCTCCTTTCTGGTTAACCAAATTATATTCGAAGTGCACACAGGTTGATGTGTATGTATATGAAATGCATGTGCAGTGTCGCATAGAGATGTCTTGATTTTTTGGGCGTATGCATACACACTCACGCACATTTGTATTTTTTTCATGCAGAATCTTCAGCAGCTTCCGAGGTACAATTCACCCTTCGGTCAGAACTCCATGTGTTGCGGATGGAGGCCGCACTTCAACTGGGTGGTGGGCACCTGTGAGAGAAACTCTAAGATTCCCAACGCCACCTTCTGTGACGGCGTGCCTAGTTGTGCCCGTGAGCCACAGATCAACTACGCTGCTGTGCCTTGGAGAAGTTTGGGACGCTGGACGCCCCCACAGGGTCAGGATGACTGTCTTTAGCTGGCCGTTGATGTTGCGGGTTGGTGTGTGGGATATGTGGGAAGCTTCAAATCTCAAACACATTGAAACATTGAGAACATTTGGAAGCTTAGGTGCCCTCAAAATCATTGAACACTTTTGCACTCGTATAAGGAACATATTTCCTGGTAGTTATCCTTTGCCCGTTTGGCGAGGATGGCGGTTTGGGTACCGGGTGTGATAGCCTGTTCTGACCTCAGGCATATCAGTACAATGGCACTCACTTCATCATGCAGGATGCTTCGACAGCCGGCGACATTTCTTCCAGCGGAGTTGCGGGATCTTTCAAAGACAAAACTGGCTGGGAGTCGGTGAAGAGCAACTTCAAGTGGGACACTACGTCTGAGGTTTTATCGACTGTTTCAATTCTTTTCACACACACACATATACGTATATATGTATATATATATGTATATATATAATTTTTCATTACTTTTCAATGGCACATGTCCCCACAGACTCATTCCAATGGTTTCAGTGGTCACAGCATCGGATTTCTGCCAGGAAGGTGGCGAAGGCGATTGGCCCACCAAGTACGCCCCTTGGGGCGGGGTTGAAGGTCCACGTGGCCTCACTCCACCTGCGGCACTTTGGGTGCTCAGCGTGGACAGTGACTCTACTCCAATGGTTTCACTATGTTTCACTTTTTCTTGAAAAAAACGATCATTTGATGTCATCAAACATGGCAGGCCGGGAACCCCCCTAGAAATGTAGGTTTATAGCTGGGAAACTAATCTATAAAGTGCGGATTTTCCATTGCCACGTTTGATTACCAGAGGGTAGTAATTAGTATTTTTCATCCAGCTAAATGGGATGATGAGACCCAGGCAAGTTATATTTTGGGATGTTTTCTTTTGTTGCTCTGAGTTTTCCGCTCCCAACAAAGGGATGATCCTGAGTCAATAAACGCACTTGTGCAACCCTCTGTGGAAAGAGTTGCAAAAGGGCTTGGCTTGTGCATGGGCCGTCTCAAGAATTGGAGAAATGCATTAACATCCATAAGGTATGCTGCATGCGCATTCTCAATTTCCTACATTTTTTGTCTTTGACGTCGGGTTGGGAGCACCAGCCAGGTTTCTACTACGGCACCTTATACATGTTGTCGCAACTGACGTTGAATGCCCAGGGCCACAAGGAGCACAACAACTGCTGGGAGTGGGAGTTTGATGCCATCGAGGGTTTGCTGGGCACCGTGCCCAAAGGCAGCGCCTTGCCCGGCAACCTGAACCAGTTGTATGTCACAGCCACTGCACAGGTCACTGGCTGCATGCCGATGCCTGGCACCGCCCAGCAGGGCAATGGAAGAGGACACAACTTCACGGAACCCAAGAGCTTTGAACGCTTTTGCCACCAGAATCCCAGTGCGGTGGGGTGCAAGCCTTGGACCGCAGAGGGGGCCAAGATTTGGCATGGCGGAGGTCATCAGGGGACGGATCGTTTTGAGAACTTGGAGAATACGCCCTATGTCTTCGCAGTGGCCTGATCCTTAGTTGGCAACTGACAGAAGCTGGCTGATCAAGGGCATGCTTGCGGCATTTACATGCTTTGTGGCACAACCTGGCTGTGTACAATGGTTTGTCATATTGAAACGGAGGTCATTTTGGATTTTCTTAATCATGGGACATACCAACAAGTTTGTGACTTCATGGCACATGGGTTTGCCACAGGTGCTGGACCGCAACGGCTTTTGGGTCTATCGCTGGCGGCCGGACGAGACTGGTGCCACGGGTTGGCCCGGCATCTCTCAGACTTCCGCGGCACGGGTGTTGCCCAGCCAGCCTCGGAGGATTTTGGATCCTCGTGGCCTCAAGACCGATGTGTCTGGTGACACACCTGAAGCGGTGATCTTGATCCCCAGCCTGCTTCCAGAAGCAGCTTGCACACGGTCATCTCCAGAAAGAGCGGATTTCCGCTGGGGTGCCAGTGCCTTAGGATCCATGGGTTATGAGATGAAGGATTACAAGCCAGGTGAGAAGCTTCAGGGCGCTCAGAATTGGTGGGCACATTTTGTTGACACTCATCAGTTGCAGGACTGGCTGGTGGCTTTAGGTTGTTTCGCTTTTTCATGCCTAAAATTTGACGATGACCACAATTTACTTCCATTTTCTGGACTGGGGTGAAACTCATGAAACTCTCAGTCGCAGGATTATCCTCTTTCAATTGCTGGTGTTCCTGCCGATGCCGAGAAAGCCCTATACTCCTGCAACAAGCGGGAAGGTTTCGGCCGCCAATGCAGTTGCAAGTACGGTGGTGGTTCGCGACGGCTGGGCTTTTTGGAGGCCTTGGAAGCAGGGCCGCACTTTGATGTAGCAATGATGCTGCGAAAGATGCTGCGTTGAAGGTCTGGATTCCCGGATTGTGATTTTGAGAGGCCCCTGAGCCGATAGTAATTTGTGCATGTAGTGCGTTTTAGCTTTTTTCAGCAATCTGGACATTGGTCATGATTTGTTGAGTCTGGGGCTTGTACAGTGGGAACTGGTGGAACCGAAGCTTTTGGGGCTGCTCGCTATAGCCTCACCTTGACGGAGAATATGTTGCAAGGGTGAGGAGCATGCCCACGCACCAGAAAGGAGACACTTGAAGTGTCTTGCTCCCGATGTTATCCACAAAACCTCTTTCAACGTCCAATGACTGAGCTCCATCGAATTGTCTGAAGAAAAACAAGCTTTTTGCTGCACTGCTCGGCCTAGTTTACGCATATGAAGTATCACAAATGAGATCATGATGCAGAAAAGTACCTCAAACTGGGGTTGAATGCCAGTTCAAGGGGGTCCTAAACCTAATCATAGCTGGTAGGTGCGCATCATTTCTCTTGCCCTTAAGTCCACTCTTTCTGCGAAACTCGAGTCCATGGATGTCTTGGTCTGCAAATAGGGTATCCGCAATTTCCACGTAAAACAAATGAATGTTAATGGTAATTTTCTGGGATATCGCATGTCCTAACCGACTCTGACAATTCTCAACTTTCAATTCGCCATTTCCCATGATTTCCCAAGATTTCCCAAGAGCCTGCAGGCCGAAGCTGTGTCTGGAACGTATTCACCACAAGGTCAAGGGGGATGCCTTGCAGCTTTGGCCCAGGAGCAGGTCTGGGCCCCAGTTGAAACCCCATTGAGAAATCCACCGGGTGGTGAATGGTTGAGCCGGTTGACAATCGATTCACAAAGGTTTTCTAAATGTGGCTCTGTTATTTTGTGGTCAGAGACCATTTTTCTATTTCCCATAACTGCATGACCCTTCATTTTCAAATAGAAAAACAGGGGTGCCTAGGTACCGGGGTGAACCCGTACCGGGATATTTATCATCCTTTGGAATCAGAAAAATTGTTCTATATTGTTCTTATATATCCCTTACAACTTACAAGCGGGCTATATTGGGCTTTCACCCTCCTAGAACCTGTTGGATCCTCCCAGTACGGCTACCAGCCTGGGATGCGTCCGAAGTTCCTGTTGATTATCGCTACTGATGTGTGCAAGCAGGCTGAGCTCTCTCGCGAACTTTTCCTCAGCCTTTCGGTCTTCGTCCCCACTTTCGTGGGATTTGAACTGAAAAAAGCGGCTGGTGTTAAACAGCTGATGAAAGTCAAACCGTGGTGTCAAATCAAAAGTGCAAATGCAGGCTGGATATATTGAGATCTATTGGAGAGGATCAACGCTCCACAGCTCAAACTGCCATTCTGTTCAAGGTTCCTAAAGCATGCGGTGCACAGCCTCAACTCTCGACCACCATACATCCTAGGGCATCGTGGATCCGTGTTAGCGATGCTATGCCTCCCAACCCAGACATCCAAACGCTTACCCCCGGTGGTGGCCTTCCACATCCATGTCGTGCTACATAACGACACAAAGGGCACCATCGAGATTCCCGTCTGGGACCAGCCTGAACAGCTTGCAGATATCCGCACGTGGGAAAGGAGTGGTACACCGATCCTTTTTTTGTGGTGCAAATGTTGAACATCAAAGTGAGCTGATCATCTTCTTCTGGTAGCTGAGAATAGGCCGCTGGGTCTCGGCGAATGTTTCGCCACATCTCCTCTTCTTCTCTTGCATTTTTTTCCAACGCAGTCATGATGCGTGCTTCTGTGATTTCTCCTTGTCCTCCGGGCGCACTTTCACTGAGCGTCATCATTCCCACTCGAACGGATGGACAAGGCAAGCTTTGAACCTATATCAGTGATAGGAGGTGTCCTAGGTGCGACAATCTTGCCCATGAAGAGTGGATACCCCTACAGCAGTTGTAGCTGTGTTTGCAACTTCTTTTTTGAGGGGGTTAGATGGATCAGACTTGTGCCCTTCAGGTGGATAGTATTGACACAACATGACATGGATTGAAGTCTAGAAGGCACATTTTCCAAGAAACCATTGTTTTTGTAACCAAATACAATACAAAGGTCTCCTGCAATCTTGTTCCTGTTCAAAAAGGTTCCCAAGGACTCAATTTGTGATCCATACCGTACCTGCACCTGGTAGTGCCTGGTAGTCAGCTGAGGCCAGCTCGGGCTGGCGTTGTCCTGGCTGCCGTTTAGTGTACGGTGACCAGGCCAGCTGATTCGGTCTTGCAAGATGTGTTTTATTTTTTTTTGGTTGTATTTCAAGAATTAAGAACAAATAGCAAACAATTCGTTAGCTCTCTATTGGATATGCACATTTTTGATCCTTTTTGAGGTTCCGTGCTGCAATTCAAGGGTTGAACCATTCAAACGTTTTTCATTAAACTGCTTGTGGTTTCTTGCGAGCCGCCCTGGCAGGTCATTGAGTGTTCCATCTGTGAGAAAGCTCGGCCTGGCTATGAAGAAGAAGTGGCCGCGGCCAAAGCCCAGAAGGGCCAAGCCACGTTCGCAGCCCCAGAGGCAGCCTGCAAAAAGCAGGGGAGGATTGACCACTTGACCGAAACCATAAGTGTCGCAGACCTTGGAAGGTTTTTAAAGAACATCACCCTGCATGGATTCATGGATGTTGATGATCACTTCAATCTTTGGATCATGGACCGATGGCTTCAGCCGAGGCAGAACGCCATGGCAGCGTTTCTTGGTACTGGTGCTGCCTCAGCTGCTCCGTCGGTAGCCCAAGTGCTAGTGGGGTGGTGAATGGCCAGGAAAAGGGGGGGAGCGAATGAGCCTTGTTAAACTTCCCCAGATGCAGGTTTCTTTGACTTTCTCTTTAGAAGTGTGAGAAGTATGAAAACGGCAACTCTCATTTGCGCAAACCTTGATGTCCCGGAATTGATCCGAGCCTCTCCGCTCTTCACATCGTACCCAAAGCCTTGGGCAACAAGATCTCCAGCTTTTGACTTGACTCGACCTGCCCTTGACTTGAACTACTGGTAACTACTGTACCAAATGCCGGTGCATTGTGAAAGGACCAGCCCAACAAAGTTCCATCCTCAGCTGCTTTTGTGGCTGATTCTTTTATTTGGCAGGGCCAACCTGGATGACTCTTGATGTTGAAGGGCCAAGATGGTTCAAGAAGAGCCTGGAAAAACAGGCAAACTGCTCCTTTTCTTCCCTTTTGGATTCAGCTTAGTTTGTTTGCCGAAGGCCTGCCACCACAAGTATCGCCTTTGGGCGCCTTGATTGCATCTTCCAACCCGCATGTAGATATCAACTTGCTCAACTTGTAGCATTGCGTCCAGCGTTTTAGTTCTGTTCTGTTTGGGTTTTGGGTTTTGGTTCACTCAGCTAGCCGACTTAGGTGTGGGGCATCAAGTTCTGCGAGTTCGACGGCAACTTCGCTGTTGAAAGAGTTCTGGTAAAATGGGCAGTAATGTAGTTTTCTTATTTGCTTCTTCATCTATTTGTTGAGTGAATTTCTTTCTCCAGTCTCTTCCTAAGGGCATGGTGTTTGGCGCATGGAGCCCAGTTTTCTTCGCCTGCTTCGGTCTGGCAGCTGAAGTCAACTCGGTCGAGGTAGCTCCTGCCAGTGGCTCATCGGGGCTTGGGACTGGCTCCATCTTTGGCTCTGGAGGTGCCGTAGTGGCAGCGGTGGCTGTTGCTGATGGCCAGTTTTTTTCTTGGGGCCGTGCCTTGCATGCTGGCAGGCAGTGCTCCTCCGCAGTCCTCAATCTTTGGAGCAGGTGCCGTTTTCGTGACTGACATACCATCACATGAGCGGTGAGACATTCCGGCCTTATGGAGCCTGAGATGGGTGTCGTATGTGCCAAATGGGATCATGGAGTCATGGAGTCATGGAGTCATGGAGTCATATAAAAAACGGGGGGTGCAAATTAATGAGACCCACGAGATTCGAAACGCCTAAAGGCCCTACGAGTGGATGACCATTTGGGTGACCTGGAATTCCGCCATGGATCAAGCTGCGTCCCGGGGCGCCGGGCTTCGCAATGGCTGAGCCGGCGCCAGTGGAGAACGAGGAGGAGGAATCGGATGAAGGTGCCAAGGGACCATTGGCTTGCCTTTCTAGTGGATTGTTTTTTTTCCCTGTTGGGGCCTCAGAAAATGTCGACTTGGCTGAAAACTTGCCGCAGCATTCTTCCATATTCTTGCAATCATCTCCTGTCGCAGGTGTGCAGGAGCACTTGAAGGATGCGGTGGCAGGAACGCTGAAGTTGAAGCGCCTGCTGAGCGAAGGCGAGGACTTTTTGAAAAAGGTGGGGAGTTCCATCAAGCGCCGCAGAACGGTGGAGCGCTGTGGTCCGGCCGAGCAGGCCAAAGCTGCTTGGTTAAGCTGGAAGCATCTGTCATATGGAGGTGTTTTGGGTGGGCTTTCATAATCAAGAGGAGGGGTTTAAGCTGCAAACATGGGGATGTGTATTTTTGACATGTTGCTGGGGTGTGGATGGGGTGAACACGGAAAGGGTGATTATAGTTGTAATGTGGATGTTGCACATTGGCCTTCCGTGTAAGGTCACACATCTCCTCACCAAATGGGGGGCCTTGGATGATGTGCTCCTGCGGTACCACAGCAGCACCAAGAGGGCACAAAGCGGCGGAGGGCGGACAATAAATATGACCTTCCCTGGGTCGAAGTCAACAGAATGGGTGCATCATGGGAACACAGAAGAACCAACAGATCAACAATGGGGCCTGATGGGCCTGATGGGGATCTACACTGTACAATCTACACTTGAGGGAGTCCTCTGAGTTTAGGTGCCTTGCTTGAGTCTTGTTTGACACAGCCTCCCCATGGCGAACATCGCATTTGTCGGTGTCCCGATGCTGATGTTGCCCCGAGGCATGTTTTGGAGGGATTGACGATCGAGGAGCTTGAGACCCTCAACGCTTCGGGTTACCTGCCTGACAAGTTCAATGCCTGGAAATCTTGCGCGGCCCCTTGGTGAAGATTGGATTGAGCGTTCCAGCTGCTGGACCAAACAGAGTTACAGTAAAGAGCAACCAAGTACTGTATGCGAATGGCTTTAAGCTTAGGAACCTAGGAGGTCTGTCTTTGCGTGACGTCCCCCAAGCAAACTTTGCAACGGACCATTTCCATGTTTACATATTTTTAGTCTAGTTTGCTAATGTTTATCATGGTGTTTGCCAATGTTTACTAATATTTCATGCTGTAAACCTGTCATAGTCTTTTGCACCACTAATTTCTTGTAAACTCGGGATGGGTTAATCCATCTCGCAGACGATGGTAGATTCCAAATATCATTGACATAATGCATCACTCAGTACTTATTGATCTTATTCTTCATTTATTGATCAATTTTATATAATTTTATCAGATGATAGGGTCTAGGGGAATTTCAATTGCCAGATTGGATTCCCGGGCCGGGCTCTTTGCCAGGACCTTACTGCCATGCACATTGCGGGCATGCGCGAGCGAAATACCGCTGGAGGTGGAGCTTTAGATGCGATCGCGGCCTTCAGGCCGCTGGAATCCGGTGGACTTCGTGCAATTTCCGGGGTTTGGAGAAAGACAAGACCCAGCTTGCCACGGATGAAACTGTTTTGTACAAGTTCAACATATTTCAACATATTTTTTCTGCATATAGTATATATATATATAAGTACGCAATTTCGACTCATACCGTATTTTCAAGGGGGTGGACGTGGGCATTCCAAGTCCAATTCAATGGTTCAGTCTGGTTTGAAGATGTACAACCTTACCGGATTTGGTTTGATGCAGCAGACGTTTTCACGCTTTCCTCGAGGTTCAACTGGAAGCTGGATGGCACCACCGATCCCATCCTCCGAAAGCTCTGTCATAAGGATTTGCGTTGCTGGGCTGGAGATTTTGCTTTCAGGGTGAATCCTGGTGATACAAACGAGATGTTCCCATGACATTCTGCACAATTCTTGGCATTTCTGGGCGATCTTGGTGTGATTTGTGCTTGTATATGCTTGTATGATGTTGCAATTGTTGCATGCATGCCTTTGCGGATGTCTTTTTCTTGCGCTTTGGGGGTTGCAGCCTGAGGCTATGTCCTGACACACTATGATGGCGTCAAGGCAATGCCATGCCGTGTGGTTCTCCATGTCTGAGGGAATGCCATGCCCTGAGGCCCTATCTCAATGGGAATTTAACCAACCCCAAAGGTGACCTACTCAATCTCAATCATAGCATGTCATAGCATGATATCTCAGGCTCCTGAGCTTGCGACATGATATGTCAACTGCCAATTGCACCATGCCCTCCATCTGGAGCAAACGATCCGGTGGGTGATGACATTATATTATTCCATTTTGTTCCCTGCTTGTTTGTCCTTTTTCTCACTTCTAAAGATAGGATGATGATTGCTATTGCTGCTATTGACCAATTTTTTTGGAGATGGCTCAATAGCTCACAACCGCCGCTAGCAAGTTTGGGATTCTGATCCCGCTTGACGTGGAAACAAACTATGCTGTCTCGTTTGGAAGATTATTTTCTTATTGGACATGGAAGTGCAGTGGTCATTAATGCCAACCCCGGATTGACACACCCTAACTATTAATTGGGAAGTTACCCATTGTTACCCCAAAATAGTGGTACCATGTGCTACCCACATCTACCCACTATAGAGCTGGGGGATGAATCCTGGGTGGCTTCCTTGCAGCCGAGGAGTTGGCCTCCTTGATCCAAGAAGCAGTCGATTCCGAGCCAGATGCGACAGCCACGGGGGTGGCGTCGACCGTGGCTTGGCTGGGTCGACTCCAGATTTGGATGGTTTAAGAATGTTCAAGAAGGGAGAAGGGTTCTTTCAACCAGGGGTGTGGGGTGTTCATGGCATGTGGTCGCGGGTTTGGCTTCTTGACAACCAAACCAACAAAACATCACACACGAAAAGACGTGCTTGGTGGTTCACCCCAGGAATCGTAAGTGGGTTACTTCTAAGTAGGGTAAGCAGGGGCAGTTCGAACATCCCTATAAAAAGTTGTGATTTCCATTGATTTTTCACAGAATTGGATGAAGAGAAATTTGCAGGACACCCCCTCTTATTTGATGGGAACAAAATCGGGTTTCTGCAGTTTCCGGTACATTTTCCAATAAATCCAGTGAATTTTCCATAGCAAACACAGGCCCCCGGCTGCACAGCGCTGGGCCGCTTCAACCGTTTGGAGCTGATCGACGCAGAAGCGGACGCTGCAGTCTTTGGAGATGCCAATTTGAGCTGCTGAGCAGCGGATGGCAGATCCAACCATCAGTGATGAACCCAAGGCAATTGTGGGGATTTCAGGGATTTAAAGGAATCCATGGTCGATCTATCTATCTATCTCTCTCTCTCCCTATATATATATATATAGGCATCACCAATTTTTTGTTTGAGAGATTTTTCGATGTATGGCTCTAACCTGAGGGAAATATATGGATTTATGGTGATACAATGATATAACTAACGCAATTGAATTGTGGAGATTTGGTTGATTATTATTACGATATCACAGGGAAATCATGGCGATACTATGATGACTAAAAACTGGTATAAACAACCAAACAGGATGGCTAGCCCTTGATATTACTAGTTGAAGCATCAAACATGGTGGTTTACCCATGGTTTAACACTTTAACCATTCTGAAATGCGTCGATCAAAATGGGTGGATTCGGTGATCTGGGTCGTAGCTAGTTCGATATATGGAATGATGGAAAAGGGAATCTTGTCAGCGAACATGGGGGTATGAATATTGAACTGGGGGCGATGACGGGTTGTGTTCCATTTATGGCACAGTTTTGTTTGGGATACAAACCAACTTTGGTGGGTATAAATGGTTCATAATGGTTCGATATTCCCTTAAAACGAGGGCGTCACTGAAAAATAAAGGGTGATAAACTAGCTCAATTGGGTATAAATCTGGCGTGGTTGCAATAGTCGTCAAAGTGGGTCTGGATAGTTTGTGGCGACCTTCCACGACCAAACCTCATAAATGATGGATTTTGCACATTTTTGCATGAGGGCATGCCATAGGCCTCCAACATGGGTTGATGGTGAACTAGAATTACTTTTCTTGGAGTGACCTTTCAGGGCCACAATTCCATGAAGGACCACCAAGGACCCAATGATTCCCAATAGTTCAAATGCATGTCCAAAGCAGACCCGCGGTTGTGGGGCGTGAGAAAACCATGCTTTTCTGCAACTTTGCGTAGTCACTGCAAGGGGTTCGACTTTGCAAACTTCAGTAGGTCGCAGATCAAGGAAGCTGCAGCAACTCCACCCATGGTTGAGTGTTCCCAAGTATCTTTCACGGCCAATTGAGGCTTTGCTCTGCTGCTTGGGCCAGAAAGATGGAGAGACTGAGTGCTTTGATACTGCGCAAGTTTTTTTTTGGTGCCCTGGCCTGCCTATTCCATTTTCGAGTCCTGCCACGTCAGCCATAGCTCAGGAACCTCGTGCGGCACCGGAAGGCTGGAGGATTGTCTTGATGAGTTGGCTGGTGGACGGTGTGTCATCATGCATCATCCTGGCATCATGTCCACTTTCTTGGTTGAAGAATGTTGAAGAGTTGAAGGGAAAACCTACAGGAAAAGATGTTTGTTTTACGATATGCTTGACAGGATTCCCGTGTTTTCCTTTCAATTCTGGAGTTGCAGCGAGCCATGAAGGCCTTGGGGCACGTCGGCCGAGTCATAGCCACCACTTTCGAATCACTCGAAGTCCTTCGGGAAAGATATTCGGAGATAGATGAGACCATCGCGGAGCTGCTTATCCTAGATTTGCTGAATGTGATTTTCTGTTTTCCCACTGTTTAGATCTAGGGGATCTATGGGAAATGTTAATTCATTTTTCTTTTGCCGGGTCGCCTTAAGCAAATTCTAGGCTGGAAAAGCATTTTTCTGAGGTCTACCATGCTCCTCGGATTCGACCGATACAATGTGCATCAAGGATGTTTTGTTTTCGGTTTTGGTGCAGTTTTCTTCCAGTTCCCTGCGTTAGCAACATTGGTTGAAATTTCTAAGGAAGTGGACTGCACCAGAATAGCTGTTCACGCTCAGTTCAAAAACCTGGAGCGTTCTTTGGGAGCTGTTTACTACAACTTCCCTCATGCAGGACAGGCTGATCAAGAAAGATTCCAGACATGTCCACGAAATGGTAGCCCCAAAGCCACACGTTTTCCCTACAGAAAATTAAAAGCGATGAGGGTCCACATGTTCAAATATCTATCTTATTCTTATCTTATCTGATCTTATTCAATGTAATCCAGTCTAATCTTATCTTATCCAGTCCAATCTAACCCGCATCTAATCTAGTCTAATTTGATTTTACCCTTTTGTTTTGTTCTGTCTTATTGTTATTTTTATCGTTATTATATCGTTATCCTATCCTATTCATGTATTTTTGAGGCTTCGGTATTTTTGGGATGCAATTACCGGATCTTCACAGGAGCTGTGGGCGGATTCTTTGATGGCCACCCGCTGGTCAACTGGCGTCATGAAAACTTGATGCGACTTTTTTTCAGAGCCTTGCGTGCTTATGTCCAACCTGGCGGCATTGTCAAGGCAAATCCGGGGAGTGTTGGCTTGGCATTTTTTTCGGGATTGGCTGGGATTGGAACATATTGATGCATTTACGGAAGTGTTAGACGAATCCACTTGCTCCAAAAAAGGGTCGCAAAATTCGCTTGAGAAAGCCGTGAATTCCTTGTTGGGCACCAGGTGGCCTCAAATCAGGGAGCAGTGGGAGTTCGATATTCCTACATCATTTGCTCCGCCGTGGAGAATGAATTTCGTCACATCGAAACGGTTCCGTTCTTGCAGTGGAGTCTGCATCGCTACGGTCGCTCATATGGCGACCGGCGGGACACATACCGAAGACCCGACGAAGGGGAGGGCTACAACGTCCAGCGAGCTGAAAAAGATATGGTGCAGCCCAGCTGACTGATAAGTAGTGTTTTTCAAATATCTTTCTTCTGGATATTTTGCTGTGTGGACTTAGTGGATTTGTGGTTCTTGAACTTCTTGTTTTCAGGCTCGCCACTTTAGTGCAACACTGCAACAAGAAAGACATATCAATAACTCAGAACGATTTCATGCTTGGAGGGCGATCCTATTTTGTTTCCTTCAGAACACATCCAAGGTATGTGTTCACATATGAGCCGTCTGGGCAACCACTACCTCCACAAGACATCCGGCTCCCTCCAACCTTCCGGACCATTGAGGTGCAGAATTGAGAGGACATCCATGGAGTTGGCCAAACATTTACAATTTCTATTCATTTCTATCCATTTCTATCCGTTTCAGCAGTCTTTTCTGGAAACAATGGTGTTACCATCGCGGCATATTTTGGCCTCCTGGTTTCCTGACTGGCTTCCCCCCATCAACATTGGAGGCTTGCCCTGATGGGCCCTTTGATGGAATGACTGGGGAGTCCCGAAAGAACTTGGCCAAACAGCTCTACAGACGCCACTGGAAAGCACGAAATGGGGAATTGGGGACTGGGGATGTTCAAAACATCCAGGGGACTGGGGCTAAGTGGAATCCCCACCAAATGATTCTTGAAAGGTGAGGGGGGTCAAAAACTGACAATTTGTTTTCAGCGGCTAGGTTGGTCACGGTGAGTGTGCTTTTCAGTGTCCTCCTACATATGAGATGACATCTGCTCTAAGGCTTCATGTTGGAGTGCTCGGGCACTCACGTGGGTTAAAGCTGCGCCACGTGAGCTGCACAGCGCACAGAAGAAATCTGAGCGATGGGCACAAAAAGACCTTGCATGAAGTATGCTTGATGGAATTTATCACATCAACCGGATCATTGGACAAGTGGGGTTCATTTTACCGGCAGCTCATCGTTTTTTTTCCTCTCCTGGGGGCCTGGGGGGAGGCAAAATCCCTTGATTTATCAGAATTTATCAGCAATGTTTGTTGTTGTAAAGCACCCCCTGGCTGGGAGAGCCCCGAATTTGAGCCTTGGGCAGGTGCCGTGGGTGCAGGCGCAGGCAGCGCAGGCACTTCGGAGCAAGCTGATGGAGGAAACGTCCCAAACTCAGATGAAGAGGATGTGTTGGGAAGGTGTATGTATGAATATATATATATATAATATATATATAGTTTTCAACCTGGAAGCTGGCTGCTGGTTGGAGGTGTTTTGACATTTTCACATTGCCATACTGTAGCATTCCAGGCTTTTCTAGCTGTGCCAAGCTGGATGAGGTCCCCAAATTTACTGTGCCTTCGGCGCAGCCCAAAGCAACGGTGCCGCCGCCGCCGGTGGACGCCTTAGTTGAGAGGAAATCTTATGCAGGATGGGACCTCAACATCATTTTGCTACTTGCAATGGAAGTACAACCTAAAATAATATCAGAGAGAGAGAGAGAGATAGAAAGAGAGGCAACAAGAAAGATCAGTTCTGTGATGTTCTGGATAGTCAAACAGGATATTTCATAGCCGCCTAAGTCATAAGCGGTAGCGCATATTGGCATTAGGTCCAACCATGGTTAAATATCAGGCACCTCCTGCAGATGGCATGGGCTACGGTTCGGCCCTCATCCTTCCAGATTCCATTGTGGGGTCGCTGAAGCCAAGAAGCCACTGTGACAGCAACGTGGTTGACAGGTATGTATGGGTACCCGTGCCCACAGCCCACTCCTCAGCAGTAAGAAAGGGGCTGTCAGAGATTCAGAGACCCAGAACATTCTCCACTGCTCTATGCTGATCCCCCAATGGTCAAAGACTAGTCACAGTCCCATATTAGAAATTGTTAAGCTATGCATTCCCATTTGCGAGAGGGCTGCAAGATTCTTGCATCCATGTGAGTGCCACGAAGTGTGACGAAGAGCGGAGAGCAACTGAGGCAGTTTGGAATGCCTGGTTGTAGGGCGCTTGGCGATGGACAGCATTTACATCTCATGTGCCATATTATACATACACACAATCACACACACACCCAACCACACACACACAATCACACACACACAGATATATGTATATATATATATATACACGCACACACACACACATGCATGTGCATATATATATATATATAATAGATATATGATATAATATGATATATATATAATATACACATATATGTATATATATATATGCATCTAACCCTCAGTTCGGAGAGGCAGGACTTGGTCTGAAGGCGATGGAGGGAGAGAGAGAGAGAGAGATACTTGACGGGTCAGCGCTAAACACAGACCTGCAAATTTATACCTTTCACATTTTTTGAAGGGAACATGGATGACACCCTGATGTCATGTCAAGGCATGCCGCCCATGGCTATGCCCGGCATGATGGGCATGGGAATGTGAGGAGCTGAGCAGGGCAGGAAAATGCACCCCAAAAAATGGGGACATCCATGACATCCATGATATTTTGGCATCAAATCCCTTCACGCTCAAGGTACGGCTACCCAGATCCCGCGAAGGTGGATGCCCTTGAGCGATCGGTGAAGGCGGGTCAATTTTTGCCAACCGCTTCGCGCTTCGGCCGAATTTCGGCGTGGTTTTCGCCAGGATTTGCAGGACAAGATGAAGGCCGTGTGGACTATGCTTTGCTTTGTGATAGGGTCCAAATATAGGCCGAGAATCATAATCAGGAGCATTTTTTTTTTCCAAATCCCCAAGTTTTGGAGAAATGTTCCCTGATGGTTGCAATGTCAGGAGATGAAAGATGCGCTGGATACCGAACGACAGGAGCGGTCCAAGGCAAGAGCCCTGGGATGTTTCCCAGTTGGGATGAAGGGTTCACCAGTTCACTATGGTATACCTGAAAATGAGCGAAAATGATGGATCTCTCCTTAAGTTTAGGACACACATGACCATTACTGTATCACCCCCCCAGCAACCAAAAAGAAAAGCAGATTCTCTTCTCTGGACTGGCTGGAAGCCACCAAGAGGCGCATGGAAAATCATGGGCACACAGTGATGTAAAAAGATAGAACACTAGAATTTGCCATTGTTTTAGGCGCCACGGTCTTCTTTGACCGTGGTTGAAATGGACGTTGTTAACTTTGACAGGACAATTCTTGGACAATTTTTCGTGTCAAATTCGCCGTGATTAGGTTTCACATGTTCGTTTCACTTGCATGTGCAAAGGATCCTTGGTCATCATGTCATTTCTCCAAAATCAGGACTCCAATCGACTAGTTGTTTCAGGATTGAAACCTTAGTTTTTTTTCTCCCCAATGCAATCTAGACATTTTAATACATTTTTGACATACGCAGATTGTTCACATGTGTTTTTTAAGATTCAATGCGTAAATAGGGAATGAGGTCAGAAGGCCATGCGACCGCAATGTTCGGTCTGGGCCAAGATCACAGAAAGAATGGATGCTGATGGGATAACCCCCCTACCAATAAGAATGACTTTTCTTGCGGGATAACATGTAGCGGAATGTAGCGGATGTTCTTGCCCCACCCCGACCCCAACTCCAACTCCCAACCAAACCCCGAACCCAACCCCACGAGAACAGGTGACACAAGCGAGGTAACTCGTAGAGGATGTTATTGCCTCACCCCCGAACCCCTCGAAAACGGGGTAACATGTAGAGGTGTAGCGGATGTTATTGCCCCACCCCCCACCTCAAACCCTGACCCAAATGAGTTCCAAATATATACATGCAAATGATGCATTTGTGGCAATTTGTGGTCTAGAAATCGCAAGAATAGCACTTATCGTATTTGGATGTATTTAGTAGGTCAATAAATTGATTGGCAAGAATAGCATTTAAAATCATTTGATCGAACGGTCAATAAAGACCGTGGTACCTTTTGTATTCTTTAGTAGGTTTTTGCCAATTTCTATCTTTTTTGGGGTTGCTATATTAGTCGGGGTTTCTAAAAATGGGAGATCCCCAAAACCACAGGATTCAATTCTAAAATGGTGATCAATGACTTGGATGATTTGGGGCTACCGTGGTACCCCCATGACTTCGGAAACCTTCATATATTACTTGTCAATGGCAAACATGTCATGCAGGGCCCCCCGCAGGTGGATCTCATGGTGCAGTTCATGGAGAAGCGACTCCAGGAGGAGGAGATTGAGAAAGCTGGGAAGTTCAACAGTAAGTATATGTATGTATATATGTATATATATATATACATAACACACATATATATATATAGATGTATAATATGTATGCCTAAATATACATGCATATATATATATGTGTCTCTCTCTCTCTCTCTCTCCATATATATATATATATGTGTTTGCCTATATATATATATCTTATTATATGTATAATATATACATTTACCTATATATATATTTATATATTTGCAAATATACACACACACATATATATATATATATTAAGATCTATCTCTCCATATGCACACATAATATATATATATATCTACATCTATGTCATGTCTATGTCTCTATCTATATCTATATCTATATCTATATCTATATCTATATCTATATGTATATCTGTACTTATTTAAGGTTGATGCTGGGTATATTCTTCAAGCATTGCGACAGGAAGCGCGCTCCAACCGAGCTGAATCTCGTGCCAGTGTCTCAGGAAGTTGCACGTTGCAACACCCAACGCGTTAGTCAATGGGATCTGAGAACTACCACCGTTAAACATGACGAAACCTATTGAGGTTGTAATACACTATGACATTACATAACATGTTATGCAACAGATTTCAACATGTGATAAAATGTCATAATATCCAGCCGAAAGCAACAGATTTCAAACAAATATTATCGCCGGTGGGACCTGTGAGACCTGTGGGACCTGTGGCGCAGGCTGCAGCAGCAGAGGCTCAAGTGAGGCAAATGGAGAATGTGGTTGAAGGACATCGAAGAGTTGCTATGGGATGACCCCACTTGTTGGATGGCAAACGCCGTCTTCGGCAACATTTCAATAACCAGTGGATATAGTTGCTGGTGGGATATATTTTTCCATTTTTGGGTGGTTAGAAGCTCATGTTCCTTGTTACGTCCCCAGTGGCCTGGGATTGGAAGGACTTCGAAGATCTGTGGAAAGGTCGGAGCCCCATGTTGAAGTGATTGAAGTGGAAGCAGCTCCATGGCATGGGAATACTTGGATTTTCCACCTTAGCACTCAGCACCTCCCTATACATCGGTATGCGCGAGGGATAAAAAAGGAAGATTGGATTCATTTAGATTGGATTGCATTGGATGAGATGAGATGAGATCAGATAAGGTAAGGCAGGACAAGACAGATAGGTAGACGCGCACACACACACACACCATATTGATTAAGCCTATGGTATACGCATATATGACTTGCACACATGTGATACTAGTGTCGCCATGTGCTTGTGCACGCAGGGCTTCCACTGGTATATTCTCATTCTCCTTACCCAGTGCAGATTTCTCCTGCCGTTAGCGAGCGCTGGCAGGTTGCAACCAGATGATTCAAGGCTGGGCTCTCACAGTGCTCTCACAATGGTGGAAGTTGGTGATCCTAAACTCCATGGATTGATTTAAGGGAAACCAGCACACCCTGGTCTTTCACCATCAAATATTGTTTTCTTTTGGATAAAATCTCCCGAAAACATCCAAAACCAAATCTGGGATTGATGCTTGGAGGCTTCTTGGGAGTCTTCAGAAGAACCTGGAAGAACAGCCGGAGGCCGAGGTTTCACTACAGGCATGGGTTCAACTTGAGTCTGGGGATGGCAATGGCGAATGGACATGGATCTGAGGCTTGCCCCTCTTCGACAAGGCCTGAAACAGGCAGGCCGTGAGAGCCTTGAGAGTCTTGAGATCAGCTGTTGTTATCTTCACTTAGGTGTTTTATTATAGCCCCCTACTTGGATGTGCAGTTGGGGTTATTACAGTAGTGGGTGGTGAAAATCTCAAGAAGTTGGGATGTATATATATATATAACTAACTGATATAACCCCTCACTCTATGGATGTATAATGATGTATACATACATACATACATACATACATACATACATACATACATACATACATACATACATACATACATACATACATACATACATACATACATACATACATACATACATACATACATACATACATACATTACATAAATACATACATACATACATACATACATACATACATACATACATACATACATACATACATACATACATACATACATACATACATACATACATACATACATACATACATACATACATACATACATACATACATACATACATACAACATACATACAACATACATACATACATACATACATACATACATACATACATACATACATACATACATACATACATACATACATACATACATACATACATACATACATACATACATACATACATACATACATACATACATACATACATGCGTGTTTTCACCTGCGTGGCTGGAACTGCGCCCACAAGTACTATAGCGCCATAGTTGAACATGTTTTCCGCGGTGAATTGCAGCCCTGCCGCAGAAAGCCAGTGATGAGAGTCTGCACATCCTTGCAAAGGTCGCCCGGGCGGAAGTATTTTTCACTGCATCTCTTGAGCCAGCGCAATGGGAACTTGTTTCACAGTTGACCCATGTTGAGCCTCAAACCTGTGGGCCAGGTTTTGGAACAGAACCGAGACGTGGCAAGCTTGGTGAAATCGCAGCCTTTTGACTGGACTGGTCCCTGCACTGCTGCTATGTGGTTGATTTTCTGCAATTTCCTTCCCCCAAACGTGACCATGGAGGCTGAGCAACGGGGTCCCAGTTCCATCAAGGGTTGCCCGAATCACTTGAGCAGCTCACTGGGGTTTCTGATCCCGAACCCAATAGTTTGGTAAATGTTTTGAAGATGATCTCCTCATATCTCCTCATTCGATTTGGGTCTTGGTGTAGGTTGAATACCTCAAAAATGCGTGATGACTATTTGAAATGACTTACTTGCCCCAGGAGCGGCAAGAATGCCGACCCGCAGCCAAACCATCTCCATCTAAACGGTGGTTGTATATGGTTGTATCCCTACTAAAATTACAGCTCAAATCCCAAGCCTGGGGTTTCAACATCTTTTAACTCCGATTTTGCAGAGGCTGAGTCCAGCAGTTCATTGAAGCAGCGGCTGGAGGTGAGCTGGGGAAAAATGTCGGAAACCAATGGCAGTTGAAAACCTCATATCTATACATTTCTTGCCTTTTCTTCCATCACACATTAACATTGCTCGGAGCAATTGACCAACCTTGATCTGTTTCAGTGAGGAGAGCAACCCTGAACTCGGAATCCCAATCTTTGACACCCCAAAAACGGGGAGAATGATGGAGAAGTTTTCACATCTGTCAGGCGGTGGAAGCGAGACTTGAAAGACTAGGACATGAACCTCCCATCATCTCGATGACAAGGCCGGTGGTAAAGATTTCATTGACGAACTGCTTCATTCTGCCTGTCCTCGCAAGTTCATGGTGGAAAAAGGCCTCCAATGGACCGTGCCGCCTATTTCCAGAGTTTGCACGCTAGCACCCCAGACCCATCAGTGGTTGTGAGGATCGAGAGTCTGAGTGATGTCAACCTCATCATGATATCATCATGATTGGCCAATGGCACGGAGAACTCCACAATGTAACTCCACAAGGTCACCTTATTTTGGGGCCATCTTCATGTTTCATCAAACCTGCGTGGAAAATCCGCCAATCGTCCGAACTTCCTTTAATATAAGGTCCAGCAAACTGGCCGGCGCCTGGCCAATGGATGTGAGGACGATCTGCAGCTGTCCTGCTACGAGTCACGAACCTGCTACATTTTTCTCGTGAACCATTGTAGCCGTGGTGTGCTTGCAGCCTTTCAAGTTCTCAAGTTTCACAGTTGAGAAGATCAAAATATATCAAAATCAAGAGCGAAGATGGCTTGGAGCATTCGATACCATGATCAGGTATGACCAGAAACCTGGAAAGAAAGCGCAACAAACAAGGAAACAAAAATGACGCCACCACTCCTCCCAGCAAAGCGCCTCAAGCGACATGGCAACTGCAGTGCAGATGGATGGGACTTCGATGAAACGCGTGCAGCCAGCAGCAGAGGCACCAGCAGCTGTTTTTCGAGCTTAGGAAACAAAATATTACTAGGATGAACAAGTGTTAGGGAGAAAGAGAGAGAGAGAGAGAGAGAGAGATAGAAAGGGATGCACCTGGAAGGCAGGAAACAGTTGGTAGCCTAGTGACTTCAACCATCTATCAATGGAATCATGGTTATGGCACCCGAACTCAGCTTCAAGTGAACAGGTCGTGGTCACAGGATGTACAAGCCACGAGCAGGCGTTTGCCATTCAAAACATGCTGGTTGATTGGCCCCTTGCCACAAATTAAGCAGTTGGGCTTGCAAGAAACATGCCAGCAACAGCCTCAGTTGCGCGGACAGTGCGACAAGTTCTTCGTTTTTTTTTGGTATGCAACTTCCATTACCAAAGCTTCATTCACAGTTTCAGCACTTCAAGATACTTCAAGTGTGAATAACAATGACCTGCTGGAGGGCAGCTGAGGAATGTGAGCATTTTTATATAATCTTGACCTGCAAGCGGAAAATCCAGCATGTTTAGTGAGTTTCCTGTGGAAAATGAATGAGCATGGCATGGTGGTTTCCTCCTTCCAGTGCCCGTTAGTGCCGCCGGCGGAGCACAGCGTGAACCTGAGGTTTCCTCAGGGGTTGAAGCTGGCATTCAAGATCAAGCCATCAGCCAAGAAACTGGAGGTCTCAGTGAATGAGAAGGTCTTGATATCCAAAGAGGTGGGGGTGAAAAGTTCAAGCCCTGGACCAAAACATGGGGGGCAATTTTTAGGAACAAAGTACCCTGTCGTATCCATTTTTTGGGCTCTTTGGGCACGAAACTTGTGACAAAAGCAGGTGTCAAAGCTCCTTGAAGATGACATTGCGGGACTGTGGCCCACAGATCGGGCAAAGGTGAAGGCTGAAATCCGTGGCTGGCTTGATGATTCGCCAGAAGAGCAACAGCATGCCCCCACCGAGAAGGACCTTACGGTAAGGGAAAAGACTGGAAGCAGCACTTTTGAAATTGTTTCTGGGCGGCCAACGTTATTGTTTCCTTTTGATTTTGGGATGATACTAATGACAAACGGTTTTTCAGGGGCACAATAAGATACCGTTTGCAGGTGGGATCTATCGTTGTGATTCTTTCAGTTGGTGTGGCCATCTATGTCTTCACCTACTTTCTATCCCTTGGCCTCCGCTCGGGTCGTGGCGAAGACTCGAGTCCAGTCTTTGAGAACGAGGAGCTTTGAGCAGCTCGAAGGCTCGAGCCGCGACACGCAGCGAATTCGACGGTCCAAAAACTGAACGCTCCATGGAGGGCGTCGTCTGGTGCGCTAAAAGATGATTGGGGCCAGTGATGGCCAGTGATTCACCGGTTTTAAGGGGTTGATATATGTTGATATGGGTTAACTTTCAATGGGTTGAAACCAAAATTCAATCAATAGGTACTCTGAACAGACTCTGAACTCTTCGAGAAGGCAATGGAGAGAGAGAGAGAGAGAGATACAAATGGTATGCATTGTTGTTGTTTATACAGATATGGATTGATATGGCATGATGTCATCTGATGTCGCTATCTGATATTCTGATATCTCACATTTTCCTTACAACTGATGCATATCTCCTTCGTTTGTTGTCACCGGGTAGCTGCTTGGCAGGAAGAGCCACAGCAGAGCACTGTGTACCTGGCCGATCCTAAGCCAAAGTCCGAGCAATTCACAGAGCAAAAGTATGACTCTATCATTCCCAGGCTAATCAAAGCTGAAAGGGAATATGCATGAACAAATAAAACACAAACAATGCAGTAATACAGTAAATAAAACAGCAAACAAGCAAATATGAGCATATACAATCATATACACATATATGCACACGCACTCACACACACAGACACACATACATACATACATACATACAGACAGACAGACAGACAGACAGACAGACAGACAGACATACAGACATACAGACATACAGACATACAGACATACAGACATACAGACATACAGACATAAAGACATACAAACATACAGACATACAGACATACAGACATACAGACATACAGACATACAGACATACAGACATACAGACATACAGACATACAGACAGACAGACAGACAGACAGACAGACAGACACACACACACATACATACATACATACATACATACATAGATACATACATACATACATACCTACCTACCTACTTACCTACCTACCTACATACCTACATACATACATACATACATACATGTATATAAATATATGGATATATCCATATATACATATATTATACATATATATATACACATATACATATATGCATATATCCATATATGCATATATCCATATATGCATATATACATATTCATATATACATACATATATGTGGTGTACAACATATGCATTCGCACATGGAAATGTTGGAGTTTTTTTTTGCGCCTTGCCGAGGCCGCTTCTGAGACGCATTCCATGAGTTGCGGAAGCGTTCCCGGGGCGCCCCGCGCTGCTCACAGTTCTTTCAAAGGCCAAGGACACACCGTGGACCTGTGCTGACCGCACGTCCGCTTTTTCAACACTATTGATGCCCGCAAGATTTTTTCATTTTGACACATTTTGCCTGCTGTTGAACATTTGTCTAGATGCTGGCCGTATGAGATCAACCAATGGCAGTTTAATGGTTTGACCAGGCGTCTCAGAACTCTTAAAATTGAAAACTAGCAGTAAAGTAAAGCAAGATCACGAGGATCCCATTGACTCCCTGCACTGCGGGCATTCAAGAACTAGCCAACAATGCTTCCGTGTTGGAGGTGCCTCTCCGCTTTCTCCTTTTTCTCCTCTCCCTAGAGGACTCTTTCTCTCAATCATACGTTTTGGCCCTCGAATATGCAATGCCCAATATGCGCACCCTCAGGATTTCACAATCCCAACGTGTCTTGCTACAAATGGTTATGCTGGAGCAAATTGAGTGTGAAACGGCTTTACCGCAAACAACCAACATTCAGAGACTGACCTATAGAACCAAACCAAGTGCATGGATCCACGTGTGTCTTGGGCCATTTGCAGTGCAGCGTGGGTGCACTGGCCTTGCTAAGCACAGGAGATCATCAGGGTCACAGGTGCAGCACTGTGAGTCTTCCCAGTATTTCCCAGTGGTCGTGTGGATCAACTCCTGTGGTGACAAGTTTTGAGCAAAACATCTCGGTCAACCTTGGTCGATGGTCCATGAGTCAAATTTTATCCAACATAACACAACCAAAGGGAACTTATACAGTAATATTACGTTTGCTGTGGGGCACTCAAGGTTGGCCATGAAACTTAGGACCGGCAAAGTCTGCATAGCAGCGCAGGCGTAAGACTGCCGCAAGCCGCTCGGTGATGCTGAAGAGCCGCATGAGACAAATGGCGATCCATGAGAACCTGATTTTCAGTATCAGAATAGCTCTTGTTTAACCAATACCCTTTTCAAAAAGTGGATGTTCATCTCTCTGTTATGATTGTATGACTGGTTTTGACCCATCCCACAACTACACAGAGAATGGCACCCACATGTGAATCAACTTGAGTTTTTTTCCTGGGGTCAAGCATGTGAACATTCATTCCCTGGGGCTGAGAAGAAGGATCTTGGAAGTGAAAAATGGCCTTTCTGTAGCCCGAGGCGATCACAGAATCTGGAAATGTCTAGGCCATGGTGGCACCTGCGGGATGTGTGACAGATTGGAGTTAAGGTGTGCATGGCCGTTCATACACCAAACTCCGGCCGCAATTTTTTGGCTCTTCGTGGTTCAAATGGAACAGGGGCAGCGACAAAAGGAACACATCCTTCAGCAAGCCTGTCAGAGAGATCCAAGTGCTTCCATGCAACTCCAAACAGTATCTTCAACATTCTTCAACATAGACCTGACACCTCAACTCCTACAGCCAAATCATGCTAAATCTGCTTTGATACCTGCCAATAACAAGGCGCCAATCAGGAGGATGTCCCCAAAAAGGTATGGTCCGGCGGTTGCCTCGGATTCGGTTCTTGGAGCCCGGGCAAGTTTTAGTATCTCAGTATTACTCAGACAATGTCATTGGTCTGCTTTTCCTTGCGCGACCTTGACGAGGTGTGTTTGGCGGTGGGGTTGATTTGCTGGTCAGGGGCTTGCGGGCGGCTGCAGCTTTTATCAGCTCTTGCTTCTTTGCGGCTGAAGTTGGCATTGTTTTTTTTGGTAAGGTCCGCGGCACCAGTTCTGCCTTTTGTAGGCACAGGCTGAACGGAAATTGGATGGATCGCTGGGCGGGAAACCCTTCATTGAATTGTGTTGTTCAAGGAAATCTGCCCTGAAACAGTCGCGTGTTGAACGTTTAGAAAACTGCAAATCAACAGGTCAAGGCCTTTGCAATCAAAACCCAGCAGTCGGGGCACAGTCTTATTGATCTTGCACGCTCACGGCTTCGACATGGCAAGTGCAAATCCCTGATAATCCATGAGTCTGGCAAATGATACAAGTGATAGCTAGGAGGAGTTTAACTATTTAGTACATGCAGTAGTGGGTACAGCAGCTATGTGCTGGATGTCGTTGTGACAGCGAGCCGAAGTTCAAGTGATGATTATGTTCAGGTTCCCGTTTTGCCATGGCCTCTTCACATGTCCAGCCTGTGGTAGCCCCAGCCTGGCTGCTCTGAACATCTGATCTGTGATGAATGAGCTTGTTGCTCAAACTATAGTTTTGATTGGGGCAAGCAGAAGAGCTGACAGCTTTGCATCCATGATGGGTGGTGATGTAATGACAGCGCGGCAACGAATCGTCCTACCTTAACGCATCTTGGTAAACGTGTGCCGTGGTGGTTTCAGGTAGTTGTCATTCTCCCATGCCATAAATCTAAATCTCAGTCCCAGATCTAAGCTTATCCAGGATCGATCCCAACTTGGTTCCTACTCTAGCAGCTCTACAGCGCCATGGCCTGGCTGAACAGCGAGATCACCTGGGCCGCCAACGAAGGTTCGGAGGCCTTGCTGGAGATCATCGGGCAGAAGGCCGAGCGCTTCAACGCCATCAACGTGGCCACGGCCCTGCACCGCCTGGCGCGGTGCCACCGGGATGGCAACAAAGAGCTGGCTGAAAACGAGGCCTATGAGTTCATGGCAGACCTTTGGGAATGGGATGACTATAGTACGCCAAAATCAAAACATGTAAAAACATGACACAGCATAGTGAATAGTGTTTTGTTGTGTTTTTTTCGGGTTTGAATTTATATGTATATATATATATTAAAACTTGCACTCAGGCGTTCAAATCCTTGGTGGAGAAAACTTCCAGCGTCCTGCGTTTATCGGCTATGCAGTGTGATGCCAAAGCAGTCTCAACCATTGCGCACGCTGCAGCAGGGCTTGGGATCCGAGATGTTTCTGTGGCCGCCGGTGTGGTTGCAGCCGCCTCAGAACGTCTGCAGGATTTTGACCGACAAGGCGTCGCTAATCTGGCCTGGGCCCTGGCCAAGATGCCAAAGGTCAAAGGTAGACTCAAACTTGCCAAAGAACTTGCCTCAAGGTCGCATGGACTCTTGTCAGACTTCTCCCCGCAAGAGTTGTGCAATGTGCTGTGGGCCCTTGGGAAGCTGGGAGTTCGGGACAACAAATTGATGTCGCTGGCCAGTGATACAGCCCGCGGTAAGCTGGATGCCTTCACGCCGCAGGGGTTGTCGATGCTGGCGGCCTCCTATGCCCGGGTGGGCATCTTCAACGAGTCACTGCTGGAGGAGATCCGCTCCAAAGCCGAAGCACAACTGGTCAAGCTGAACAGCCGCGATGCAGCGCAGTTGGTGGGAGCCTTAGTTATATCACCCAGGGGGCTAACTGGAGACCAAGAGGAAATAGAACATTTTTTGCAGGAGAATCGTTAAGGTCCATGTAAAATTCTAAAAACACTGCCGAATCGGAATCGGAAATTTTGATTGGTTGGGCTGCTTGAGGTTTTTGTCAAGATTGAGCTTCTGGTTTGTCATTTTGGTATATTTTTGTACTGACATTTTCTGATATTTGGGGTTATTGGGGCAACTGGTATAGAATTGGTGGTCGGAAACTGCAGCTATACCGAGGTGTGGAGCCACGCAAAGTTCAAACTCTGCAACGAGAGCTTTTTGGAGAAGATTTGCGAACATGCTGCAAAGCTACCGCTGGCTGAAGGTGCAGCCAATCAAAAACTGGCGATCATTGCCCGATTCAGAAACTATACACGATTTAGAAACTACGATTCAGGAACTACGATTCCGAAACTCTTCCGCGCGATTCAGAAACTATTACGCGCGATTCAGAAACTACGATTAGGAAACTATTACGTGCGATTCAGAAACTACGATTCAGAAACTATGTCGTGCGATTCAGAAACTACGATTAGGAAACTATTTCGTGCGATTCAGAAACTACTATTACGTGCGATTCAGAAACTACGATTAGGAAACTACTACGTGCGATTCAGAAACTACGATTAGGAAACTATTTCGTGCGATTCAGAATCTACGATTAGGAAACTATTTCGTGCGATTCAGAAACAACGATTAGGAAACTATTTCGGGTGATTCAGAAACTACGACTAGGAAACTATTGCGTTCAACTCAGAAACTACGATTAGGAAACTATTTCGTGCGATTCAGAAACTACGGTTCTAAAATCATGGACCACACGTTCACATTTACATTATACCACTTCAAAATTGCCACCCTCTCTGCCATATACATACACTTTCACGCCAGCGCACCGAAAACCGTGCTCGCAAAACGCACGCTTTTGTAAACGCACATTCGGAGTCATTCGGAGGGCATGATGGGGTGGGTTGGGGGGGGCATGTTAACGTTCCTTGTACTTCGTACGTTATATGTTGCTACGCTGCAGAGATCTCTGGTTTTGTTGCTACGTTATATGTTGCTACGCTGCAGAGATCTCTGGATATCTCTGGTGTTGTTGCTACGGTGTGTACACGAAGGGGTGGGGTGGGGTGGGGGTGGGGCATGTTAACGTTCCTGCTACTTCGTACGTTATATGTTGCTACGTTGCAGTGATCATAGTTTCCAAATCATAGTTTCCGAATCATAGTTTCCAAATCATACTGGGTGAAAGCCCTTTCTTGTCTCAGATAGCACTTTGTTGTCTCATCTCGGTGTGCCATGCGGAAGAAGTGACACAACCACTGGAATGAATTACTACATGATTTGTTATTTGGTATGATCTTTACAGCACAACGCATAGGCACGCAGGGATTCTTAACATGGCAAACATTAGTTATATCAAGTTATATCCATTTGCCCCCTAACAATCCCTGGAGCAACGTGAGTTGCCCCACAGTGTGTACACACTCGGGGGTCTTGTGATCGGTCCTCCTCCTCCTCCTTTTCCTCCTCCTCCGCCTCCTCCGCCTCCTCCTCCTCAGTATCATCATCTTCCTCCTCCTCCTCCACATCATCATTCTCAGCATCATCCTCGTCCTCCCCCTTGACATCATCATCCTCAACATCGTCATCCTCCACCTCATTTTCTGCAACATCCTCCTCCTCCACCCCCTCTTCCGCAATATAAATTATCATCCTTTTCATCCTCCTCCTCAACATGATCATCCTCAACATCATTATCTTCCTCCTTGAAAACATCGTTATCCTCTACCTCATCATCCTCCACATCATCCTCCACCTCATCATCCGCAACATTATCCTCCTCCACCTCATCTTCCGGACCTTATTGCTTGGATGTTTCGGACCTATCCACATCGTTTTTACCATTTACGGTTTTTGATCTGACGTGGGGATACGTGGGGTGGGTCCTGGCTGGAATGGCAAAATGTAATTCCGGTACCTCGTCCGGTATCTCGTCCGGTACCTCGTCCAAAAACCTTCCAGAGTCATGATTCTGGTATTACATCCATATTCCATATGTCTCGGATTCCGTTACAGCAGGGCAGGGTGTGATTTCAACGTTATTAATTTCAAACTTTGTTTGTGAAAGTCATCCACTCCGCTGGCAAGTGTGCCATTGGGGTTTTGGCTCTCATGAGAATGGACGCCCTTTATTTTGTTTCTTTTGGGCATACCAGAACGCAAGCTGGTGATGCTGTTTCAATGCTTGGCTAAGCTTTTGGCCTGGAATGGCTTTTGGCGGTGTGCCATTGGGATTTGACTCCAAGTTGACAGGTCGTATCTTCCCGTATTCTGATTCCGGGCATAGCTAAATGCAACTAGGGACATGATTCAAAGTTTGCAACGACTTCGTGAAAGTCTTCCACTCTCCTGCAAGTGTGCCATTGGGATTTTAGTTTTTTTTGAGAATGGACACCCTTTATTTATTTTGTTTTTTTTGGGAAATACCAGAACGCAAGCTGGCGATGCTGTTTCAATGCTTGGCTAAGCTTTTGACCTGGAATTGCTTTTGGCGGTGTGCCGTTGGGATTTGACTCCACGTTGACAGGTCGCACCTTCCCATTTTCTGATTCCTAGAATAGCTAAATGCAACTAGGTACATGATTCAAAGTTTGCAACGGCTTCGTGAAAGTCTTCCACTCTCCTGCAAGTGTGCCATTGGGATTTTATTTTTTTTTGAGAATGGACACCCTTTATTTTGTTTCTTTTGGAAATACCAGAACGCAAGCTGGCGATGCTGTTTCAATGCTTGGCTAAGCTTTTGGCCTGGAATGGCTTTTGGCGGTGTGCCATTGGGATTTGACTCCGAGTTGGCAGGTCGCACCTTCCCATTTTCTGATTCCGGGCATAGCTAAATGATTCCAAGATTGTCACGACTTCGTGAAAGTCTTCCACTCCCCTGCAAGTGTGCCATTGGGATTTTAGCGTTTATGAGAATGGAGACCCTTTATTTTGTTTCTTTTACCAGAACGCAAGCTGGCGATGCTGTTTCAATGCTTGGCTAAGCTTTTGGCCTGGAATGGCTTTTGGCGGTGTGCCATTGGGATTTGACTCCGAGTTGACAGGTCGCACCTTCCCATTTTCTGATTCCGGGCATAGCTAAATGCAAGCTAGGGACATGATTCAAAGTTTGCAACGACTTCAAAACATGATGCATCTGAGCCGCTGTGCCTTGGGGATTTGAAACCTGGGGTAACTATTGTTTGCCCTGGGGTAACTCGGTGTGCCTTGCGGATGGGGCAACTACTAGGTGGATGGGGTAAGTAAGGGCGTCCGCTTGTAGTTTCCGAATGATAGTTTCCGAATCCGCTGCTCACAGTTTCCAAATCTGACCTCATAGTTTCCAAATCATAGTTTCCAAATCCGCTGCTATAGTTTCCAAATCCGCTGTTATAGTTTCCAAATCACGCGGTGACCGAAACTGGCTGGTCAAATATTTCAGGTTTCGTATACATTTTCTCTCAAACCAACCCAAGTTTTTTTCTCGTTCCGATTGCTTCACCCCGCAGTTATCCACCTTTCCCCAGTCCTTGAAGGCAACGAGCTCCTTGTCTCCTTCCTTTGGTCGTTTGGAACGCTTCGTTGGGCGACTTGGCCAAGGGAAGGACATGGAGATCTGTGTACATATACTGTATATATACTGTACATTTTTTTGGGTTATCTTATATTTTGCGGATGTTATACAATCCCACCCCCCAAAATCAAATACCCCAACATGGCCCCTCAAAATGAATAGATCCAATACCCAACTAGGGTTACTAAGGGGGTATTTAATAGTAGGGGGAAGATGGGGGAAGGGATTACTCATTGCATACATACACATCACATGAAGGCATGGTCCATTAGCTGCCTTTGGCCCGGCGCAACCGGCACGACAGCCACGGCTTCTTGTTTCTTGACCGGTTCCTTTTCTTTTGAAGGCCCATGCATCTTTTTTGTCTTGCTTTTCTGACCCCTATAATGTTTTTGACCCCTACGTAGTCTTGTGCTCCGTGTCATGGGTTTCTTGTTTTCCAGGAGAAACCGGCCTTTAAAGCAGGTAGAACAGACCGGCAGCCAAACACAACTTCAAAAATCTGCGAAAATTAAGATTTGCTACACGACACGCACACATATGTATATATATATATATGTATAAATACACACTATATATACACTATATATATACATTGTATGTATATATATATATACATTGTATATATATATATTGCACATACATACATACATACATCCATACATCCATACATCCATATATCCATACATCCATACATCCATACATCCATACATCCATACATCCATACTTCCATACATCCATACATCCATACATCCATACTTCCATACATCCATACATCCATACATCCATACATCCATACATCCATACATCCATACATCCATACATGCATACATGCATACATGCATACATGCATACATGCATACATGCATACATGCATACAAATACACAGTACATACACCTACATATACCTACATACATATAGAAAAAAAAACATATGTATGGAATACCGAATGCCCTCAGGTACAAGAGGGTCTAGGATGGTCTACCAAGGGTTTGAAAAAATAAAGGTCTGAAACGGTCACTTTTTCACTCTAGACCTTGGCAAGCTAATCACCTTAGAACCCTTGAGCTATATATGACTAAGGACTGGTAACACCATCCTGGACCTTTGGAAAAAGGGCCTACTGGGATCATGTTAGACCCTCGCCTTTTCATATCATATTTGAACTTCACTTTCATTTGGCCTCTCCTTTTTCGCTTCTCATCATGCCTACAGTCCTTGGCTTGTAGTTGAGGGGATTGTATGGATGCATATATGAGTCAATACGACATATAAAATAATCCACAAGAATCCACACACACACACATTATACACACATACGCATAATGTTGACCTCTGATTAATCAACAGGCCCCCCCCTCTTTGACCTTGAATAGATTTCTAGCCACCATCAAACTTGTTTGTACGTATTGATTTTCAATTACCACAATTTAAAATTACATATAAAATGCAATTTCCAAAAAATAGGGAATCCAACAATTGGGAATCCAACAATTGTTTTAGTATTGATTTAGTATTCATTTCATGGATTTAGTATTGATTTCGTATTCATTTCATGGATTTAGTATTGATTTAGTATTCATTTCATGGATTTAGTATTGATTTAGTATTCATTTCATGGATTGAGTATTGCTTCAGTATGCATTTCATGGATTTAGTATTGATTTAGTATTCATGTCATGGATTTAGTATTGATTTAGTATTCATTTCATGGATTTAGTATTGATTCAGTATGCATTTCATGGATTTAGTATTGATTTAGTATTCATGTCATGGATTTAGTATTGATTTAGTATTCATTTCATGGATTTAGTATTGATTCAGTATGCATTTCATGGATTTAGTATTGATTTAGTATTCATGTTATGGATTTAGTATTGATTGAGTATTCATTTTATGGATTTAACATTGATTTAGTATGCATTTCATGGATTTAGTATTGATTTAGTATTCATGTCATGGATTTAGTATTGATTTAGTATTCATTTCATGGATTTAGTATTGATTCAGTATGCATTTCATGGATTTAGTATTGATTTAGTATTCATGTCATGGATTTAGTATTGATTTAGTATTCATTTCATGGATTTAGTATTGATTCAGTATGCATTTCATGGATTTAGTATTGATTTAGTATTCATTTTATGGATTTAGCATTGATTTAGTATGCATTTCATGGATTTAGTATTGATTTAGTATTCATTTCATGGATTTAGTATTGATTCAGTATGCATTTCATGGATTTAGTATTGATTTAGTATTCATGTCATGGATTTAGTATTGATTTAGTATTCATTTCATGGATTTAGTATTGATTCAGTATGCATTTCATGGATTTAGTATTGATTTAGTATTCATGTTATGGATTTAGTATTGATTTAGTATTAATTTTATGGATTTAGCATTGATTTACTGTAGTATTCATTTCTTGATCAGCGGGAGGGGGAAGCTCAGTAGCTTTATTCAGGGTCAAACTCTAATTAGTGCTAAGGCACCTCATGGGGGTACCCTTGATGAGTTGATTTGGGATTGATTTTGGATAGGTTTTACATAAAGGATTTGAATAGAAAGAGCATCCATCATTTTTGAGAATTTGAAGCTATCAAGGTAAGATCTAATGAGCTGGCAGTATGAATTAGTACATGAAAGCCACCTCAAATAAAGCATGGGAAATTTTGTTCAGCCCCATCTGGGCAAATCTGGGTTTAGGGCAAAAACACTTTCAGTAGGGGTCATTTATTATTTAGTTTGGGAGTTTGGTTAGCTTTATTCAGGGTGAGTTTAATAATCGCAGGTGAACATTAACATTCATATGTGGCCTGAAACATTGCTCCAACCTTTCATAGAATTGGATGATGGGAAAATTTACAGGAAACCCCTATATTTTATGGTAAAAACCATGGTTTCCTGTAGATTTTCCCTTAAACCAATCCATTGAACCTTTGCTCCACTGGAGGTTCCGAACCCCAAGCTGCTAAAGGCCTTGGTCACCCAGGCGACCGCGAAGGCGGGGAGCTTCGGTGCCCACCGCAGCGTGCGGCTGCTGACGGCCCTGGCGAAGCTGGCCTTTCTGGAGCAAGCTGTGGAGTTAGGTGGGTCGATGGCAGAAATTGGGATTTAGCGGGATTTCAATGTTTTTTGCACATGGATTTAGTGGAATTTGAACGTCTTTTTTAATTGGATTTAGTGCGATTTTAGTTTGTGTGCGTGTGTGTTTTCAATCAATTCAGTGCGTTTTTCCCGAATGCGTAGCGAAGGGTTCTCGTTTTACTTTGGGGGTCTGGAGATTGGGACGCGTTCGCTCGATGCTGCTTTTGTTCACTGAAAAGTTTGGGGGTGAAACCCAAACGGGGTGAGAACAACCCTTTCAAACATATGAGAATATATGGGAAATTAGGGAAAATAATGAAACAATGACAACATGACAATGGACATAAAACATAAATATAATAACAATAAAATAATAATAACACCAACAGCGATAATAACAATAATAACAATAATAACAATATATAACAATATATAACAATATATAACAATATATAACAGTATATAACAGTATATAACAATATATAACAAACAATAATAATAACAATAATAACAATAGTAATAATAATAATAATGATAATAATAAAAATAATCATAACAATAATAATAATGATAATAATAATAATTTTTATACATATACATATACACATATATATATATATATGTATACATAAATGTAAAAGGCATGGTCTCACAACATTTGACCGATGGCAGGGTTCACATGAAAGAAAACTGGGTCTCACACATATAACAGATGGCAGCGTTTCATAGATGAAAGAAGGCAGGACCTCACATTCATATGGGTCTTACAGAAGGCAGAGTCTCACATATGAAGGAAGGCATGGTCTCACATATATGGGTGAAAAGTCTGTGGGTGAAACGTATATGGGTGAAATGTTTGTGGGTGAAAGGTTGGTGGGTGAAAAGTCTGTGGGTGAGAAGTCTGTGGGTGAAAAGTCAATGGGTGTAGATGGGATGCTGGCTTTCGTTCCCCCTTTCTCAGGTTTTATTTGTTTAATGGGATTTCAAGAATGTGCAAGTGCAGCAAAGGCCTGGACCTTTACATACAGTGAAAGTGAAAGTGAGAGTTCACGGGTCAAACTAGTTTTTTTTTTTGTTGCTTGCTGGATTTTTATATAACCAGCCAAAGTCGGGATTGAATGGAATTTAAACAACACATTTACTGGTATCATTTTTTAGGGATTGAAACATCAGAGAATGTCTGACCCCTGCGATGATGATCCCCACCATTGACTTTCATTTTTGTCAGCGGGTTGAAACCACTGAGCAGTGGGCATCTCACTAGCCAATTTTTTTGGGACTGAACCATGAAACAATGAATAATGATGAATAATGGATATGGGTATGTCCAAAAATGGGGTGTATACCTCCAAATCGAGATCTGAATGGAGAACATCATGATAAAACATCACTTTTTTTGGGGCACCCTGGTTTGAGGCCACACCAAACGGAGGAGTATAGTAACCTGCTAAACTTGGGTTCAAATCAAATTGTTAGTGGGCTCAACGGAGTTTACATACAGTAGTTTGAAAACCCACCATTGAACCTCCCTAGAAGGACCTTATTTGAGGCTGGTAAATTCGTACGATTCAGCCAGGTAACGATTAAATTGATGAGATGCATCCAGCTAGAATCGGCTTTGAATCTAGCAATGACTGGGTTCACTAGGGTTTACTGTACACACACACACATAATTTATATATATATATACCATGTATTCGCGCCCGTTCCTGGACGATATTGGGGGTTGTATTCCCGTCAACCCATCCACCCAATAATAAACACCCAGGCCCCCCGGTTGAATGTGGATTTGTTGATTTTATGGGTTAGTGGGGCTAGGGTGATGAGAATTAATTATTCAAGATCCAAAAATGACGCAGCAAACATGGGAATACATGCAGCAAACACGGTAATATCATGGAACCTGATATAACATGATCACAAAAATGGTTGATGGTTGGCACATGCTAACACATGTTGGCACATGTTGGCAGCACATGTTGGCAGATGCTGGCACATGTTGGTACCATCCCGCCCTTGACCAGGTGAGTTAACTGAAGCCCTGGCGGCCAATGTCCAATTGCTTTACCCGCGCATGGGAGCCCAAGAGGTTGGAATCAGCGCCTGGGCCTTGGCTACGTTGAAGCCCAAAGGCTGGCGGAAGATGGTCCGGTGCCTCCTGCGTCGGGCGGCTGAGGATGAGGTGCTGGATGACCTCAACTGGTGGTCCGCAGCGCACCTGGAGTATGCGGCAAGGGTTGCATCGAAGCGGAAATTTGGAAGTCTGTATCTTCCAAGGCAGGAACCGGAAGATCGCAAGGAATTTCTTTCTTCGCTAACAGCGCTGTGTGCGGAGGAAGTGGCCCAAATTCGAGTTGACAGCAAGCAGTTTCAAGAAAAGCCATTGAAGGTGGCAGCCGAGCTTCAACCATGGAAAGACATGGAGCCTGGAGCCTCGGTCCTGATCTTTGGCGCAGGTCGTCATATTCGTCCTGCACTTCAGATGGCAGGCTTTGAGACCACCATTTGGCGTCGCTTTGCTTCGGGAAGCTGTGGTGCCAAAGAATGGCCCGAGGCTGCCGAAAAGGAACGATTCAAAGCTGCAGCTATGAGATATCCAGATTCCAGTGAATCCTTTGAGTTTGCCCTACATGCCGTGGCCACGAGCCTGGAAGAGGGTGCACCTCTGTGGGTTTATGGAGATGTCCGTGAGGGCGTTTTAAGCACTACCCGGTCAATTCGTGGCCTGTTCTCCCTATCAGCGATTCATGAAGATGGGGACTGTAGGGTGATTTCTGCGATCCGAACCCGGAGAAAGGCTCAGGACGAATTTGAATCCTGGCTTCGCATAGAAAGCATCGACTTCGGCTATGGCTTTCAAGACTGGTGGTCTGTGCCAGGTCTTTTCGCGGCTGGAAAGGTGGATGTGATGTCGCAATATTTGCTGGATACCATGCTCCACGTGCGCGACAAGATCGCGGCCTCTGATGGAACCTGGCCCCTCCTGGACTGCAAGCCATGCCATGTGATGGACTTCGCCAGTGGCACAGGCGTCCTGGCAGCCGGTGCCTCCAAGCTTCTGGAGGTGGGACGTTGCCTGCTGCTGGACGCCGATGCGTGCGCCCTACAGGCCGCTGGGAGGAATCTGCCGGAGGCATCCAGGATCTTGGCGGATGGCTTTCGATGCGACCTGCCGGAGGAGAAGTTCCACCTCATCATCTCCAATCCACCAGTGATTTGCCGCGTTCGGTGATTTTTTTCCATGTTTTTTGATGTCACCGATGTCACCATTGATTGCTGAAACCACAACTGGGAATCTACATTGTTTTCTTGGCGTGTGGGCGCGCCTGAAGCAAATCCAAGGTTCACAATGGACATGCTGATGACCTAAGCCTTCTCCTTGAACTGCTACGTGAGGGGCCTTTGTTGCTGGAACCAGGGGGCGAGATGTGGTTGGTGACCCAGGAGCATATTCCGACCGGCCGCCTTTTCCAGTTGGCACTGCAGGAAAACGCGCGTTTGGGAAAGTTGGAGCGAGGCGGGTCCAGGTTGATGGATCTGCGATCCCTCTATGAGAACCATGGATTTGCTATCATTTGCTGGAGAGGTTTTTATTGTTATTTATTTGTTAGAATTGGGACTGGGAGTACTTTGTTTAAATATAAATGGCCTCCCAAAAAACGCACATCCCAGGAATGTTGGAATGTATCCCACCAGCGATGGCCGCTTTATTGTGTGGCGAGCATGCCTGGAGTCTCGAAAGCGGAAGAGCGAACAGACCCAGGAAAGGGTAGATGTTGTTGAAGACAGGCCCGCCAAAGCAGCAAAATAGTGACTGATGTGACTGCGGCAGGACGCAGCCACTAGCTCATGCACTTGATGACACTTCTTTGCCAGGCTTGAGTCTCGAGTGTGACATTATATGATATTATCATTGATAATTATATAAATCATTACGATATCAACCTAGGATTACTAAGCCCCAAGATACTTTACAGAATCAGATAGATAGAGAGAGAGAGAGAGATAGATAGATAGAAAGATAGAAAGATAGAAAAATAGAAAGATAGAAAGATGGAAAGATAGGTAGATAGATAGATAGATAGATAGAACGATAGAACGATAGAACGATAGAAAGAAAGAAAGATAGATAGATAGAAAGATAGAAATATAGAAAGATAGAACGATATAAAGATAGATTAGAAAGATAGATTAGAAAGATAAGAAAGATAGACTAGAAAGATAAGATAGATAGATAAGATTAGATAAGATTATATTAGATTAGATTAGATTAGATTGATAGATAGATAGATAGATAGAAAGATAGATAGATAGATAGATAGATAGATAGATAGATAAATATAGAAAGATAGATAGATAGATAGATAGATAGATTAGATAGAGATAGAGATATAGATAGAGATAGAGATAGAGATAGAGATATAGAGAGATAGAGATAGAGAGATAGAGAGATAGAGATAGAGAGATAGAGATAGAGATAGATAGCTAGCTAGATTGATAGATAGGATAGATAGGATAGATAGGATAGATAGGATAGATAGGATAGATAGGATAGATAGGATAGATAGGATAGATAGGATAGATAGGATAGATAGGATAGATAGATTAGACTAGACAGATTAGATAGATAGGATAGACAGATCATATTAGATCAGATTAGATTAGACTAGATTAGACTAGATAGATTAGATAGATTAGATAGATAAGATAAGATAAGATAAGATATATAGATAGATAGATAAAAAGATAGATAGCGCACAAGACAAAGGACAACTGAAAGGGCAAGCTTTGGACACAATCCATCACAATCCAAGTACAAGCGAAATTTTACATGGTAGCGGAGCAAGGATCCTGGCAACGACAATCTAGGTGAGCTCCAATACCGACAAACAACACAAACAACACAAACAACAGAGGGAGGTAGGTAGGTAGGTAGGTAGTTAGTTAGTTAGTTAGTTAGTTAGCTGGTTAGGTATTTAGGTAGTTAGTTAGTTAGTCAGTCAGTCAGTTAGTTGGTTGGTTAGTTAGTTGGTTGGTCAGTTAGTTAATTAGTTAGTTAATTAGTTAGTTAGTCAGATAGAGAGATAGGATCAATGGGAATTCAAGGATCCTAAAATGGGGGGTATGTTCCTTTACATAAGCCTTACCTTACACAGGCCTTATATATGGCAGGTACCTCCAAATTGGGTTCCTGGAATGGCCATTGATAGGATAGATAGATTGATGGATAGATAGATAGATAGGATAGATTAGATGAGATTAGATTTGATTAGATTGATTAGATTAGATTAGACTAAATTACATTAGATTAGATAAGATTAGATAGATTGGATTAGACTAGATTTAGATTTAGATTCGGGTTAGATTAGATAGATTAAATAGAATAGATAGAGTAGATTAGATAGGTTAGATTAGGTAGAATAGATAGATTAGATTAATTTAGATAGACAGCAAGATAGATAGATAGATATAAAGAAAGATATGGAGATAGATAAATGGATGGATGGATAGATGGATAGATGGTTCGATGGGTAGATGGATGGATAGATATATAGATAGACAGACAGATAGATAGATATGTGAACACACAAATAAAATAGACGAGTGGGAAACCAACGGAAACGGATAGAATGTACCTGATAGATATGTACACCCCGCATGTGCGCACACTGCTGAACACGACGTGGACCTCAGGTCCACCTCATGAAGATTGCACGGATGGCTGAGGTGCCGTAGCATTCCAGGCTGCACAAAGATTTCGCAGAGATTTTTTTCCATGTTTGGTGTTAAACAATGTCAAACATGCCTTTAAAGCTTGGCTAATCTTGGCCTCTTGGCTACAAAGTCCTGGTTGCAGAACCTCTTGTGGTTACCCATCTTACCCCTCGATCAGTTTTCCACTGGTTGATTAATTATGGTTGATGAACCGCAGGGTTAACATCAACATCCAGTGAGCAACCAGTAGATAAATCATGATGCATGCTGGACGGATCCCCAAAAGGATAGTGTCTCATAACTCAAAATGGTGAACAAAAAATGACTTGACCAACAGCCCGAGCCCACGCTGACCCAAAAGGTTGCATTGACTTGCCACTAGTATCCCTCAAAACTGATGGAATAGGGCTGGTCGCCCCCCAAATTGCGGATGTTTCAGTTGTACCTTAACTGATGTTTTTGCAACGAAACGCCTTGGGACTCCGCATTTACAAAGCTACAGGGCGGTTCCACAAGCGAGTACGAGCTCTGGGTCGACTTTCGAATGCAGAGATTGCAAAAACCGCAATCCACTTGGGCGGTTGGATGTGGGAAGCCTGTGTCTCAGTGGACGGACAGTTTTTCCAAAGCACAATTTGCGAGTGGTGAATTGGATTTTAAAACCATTCTTATTCTGCACCTGCATTAACCTGGTGATAGATATCATTTTTTGATTTTGTTTGTGATAAACATGACCTCACATAGAAATAGCGTCAGTGTCGCCTGTTCTAGAAACAATTTCAGGGCAGGGGGCCCGGGGGCCTGACAGATAAACAGGCCATAGCACCCTTTGAGATATATGCCACAGAAGTAGGATTTTGATCAGAACCACACAAGTGGTGATGCAATTATATATATATATATAAATATATTATATATATATACACAGTAAGTGATGAATCATAGTGGGGATAACCCAGGTACAAATGGGAAGGGAATCTCGGTTTAGGACGGGAATCTGTTTGGGATGCTCGTGTCACTGAAGCCTTTGCTCATCCCAGGGTCAGCGTGTCGCCCGCTGGGGCGTTGCAGTCCCCGAAGGCACCGGCAAGGGTCCACTGCTGCCGCATTCGTCACTGCGTGGCTGAGCCAGGTGAAGGAAGGATTGCTGAACCTAGTCCTTTTCCCCAGGAGATCCGAAATTGGCAAATGCGTAGTGGCGTAGTGACAGTGACTTAGGCCTGGGTTTGTTTAAGCTGACCTTTTACTTTCAAAATGGGAAACCCACCATGTGGGAAATATATAGGGCCGCAGGGAATATGTTGTTAATTCTTTTCAGAAAGACCCAAATTGCGGCCCCAATTTACCACGTTTCTGGAAATGCTGTATTGTTTGTACATCATAGTTGTTCATATGTTGTTCGAATCTGCAAGTCCAAACTTGAGTTCTGCATGTAAAAAACCACTAGTGACTAATCAATGCAAAGAAAGAACAGCATTGGCAACTATCTATGGTGATGTCATAAGGGGATCTGCTTTTGCAAAGAAGAGATTCATTTTTGCTATCTTGCACATTCAAATATTGAGCTTGCTGCTTGCCATGGATCTACTTCCAAGAGGCTTTGCAAAAACCATTGGAAGAACAATTTAAAGGAAAGGATTTGGGCCCTACCTCCACTCCTAGTATACTATTTGACAAACATTTTACTGAACTATACAGATGAAACAAGAGCAAAATATGTAGTATAGTATATATAAAATAGCAATGTATCAGGAACAAAGTAAACAAAATGAACTACAAACACATCTTCAAGAAAGCAAAACACTATGAATATAAAGAACATAAACGATCAAAAACCAGCTAAATTACCTGGAAAAATGGGGCCCCCATTTGGGGTCTCCCTCTTTTTTGGAGCCCCTTAGTAAGCAAATCCATGTAGTGGATTAGACGATCAGATTCTCTTCCAACTTGTGCGAACAGGAGAAACTGAAGATATTGAAGATACAACAACATCCGTCTCCATCTATCTATCCTCCACTCAAGAATTACGGTATCCCAGTAGGCCGCTTGCTGTGGGTTCGGAGCCAGAGTGCTTTGCGCAGCGATGCAAATGGGCAAATGAGGCCAGAACATTGAGGGAGAAATTCACCAAAATTGGGGTTGCGCGCCTTGACCGCATTGACACCATCGTTCCCCATTATTATCCCCCTGCTTTGTATTGGTTTATGATTGATGGATTGATGGATTTGACGAACTATAGTGGTGGCTGGTGGTAAAGGTAGTTTCCCTTTCACAGTCAATGTATATCTTAGGTATCATGCATTTTTTCATAAGCTTATAAACGTAGATGCATACCGACGTCACTGAACGATCCCGCTGAGGCTTCCCAAGGGAAAGCTGGTCAATGGCACCCCTGGCATGCTGCCGCAGAAATGGGCATAGGTCAAATTTTGTTTTGAGACTCTCAACCCACACAGTCACAGTTTTGCAAGTTTGAGTGATTTCGACGAACCTTCGCCCGCATGACTGACAGGAGTCGTTGTGGACGAGAAATTCGCGCAGGAGGCCCTTGCTGAGTATGTTTGGTGTAGATGAGCAGCTCTACTTCTAGCCAGCTCAGCCACTGTTTCATACCTGTGACTGACCGGATGTTTAGGCTCACTTTGGATACTTGGCTTTGCCGTGTCATGGCAGCCATGGCAGCCATGGCAGTGCAGCAGGAGCTCAGCAGGAACTTGCTGACTTGAGCGCGGAGGTCAATGATGGGCCCTGGAAATCCACTTTAAAGCTTCATCCTGAAACAGCGGGAGCAAGCGGAGAGATTGGCAGCAGCATCTTCAGATACCTGAATTTGCCTTCTGCCATCTCGACTTTAAATGTGCCGTGGATAAGAACAACCAGGCCACAGAATTGCCGTTGCTTCGCGTGTGTGGCACAGTTCAGCAGAATCCGCACATGAGAGCATTCTGGGTTTCCACCATTTCCTTCTTCCTGGCCTTCTTGGGCTGGTTTGCTCTGGCACCTTTGGGGCTGAGGTGGCTACCAGCATGGGCGTCCGTGAGAATCAACTCTACCCACCAGAAGACAATCCCAAGCGAGCGGCCTACCTGAAGTACAAGTCGCTTAAGACCGGCGACACGTATTGCAAATACGGCAAGAATGATGACGTCAATCCGACAGACTGCAATCCTGTGCCAAACATTTTCGCGGGGACCGCTGATGGGATGCAATACCGAACAGAGGTGCTGGCAAAGTGCGTCTGCACCACAGGAACCGGGTGCAAGCTGTGGCATCGACCATTTTTGTGCGCATTGCACTCGGCACATTGTTGGAGCGATTTGGGATGATTTGGGCCTGTAAATGTCCAATCAGGCCTGATGACCTTTGGAGCTTTCTGGGTTGCGATGGCTGCAGCCATCTCAGCTCCCTGGAACTACACCCTGATCCGCTTCTTCATTGGGTGCGCAGGAGCTACATTTGTCACCAACCAGTTCTGGTGCTCTTTGATCTTTTCGGCAAACGTCGTTGGGACGGCTAATGCCACCCGAGCTGGTTGGGGGAACTTGGGTGGCGGTGTCACCCAGATCTTCATGATCTCGGTGCTGTTCAATCCAATGGTGAATTCTGGAATGGCAGCAGACACAGCTTGGCGAGTTTCAATGATCGTTCCTGCTGTCCTTTTCCTGATTTGCGCAGCCAGCATGAAATTCTTGTGTTGGGACACGCCCGCTGCCAAGCGCTTCGATGTGTCTGTGACTGGTAAGACCCAGAAGCCATCTTTGTGGGATTATGTGGTGGTGCTGAAGGACATCCGCGTCGTTGTGATGATTTTTCAATACAGCGCATGCTTTGGCACCGAGCTCGCCATGAACAACCAACTGGCCACCCATTTCAGGACCTATTTCCAAATGGATGCAGCAGATGCATCAGCCCTGGCAGGAGGGAGGCATTGGCAGTGACATCTTCTTCAAGTACGTCGGTTTCCGAGGCCGCATTTGGGCGCAGTTCTTGGCCCTTTTCTTTGAAGCCATCTTCCTCTTCGGCTTCGGCATGGTGGATAGCTCGCAGCCATGGTATGTTGCTTTGGCCATTCCATGGTTTGTTTCTCCCTTTTTGGACTCAGCCGGCATTTTGGCGAAGATTGGCGAAGGGGGGAAAACTTGGGCAACTGTCGGGTCCAAAAATGAACAGGGAGCAACTGGCAGTGGTGTCTGCACTGGTTGGAGCTGGTGGAAATTTAGGAGCTGTCATTGCTGGGTTTTGCTTCTACCGACCCATCAACGATCTGCTGCTTTCTTTTCAAGTCCATGCAGGCTATGTCATGTTTTGGGCATTGCTGACCCCTTGCTACTATTGGCACGAGCATGGTGGCATGTTCCATGGCCCTGCAGTCAAGACACCCAAGGAGGCTGCAGTATCTACGGAAACTACTGTGTAAGGCTGTGTCGAAGGGTTTGTGTGCCTTCCAACTTCCAAGGCTGCAGAATCAATTTCGTAGCCAAAGCATGATCCCTTACATGCAGTGCAGGACATTTGCAGATTATTTCACGCATGGAGTGCGGAGTGTGCTGTGGCTGCAACAATGATAATTAGTCATGCACAAGGCATGTCTTCCTGCCCAGAATGATCCCTTGCATGGAGTGCAGGGCATATTGCAGGAACGTTTTCTCTCCAGGTGCGCTGCCGCTGATTACAAAAAAATCTCAGCTTGTTTCCAGTGCCAGTGCTTAGCATTTGACTCACTTCTACATACGTATATAAGCACATGTTTTATCATGCTTTATCTATTTTCATTTGACGCATATTGGAACAGGTGCTGGAAGAAGTAAAGGATCTGCAAATCCCCGTCTACACAGCTTGCCGGGAGCCTATAGCATGTCGCAGCAATCGAAAGCTGTGAAAGCACAGTCGCAACCTTTCAACCAGCCCCGGATTAAGGTGATTCCCCTAATATTAGATGAGCACAGATGAGCCAAGTGGTTGTTGGAGGTTAAGATTTGCCCAAACAATTTGCTGCTGCTTCCCTAAGGTAAGGAAGTTGAAGGGGCCGCGGGCTCAGCGGCCAGCGTTTCCTGCAACCATACTGCCCGCACTCGGAAGATTTGGGAGAGTTGGCAAGGAGAGCATTACACCACTTCACCCCATAATATGTCCATGATATGTTGCCCTACATATTATATATATACTAGGTTAGCCGTTTGGACATTTTTTATTTTTTTGCGTTTTGGGTGGCTGGAGAATTAAAAAGCTTGCTTCCTCATTCGCTTGGCCGGCGTCCTTCAAGCTCAAGACACAGGAAGAAACACACAGCACAGCAGTGCAGTAATGTGTCACGAATTACATTCTAAGCCCTGCATTCCTGTGAGCAGCTTCCCAAATTGAGGCGCGCCTCCGTCGTGTGCAAAGGGGGGGGTAAACAAACCTTTTGGTTGCAGATGTCAACCCTTCCCTGCCATAATTCTTAGTTTTGGATAGGGAAGGGTGGATTCCATTCGTCGAAGGGTTTCTAGTCTACTATCATTAGTTGACTTGCGGGCCACGTCCCCTGTCAGGTGTTTTGGCATCTGCTGCGGCTGCTGTAGCTGTTGCGGCTGCTGATTTTGCGGCTCTTGCGGCTCTGAAGGGCGCTGCGGCTTTTGCGGCTCTTGCGCCTCCTTCCGCGGCGTTGCTCTGGCCTGCTGCTCTCATTCAGGCGCTGTTGGGGGTGAGCAGCTTTGTCCCTAGTTGCCTCCATCTAGATAATCTACTACTAGGTATGGTTTCATGAGAGCCACTCAAAGCCAGATCCATCCATTAGAGTCCCCGAACCTTTTTGCCACCGACAGCCCACTTGTGCAGGTAGCCAGCACGCTCTCCAGAGGTGCTTAGGGCCGTTGATGGATTCTCTCAGTTCTAATTTTCTGTGTTAATGACTGCTTCCCTGAGCTTGGTATAATGAAGTAATAGTAAGGAAGTGCATGATGATGATTCGATGCTGATGATGATGATGATGGTGACTGTGCTAATTTTCATTCATATTATGTGTCTTGTAAAAAAAACTATTATATATTATTATATTATTTTATTTAAAATATCATATATGACTACCATAACCAATAAATGCACAAATTAATGTCTTTTACAACTTGTGTATATATTATATATAATATCTTTAGAGGGAGGTACATATGCAATATATGGACTGATTATTCCTGGCTGGTGTGGTGAAAAACTTATTACAGCTGCTGTTGACAGAACTAACCGGACCTGTATCACAATGCAATCAGAAGTTCGCGGCATGGACATATACTTTTTAAAATGGTGAGCCATCCCCCCATTCATCTACCCTGTTGGTTCCCGGCCCATCTTGGCATCCTTGTGTTTCGGCAGGTGGTTGCTTCTGGCACTTGCGGCAGCGCCTCTTGCAGCACAGGCTCGCCCCATGTGAGCCGGTGTGGCTGATAGTTTCCATGCTGGTGTTTTGGGGATAAGAAATTTGGAAGACAGCATCATCTTTCATCTGCCAAGATCCTCTGGGGAGATTTTCACATACCTCCAGCAGTGCAGCCCACCGGCTCAGCGTCTCCATCGGCTTTGCGGCTTTTTGTTGGCTGAATCGCTTCAATGGCTGCAGCATTTCGCGGTCTTTTCAGCGGAGGAAGGCAATCTGCCAACCGTGCTGACGTTGCGAATGAAGACGGGCCGGCACCAGGAGATGTGGTTGTGACTGGTGTTCCTGTGGATTCCGAAGTGGCACAGTCTGAAGCGGTTTCTTCGGCTTCAGCGGCTGCAGCGTCTGTGGATCTCACGGTGCTGACGCAGCAGGTGAGAGATCAACGTGCTGAGATTGCAGAGGCTTTGGTGCGCAACATGAGGCAATTCCGCCCCAACATTTGCCTCCTGAGCAATGACCAGATCCTGCGGCACGCCTGTGACATTGCCATGGCTCCAGACTGGATGCAGAACACCTACAACACTGAAGTGGACTTTACCTGGGCCTTTGCTGGCTTCAATGTCCTGCTGAGCTCCTTCTTTCCTGGCGGCACCAAGACCAAGGCGGCTATGGATGAAGTGGCTGCAAGTCCCTAGTACGCAAAAAGGGGGGCAGAAAAAGGATTCAAGGTGAATCTGTGTTTCGTTAGGTTGATTATGGTTATACTACTCGCATATGATCATGCACACATATAATAAGATATTAGTGTAATATAATAAATATATTTGTTTTGCTATTTCAGAGACCATGACTGGGGTCAATTGGCCAGTGCTTCTTAAGCCAACGCGCGAGCTGTGCTCGTCTGAGGTATGAAGTTGCCTGATCCATCGGTGGTGGACGAAGCCAAGAATTTGCTGCAGGTCATGCCAATGCGTCAGAGCGTTCCCCCCCGCTGGCAAGTCGCTGCTTGGCTGGATGGGCATCATGGGTTTGAATTTTGGCTAAGCATTCCAAGTTTGTTGGAACAAAAATGAAACAAAGCTTAAAAGATCTGGGCAATGTAATCCGTGTGTGTGTGTTGTCCAACCTTTCAATGACCCGCGGCCGCTGAGATTGCATCTTGTGCCCGGGAGATTCTGGACCAGTTTTGCGAAGTTACTCCCGCAGAGCAGCGCACCGTGTACACGGGGAAGATTCTGCTGCTGCCCTTTGTGATGAATGGACAGGCCAGAGGCTATGATCTTCAAGAAGTCGAGGACAGGGTTCTGAACAGCTGCCAAACATGTTGATTTTAAGTTTTCAAGTTTCGAGCACCGTGAATCGTGCGTAAGGGCTGGAACTCATTGGCACAGCCAAAGCTATCCAGAACAAATAGTAGGAAGTTGCCTCTAAACTTAATAATAAAGAAAAACACCCAGCATCAATCATCGCTACTTTTTTCGTTTTCACTGGATGTTTTGTTTTGCCATCTTGCAGGCAGACGGCTGGGCTGGGTGGGCCCTCCCGTTCAACAGAGACGATGGCAAACTCATGCACATCACAATCTACGCCAGGGATTGCTTGCATTTTGTCAAGGCTTTCCTGAACAAGTCTGGCTTGGGAGTCGGACGGTCTGAGCCTCGCAGCTTGCTTGCTCTTCAAGGGGATGAGGATGAGACGGTCGCCTTGGAGGCTCGCAACAAGATGCTCCTGAAGAACAGCTTTTTCCATGCCGCCTTCGAGCCGCATCGTCAGGAGATGCACAGGGCTGGATTGCTCTTCTCAGCTGACAACGACAAGACCGTCCGCAACGAAATGCTCTGCATCCTTTCCACTTTGGAGCCTGGCTTTTCGCAGCTTGTGGACGGCGGGGTCGCAATGACCAACTCGTCAATTTGGGTCACATCCAGCGGCTTCTTTTACGTGTTGCGTTTTGCACCCATCCAGACGGCCAACAAGAAATTCGTGACCCCGCTGTTCACATTGAAGCCTGGGGTGACATGATTCAATGTTTGGGCGCGACCAGAAGGACAATAGCCATCATCATTCATAATTTTATAGGCAACAACACTAATGATTATTAATAATAATAGTTAAAATAATGACAATAATGGCGCAAAAAACAATTTCAATCAAGGTTCAAAATTGAATATGAAGATCTCAGGGCTCGCCTCATTTTTTCCATTTTTCAGGCTGAGATTGTGAAGGGGGACTTCGTCAACGATGACTTCATGGTCCGACAGAAAAGGGAAGTGGACGTGATGTTCGCCGGGGGTGGAGCAGATGATTTTGGATTGGTGTGGGATGGCTACCAGGTGGATTCTTGGTTTGTTTTGGGCCAGGGCTTGCAGAATGCGCCCACGCTTTTCTATTCTGTGCGTATCTGGAAGGCAGTTTTTTTGGGATGTTCAAATTCTTTTCATGGTTGCACAGTGGACTAAAACAAGCTTCAATGGAAGATCGATTTCATTTTTTGACAACAGATTGGTCTGGTTTTGATGGTGTTGCGTTTCAGGAACGGGCTATCGCAGTGAAGAAGAGCGGCACCTGCCACGTGGTGGCCTTGCAGCTTATCCGCCGCTTGGATGCTGTTGGCGCGCCCTACAGCATCTGCGTTGCTCGATGCCAGAGGGCTCCGGGAGGCCTCCACTTGGGATTGCTGCAAGGAGGAGCCCAGCAGTATTGCGTGGACACGATGCGGCAGACCGGAGATGCCGAGCAGAGCCGCGCTGCAGCACAGAAGGGCAGCGGCAAAAAAGGCTGGGGCAACAACAGCGGCTGGAGCGGCAACAGCGGCTGGAGCGGCAACAGCGGCTGGAGCGGCTGGGGCGGCTCTGGCAGCAAGGGCGGCTCTGGCGGCTGGGGCAAGCCAAGCGGGCAGGGCACTGGCTGGGGAGCACCGTTAACCACGACCTTTCAAGGGCCAGTGCGTCCTGGCCCAGGGATGGCAACTCAAGCGCCTCCTCAAGCAGCCTCTCAAGCGGCTCCTCAAGCGGCTCCTCAGGCTTCTGCGGCTCCTGAGGCAGATCCATGGGCCGGATGGGAGACCAATGACGATGGGGGCAATGATGGGGACGGCAACGATGGCGGGTACAGCGGCTTTGCGGATCCATCTGATGCCTGGCAGACACATCAATGATCTGCTGGCAGACGAGCTGCATGAGGCAGCATTTTGAACAGACTTCTTCCATGGCAAGCGCGTGGAAAAGAGATGGGTTGTCTGCCTCCCAATGTTTCCCATTCAACACCGCCAAAAGGGATCAAGACGCATTTCCTTGCTTCCAAGCCCAAAAGTAAACATTCAAATTATGATAATTACATCATTCTTAGCGTCAAGAGCACAGGGAATTTTATATTCTACTACTACGTTGCACAGCAGCTGCAGTTGGTTTGGTTTAGCCGCTTCTTCTGTCAATGCAATGTGCCTTGTTTTGCATGTTTCGTTGCTGGTCAGGTGTGGCCCTACTGCAGCTCTGCAGCTGCGCCTCCTCCGTTGCAGGCATGCACAGCCAGGAGGCTTCTGTTGGGAAGAAGCATATAACAATAATTAATCTTATTTCATGTTGTTGACATTTTTTCAGAGACTTTGCGTTGGATTGCTGCTCAGAGGCTCAGAGGCGATTTGGCAAAGATGTTTGTAGGTTTGTAGGCTTGAAACTATCATTGACATTCTACATTGGGGAGTAGGCAGTGTAGGAAATGAATAAATTTCAAGTTAAAGCAAATCATTGTGAACTCCTGCTGTTTTCATGCCGCCACCAAACCTCGGAAAGCGATGGGGTTTCCCCCCTGCAGCATCTGACATTGGACCATCTGAGGCTGCAGCTTTGCTGGTTTGCTATGGCCTGGGGAAGGTGGTTGCGGAGAAATCTGCTGTGGAGACGCCGGACAGGAAAAACTGGAATCCAGAATCCTTCCTTTGGTTCAGTGCTGCAGCGAGAACCCGAGCTCTTTCGTTAGAGGTTTCTGGCGATGTTGCCAGGACAGAATTCACAATGTCAAAAGACTTTGTTGAGACCTTGTCACGTAGAGTACAACGTTTAAAGTTTCAAAGGTTTGAAGCAAAAGATCCCATCCATATATTGCAGATTCAGATGTGTGCCAGGTGTGGGCTGGTAGCTTCAGCATTCAAGATATGTGCTGAAGCTCGTGGTTCCCGCTGGCGGCTTCACACTTTAGGCAAACCAGCGACTGGCTGCAAGCATACCAGCAAGAAGGTGCCTGTAAAGAAGGTGGTGACATGGAAGGACTTCTGGTCTTTTGTGCGATCAATTCGCATGCTTCGCCGCTCAAGGGGTGTGTCAGGTATGTTCTTGACGAAGGTTGGATGACAGTGAAGAGCACTGTCATGCTCCGGCCTCAACTTGGGGGTTCTGAATCTTAGCAAAAAAGCTCCCCCTTGCAATACGCCCTTGGTTCTTAAGAACCAGCTGCGTATTATAAAGGGGATTGCCCTTCACATTACGCATCACCTCAGTTTCTGAATTCCTAAAGTTAGCATGCTTCTCAATACGCTCCCGGTTCTTAAGAACCAGGCCCGTAATCAAGAGGGATTTCCACCATGTAATACGCTCCTATTGCATATGTTGCCCCTGTGCAATACGCCCCTGGCTCGCGAGAACCAATTGGGCTGATGTTTGTGGTTGCCACCAAAGGTCAAGCCATGGAATTGAAAGGTGTAAAAACTCATTTTTCAAGCTTTTGTCATCGAAAGCTCAGGGGACTATACATTGAAAGGTAAAATGGGCCAATACGAGCCTCCAAGGCTGCACAGCTGACATTGAAGGGTTGCTTCCTGCGCCAGGCCATGGCGCCAACGCCTGTTGACCCTGCTGCTGCCGTCAAGCTTTGGCTAAAGGCTGCAAACTCTGGGGAAGCTAGCGACAAGTGGGGCCGTGTCCAGCGAGCTTCTTGGATGGTTTCTTGGCTTTGGATAGGGAGGTTGAAACGCAATCTGTTTGAGAAGCTGTTTCGCTGGATCCTGCAATCTTTTTGCGCTGAGGCTGCTCGGAGCTGCGTTAAGGGAAAGGATGCCAACTTGCTGTCATTGGTGCAATTTCTTTTCAGGGATTTTGACCTGGCTGTAGTTCCTGTTGCCACTGGCCTGCATTGCATCGAGCCCTGACTGCCAGAAAGTTATAGTAGTTTTGTGCTTGGCCTCGGATCCAAGGCAGCCCTGGCTGCCTACATGACTTATCGAGCCGGTTGTCGAATTCCACCCCTAGGGAAGGACAATCCCAGATGTCATCATGTTCTATCATTTCTATTATTTGCATAGGTCTATGATATTTTACTGATACTGATTGACAAAGCATAAGATTTTGTCATGGCACCACCTTTCAATGTCCCTGTGGGACCTTTCCCTTGCCATGTAGAAGCAAGTTGGGCATAGAAGGGTTGCTCGCAGTCAACCAAGGGTAGTTCAAGAGGTTATCGTGCTGCAGTTAACTTTCTTGGCTAGCTATTCCTGAAGGGATCCTGAGCGAAGCACCTTGGGAGGATCCTGACAACGTGATGCTGCAGATCTTGCACACCGACAACCCTTTTTTGAGACTGGAAGGGGCCCCTTTTACCTTTCTAGACAGCTGTAGAGGCAGCTTCTTGCATTCATTGATGAAGCACAGAGCCTTGATTGCAAGGCTTAGATGCAGAGGTGTAGGCATGCAGGGCATGTGCCCAGGCATGCTTCTCATGAGCGCAAGCAGTTGCAATTTCTTGCTTTGGTCTGGGGGCACTACAAAAGCCATTCCTTTCAGAATGCTTAGATATTTACCCTTTGTGTTTGCTTTTGACTATCAAACCGAACTTGCCCGAGTCTTCCAGTGATGTGTCCATGTGTGTTGCTCATGAGCGTATCCATGGCATCATGTAGCCCTCTTGCATTGTGAGTTGTCTTCTCCTTGAGGAGGTGACAAGGTGACGGACTATTTGGTGAAGATCTTGGCGACGCCACATGTGCAACGACTTGAGAGTCGTGAACAGCTCGGGCTTGTGATCATAGTTACATACCTTAGGTCCCCTGATTTTGCTCAGTATGTGTTTGAGACATGCTCTCAGCAAAGGATTTCATTGCTCGGTGTGATCCACCAATTCTTCCGAGACACCAATGGCGTAGGACAACGAAAGGCTTACATGCCTTCCAGAGTGATTTCCAAGCATGGCAAGAAGTTGCGACCAAACCGTGATCTGGGGCAGTTGCGCCTCGCAGGGGCATTGAGTCTCTGTGGGCAATTTTTGGATGGCACGCTAGATGCCATTTTTGTGAATGACAGCAAGAAATCATGGCTTGTGGATCCAGATTTGCTTCTTGTCAAGGAGCGTACTTTGTGGTTACCATCTATCCCAATTTTGGCAATGCGAAAAAAGCATGTCTCCAGTATATGCATGGGCATTTGATTTTCAAATTGGCCCTGTGGCAAGGTTGGATATGATTCAGTGTGATGCATCGAAACTTATGGGTACGCATTTCCTACAGACTTTAGAAGCCCTGGGACGTCTGGCGCGAGCCAGCCAGGAATGCAGCTCGCACTGGAATCACGGCTAAAAGAATTGAGAAGCATCAGAGACATTGTTTTCAAAGCACTTCATACAATGTCTCGTCAATCTTGTCAGGAACGGTAATTATAGCAAACTCTTTGGCCGATGGTGTGGCTCTGCAGCTGACGATGTCTTGGACAAAGTGGTTGAGCATTTGCAATCTTGGCCGAACCAGCACTGTCTGAAGATGCTGAACCTCCAGGCTGAGCTAACCAGCCACATTTGTGTTGTGAATGCTTGCAAATGCATCCACGTTCTTAAGACGCTCAGCCCCACAGTGACCTGAAGCCCTGTTTTGTTCCCAAGTTGGCATTTTTTCACTTATCACGATGGTCCTGAGGAACTTTGCATTTCACAGTCGCTGCTTCTTGCCTTAAGAAGGACAATGCGGCTGCATGTGTACATGCGCATGGACTCTTCAAAAACCAGTAATACCCGCTGGAAGCCTGAGGCAACTGGAAAGCAAAGGAGGTGCCTACGGTTGCCCCCAGAATCGCGGCTGCTCTTGGTTGAAGCAAGCTAGGTGCTCAGTGAAATTGCAGCTTCAGCTGCAGAATGGATTCTGGTTTCTTTATGTTTCTGTGCACGCGAACTTGTCCTTTCGGTTCACTCCTGCAACCTTTCAATGCATGGTTCATCTCCTTCTAGGTTCTGAAAGGTCAGATAGGCTCCTTGAAAGGTTGCTTTTTTCATGTGGACTGTAGCAGAAACAGAGCTGATTTACCAGCATGCAGCATGCTGGAAAAGTCAGACTTTGTATATTTTGTTGCTATCTGATTCAAGCAATGTGCAATTTTCAGGACTTGAGACAAGCAGTTCCTTTGGAGACACAAAAGCCCCTTCCAGAAGCTCCAAGCGGCCAGGCCACATGTAATGGATTATTTCCGTGGCTCGAACATGACGGCTTCGGCTTGCTGGTGCTGGTGCTGGTGCTGGTGCTGGTGCTGGTGCTGCTGGTGGGGTGGTGGTGGTGGCGGTGGTGGTGGTGGTGGTGGTGGTGGTGCCGCTGCTCCTGTTTGTTTGTTCTGGTTCTTGTGCTTGCTCATGATCTTGCAGTTCTTCAGAGTAAAAACAAAGGTGTGAGGTTGCTGAGGATTCTGATGTCGATGATCATGTTGATGCTTTTAATGCTGATGCCGCTGCTGATAACGAGGTTATTTGCTGATGGTGGTATGGTTGCTATTATTGCGCTCTCTCTCTCTCTCCCTCCCTCCCTCCCTCCTTCGTTCTTTTTCCGATCATGATGAAGATGCGGATGTGAGGAGCGCAGTCTTGCGCAAGGGATGTGCTTCCATGGTAAAATACGGGCTCAGTAACGTTGCTGATTTCCGAAGCCATCAAGAACATATTCTTCGCACATACAGCTTTCAATTGCATCACCTGAAACTTGCAAGGAAGAGGCGGTGCTCGCTCAGCCACAGTCAGAGGAAATGCACTTGGTCTACTCAGGGGGATGCATTGCGCGCGCTGGCCGCATGCGAAGGATCCCTTTGGGTGCTCGCAAAATCGAAACAGCGGCAGTTCGCTTCCCAACACAACGGGTGCGGGTGAAGACATCCAAGCGTGAAAATTTCACGTCCTGTGGAGAAGCCACGACTTTTCAAGGCAGCTATAGTGGAGTGGAGTTTCGGTCCTCCTATGAACTTCCCCTGATGTCATTGACTGAAAAAGCACAGGTCCTCGGCTCTGCGGCTTCTGCGGCTCCTCCGGAGGACTGGACAGATCGCTTTGGGGACAATGCAGTGCCACTCTTTTGGCAAGAGTCCAAGCCCATCAGCTTTTTCAATGCAATCCTTGACGAGTACAAGGTGACCGCAGTTTTCGATGTGACAGCCGGCTCCGGCGCATTCATGGAAGCCAGCCTCACCAGAGGCGTTGTCTACCACGGCCTGTGCTTGAACAAGGAACACCAGCACTGGCTCCAGGCCATTGCGGACAGAGCCGCCTGCGGGCTAATTACCTTGGAGGGATCAACTCTTTTCAATGAAGCTTTGGCAGGAGACGTGAAGAAGTTTTTCCCAGATGTCCTGGAAAACTTGGCTCCCAAGGACAACCCTGAAGAAGCCCCAATGGAACCAGACAGCCCCGGTGAGTGAGCCGCTTTTGCGGTTACACGGCTCAGCGGCACTCAGCGGCTCACAGGCCTTACATTTGCAGAGAGCCGATTTTGCTTTGAGCCAGTTTGTTGAGATAGGTTTTGGACATGTCAATGGTGATGGCGCTTGCACAAAATGTCAGCCAGGTATAGCCAAGTAATTCACTTTGTTGGGACTGCTGTGCTACCAGTGAAAGCATCTCAGCATTCCATGTGCCAACACTTGCTCATTGTTTCCGAGCCCATGGCAACGAGCTTCATGCTGAGGCTTAACCTGCATTGCCAACTTTGCATCACCTTTGCGTGTCAATGGAGCATTTTGAGGTGCTTCTTTGTGAAGACCACATTAATTATTACTAAAATAATATTAGTATTAAACCACCCTTCGGTGGCATGCTGCCAGCTTTCCTAGTCATTTGATGCCACGATTGCACAATGAAAGGTTAGCTAAAGACGTTGAAGGGTTTGAGTGTGGCCCCTGTGCAGGCACTGGTGCATCATTGGCTGCGTCTCCCACAGCTACTAGTGGTACTGCTGCTGTGGCTCCTGCGGCTCCTGCGGCTGCTGTGGCTCCTGCGGCTCCTGCGGCTCCTGTGGCTGCTGAAGGGGTGAGTGAGCGAAGAGTTTGGCAAATTCATTAGACAGCATGCAGCAAGAGATTCCACAAACTTCAAAAAAATATCCTTGCTCACAGATTTTTCCTTTTGAATGTTTGGTGACAAGCATGATCACCCAAAGTAGTAGGCAAGAGGATCATGACGACGTTAAAAGGTTGACACGCGGAGATCCGGAATCAAGATGAGGCATGATTGTTTTTCATTATTATGTTGATCTTCAATAGTGTCCAGTGTTTTTGATTTTATGACATCGCCTCAATTCGCCTCACATATCTTGATTCGGAAGCCACACTCGTGTCTAGCTAATCCAAGCAGTCCTTGATGCAAACTCCTTGCTCTGAGCAGAAGCTTTCCTGAAGCGTGCACCTTGCAGAGTTTTTAGATTGCTATTTTGCCGAAGTCGTATGATTTTCAGCCCCGCGAACGCATGCTGTTGATGGAAAGCTTGGATTTTGTCCCGTCAAAGCCTAGAAATTGATGCGCTCATCTAGAAAGAGCATGAGCGTGTAAGGCACGGTGTCAGGTGAGCAAAACTGATAGGGTTAAAGAAAGTAGTCTGTTAGCACTTAAATGCTGATCATCATCAGTTTGCTCCCTTGGACTTGCTCCTGCACATTCTCACTAGTAGCTGATAACCTTGGATCCTGCTACTGGGCAAGTTCTCAGCACAAAAACTGACTGCTGCACGGAGCCTTAGTTGTGCGTCATTGATGCTGGGACATGTCCACTAATCTGGGATTAAGATGAAATTGTGATGAGGTGTCGACAACTTCCATGAAACATTGCAAATTTTAGCCAGATCCCTTAATATTTTTCGGAACCACTGAAATGCTAACCCAGATATACTCTATATATATATATATATAATATAGTTATATGGATGGAAACATAATTTCTGCATCAATTGGGATATCATGTTTGTATCACTGGGGATCTTCAATCGGGACGGTCATCTCTTGGTCCACCAACAAGCCACGCCGTCGCCGTATGTCGGGGCCATCGATTTCAGGCAGACCAAGAGCGAGTCATCCACAGTTAGCGCTGAGGCAGAGGCCATGACCCTCCACTGACCCAAGTGGATCTATTGGGACCTGAACATCTCACATTTTATGGGATATTGATGATATTGGGATTTTGATGATGAGTTTGAAAGCAGCTTGAAACGACAGTGCGGTAAACTCAATACTGTAATAAACCATCCCCTAAATCACCATAAATGGTTTCTATAAACCATCCCCAGTCATGGTACTAGTAGGTTTATGAATGGGGTTTTACCACATTAGTTGGAAAGCGGCAGAGGGTTGCAACTGCTATTGCCACCGGCAGGAAGCAGCCAGACGCCTTCAACAATTTGTCCGGAGGCAACTGCGAATCCCAGCTTCGGTGAACTTTGGATTACCCAGAACCTCCTGGGCAAGCTTCGCACTAGGGCTGTTTAACATTAGGGGATGGGAGTGATTGGAGTGCCTCCATTCTTGATATATGAGTACTCATATGTTTAAACCCTCGTTTCTGTAGCATCTAAAAGCATATTGATGGAGTTAAACATGACAAAACCAGCCATTTTGGTTTAATAATAATGTTCATTTACATTTATATACTATTTATAGTATCCAAGTATTGCCCGACATCCCACATATCCCATGGGGAATTCTACCTACCTATGTCTCTCAACCCGCATTTCTGGGGGCTGTTTGACTCACCAGCCCACGTTCGCAGGTGGCAAAAGGGGCATCGTAGCAGCGCTTCAAGGTGCCCCTTCCGGCATGAGTTTGTCTAAAACGTTTGTGGAAATCCATGGTGGTTGTCAGTTTGGCAAAACTATCTACATTTCCTGTTTTTTTTGTATCTAAAATTTATAGAATCTATAATAATTTTTGTTAATTATGTGACTGGTAGTTGGGATTGGGTTTCCAACCCTACTTAACAGTAACTATATTTAAATGCTATGCGGCTTTGCATGCACTTATGTAAGCCTAGTGATGAGATTGGGATATAAGCCCGACCGGCACATGTCTGGTCATTCTTCTTGCCTAACCATCCCAACAATCTCGAAATTGAATCCACACAATTGGTGATTTTTGCGGTTCATTGACTATCCTAGGATCATATATATATATATACACACACATATACATATATATATATAAGCCAGACCCAAATTATGGAGGAGGCTGCAGATCACAAGCTGTTGGAGCCCCGCATATTTTGGGATTGTCTTGGGGGCATCCAAATGTTCATTGTTGCCCGTTTTTCGGGTGTGTCTGAAAACTGGGTGCACCATGGTACACCCATGAAATTCTCAGTCAATCCCCCCTTTTTTTGATGCAATGCTGAAGATGCCCAGTACAGCAACACCCCAAAAAGATAGAGGTTCATAGAATCCAATTCTCAAATAGTGATATATATATATATACATATACATATATATATATATATATGTATACAGTATACATATATGTATATATATATAGAGTGATACCATCCTGCAATCAAGCGTGGCGATTGAACATACCCTGTACATGGAGCTTTATTGCTAGAAAAAAAACCATCGCGAATTTTCCAGCCACGTTTGATCCAATCCTAAAATCCTTTCAGAAAAGTGAAATCCACCCTAAAAGTAAAATCAGATTCCAACATCTACATAAATTTGTACACTATAATAGTGTTAATAGTGTTATATCACATATGATAGTGTTACCATATATCACATATGACTTTTAAATCTACCCTAGGGTAAACTATATATCTGCTCGATGTGGAAAACCATCATTTTGATCATTTTCCAATGATGTTCCTGGAGAAACCATTGGTTTTCCACATCTGTTTCGGGGGCCGATTTCAGCCACCTAGGGCCACTGCTGCAACAGCTTCAGCCTCTGGACAAGAGCCCGGGAGCCACAACAGGGCTGCGTTTGAGGAGATCAACGGGGGATTTCATTGTGGATTTCATGGTGCTTTCATGGGAAACACATGGGAAGATCATGCTAAAACATTGGTAATGTAACGTTGAGATACAGTCATACAGTAATTAATTTATAATGGTTGTACAGTCATACTGTAACTCAAAGATCATGATATTTGGGTCTGCGAAACAGGGCTGGCTTAAGCATGCAATTTCTTGGGGCGTGGGTTTTTATGGCTTTTTTTTCTTGGGGATCATGGCTTCCATGGAGATAGTGAGTTCAAACTGCGATCCCAACGGGATGATCTTCCTAGCAGGAAATGTCTCAAAATCTTGGGGCCATCCATCTATCCATCAAAATTACCCTCTGGTTATGTCAACAGTTTGCTATTGAAAATGGCCATAGATTTATAGTGAGTTTTCCCATTAATAGCATGGTGGATCTTTCCATAGCTACGTTAAATTACCAGAGGGTATGAGGTCCATCTGAGGTCCGAAAAGATCTGCTTGAGCGATTCATCCCTGCTGGAAATGTCTCGACCTCAGTTGTGCGCGCAGGAAAACGAGTTGTGAGCAGTTGAAACTAAACCCTGGCGTTGGTTGGTGATCATAGGAGAGGATACTACAGTACCCAAAGTAAGTACCGAATGGTCTGAACATGGAGATACCCGAAAATTGCAGTTTGAATGAGAAGAATGTTGGAAATGATGATCAACCACGTTATTTTGGTACAACCCTACTTGCGAAGAAACCCATATTGATGACTATCATAATCCATTGTTATCGCAATCCACATTAACCAACTATGACTTATGACAAGTGATTTTCCAAGAGGGTGCAGTGATATGTTTTTGACACTGCTCAGGTGATGTACAACTAGTGTCAGAAACAACCCGGATTGCTTGATCTCTTGTACCATGTGTATCCCCTCTGACCAGGAGTGAAAGGGTATCGCAACCAACGCCTCTAAGCTTGGAGGCTCTGGTGGTTGGAATTTCTACTCAGAGTCAGGATTTCTATGGCATTTGTCCCGATGGGTGATCCGAACTTGCCTTCAATTAAGAAGTAGAACGAACACACAACTGGTACAGTATTGCCTTTGGCTAGATTTCTGCGTTCCCTTTTTCCTCGATCTCTCCGTTTTTTCAGTAAAATCCCCAGTTTTTCCACTCCAAACTGCAGCCTCAACCCCGGACTGCTGAAGACTGGCAGGCAGAGGAAGGGTCGCAGCAGATGCAGCCCTCAGATGGAAGGCAGAAGTTGTGTCCAGAAATGGAATTCGCCATGGAAAATGGCAAGGTGAGTAGGACACATATGCTGGATGAAAAAAAAAAGGTGGGCTATAAAATCCCATATAAATTGACTCCATTAATTCCATATGAATCCCAAGATTCCATCTTGAAACCATCCCAGATAGGGGCAGATGGTTTTCTGTTCGGTTCTCATTGAATTAATCCTATTGAACCTTTAATTCCAACAACTTGCTTGATTTCATATTAATCGCATCATCATTCCATGTTACAAAACCCATTAATGTTGGTAAAACAATGCCACATATATATATATATATCAACGACCACCAGCTTCTTTCAGATATAAAACAAGCAGCAAGAGACAGAACTGGACCCTTTGCAACACAATGAATTTATACATTGACGCTTGGGACTTTGTCCCAAAGGCCTCTGGCCTCTCAAGGTAATGCTCGTGGTACTGCTCAGGATGTTGCGCCTGTTGCCTGTATTGTAGGCCGTCGCTCTTTCGCCTTCTATTTTCCTCCTTCCCTCCAGTGCAATTTTCTGAAGTATTTAATGTAGTGATTCTTTAGCGCTCGCTGATCTTAGACATAGTTAGATATTTTTCCTGATGCCGGTTTCGGGTTCTTATTTCCTCTCTTGAATTCGTCTCAATCTTTTCAGCCTGACCGGATATCATGTGTCTTAAAGGTGTTGTTCTCACTCCCAGTTTATCGCCTGTTATTTTGACTTTTTTATTTATTTAAAACGATTTTCTTAACAGTCCTCGCCCAACACAACTTGGGGCACTCCTTTTTAAGCTGTGCACGGAAGCTGCTGGGAGCCCAATGTGCTCTTGTGAAAAAACAATGCCATAAACCATCCCCGAGTCATCACCATTTTTATAGGTGGTAGTTTTACGTGCAAACCCCTCAGCTTGCCCGCGCCTACGTCCACGACGTCTCCGAAGATTAAAAACACACAGTGTTTGTGGGACAAAACGCACATGTCCATGATCATGGCTTTCATCTTGCAACGCACAGCTTAGCTACCCTGTCCGTTGAATGTTACAACAGCATCATCATCAACAACACCAAGAGCAACAACAATATCAACCCCACACCCTAAACCATAAACCCTAAAACCTAAACCCTAAAACCAACTTAAGCCTTAAACACTAAACTCCTTGACAATTCCATTGAATATACAGTTTAACGGGGGTGCGCATTTGATGATTCCCTAGAAACTCTGTTGAAACATGTTGAAGATTCCCTTGAGTGTAAAGTTTAACACGCCCTTCAATATCCTGGGGGCTTGCGCGCAGTTTTACCATTCCCAGTCATGGGTGGTTTATGGCATTGTTTTTACCAACATTACTTTCATATTACCCTCTGATTATTTAACATAGCCATGGTATAGGTGGCCCATAGAAATAGATGATTTTCCCATTAAGAAACCTCCATTTAATTTACAAGGGATTGTCCATGGCTATGTTAGTCATAACCAGGTGGTAACGAATTCATCCTGAGCCTTGTGAATTGGACCAGGCTTCGCTGCGTGCACCACGCTGCTTCGCGCATCCAGAGGGCCTGGAGGTGGAGAAATCTCTGGCGAAGCCGTGTGGAGATGATAAGGGCAGCCCACCACTAGATATTGGTGTAATGTTTACCCTCTGGTAATCAAACATGGCAATTGAAATACATGGAGGTTTGCGTGGGACAGTTAATCAATCATCTACGAATTGTGGATTTATATTATTATCATATTCAAAGTTAAAGTTGTTTGAGTATATGCGAGTGTTTCAAAAAATAAGGCTCCAAAAATAAGGCCCTGAAAACCATTCGTGTCCCGATTAAACAAGACTTCAAAGAGAATGCTCCACGCCTCCACGCAGTGGGCAACAGATCCTTGCATAGTCTGAGAAGAACCGGTTGTTTAAGTGTATGAAAGGACATGCGAGCAAAGATCGTCGAAGATCTAGTTTTCGTACTGCATAATACAATATAAAATAATATAGTACAATATGTATATATTGTGCAATATATACACAGTGTATATATATATACAGTATATATATATACATACATAAGTTACGCATAATAAGTTAGATAAGCATGTGTATACATATGAATTATATACTGTACCATGTCCATCTACATGATTTGCAGCGACTCCAGCTCTTCGGTTCTCAGGATCTCACGCTGGCGCAGATGTTTTGTAGATTTCTCCCGGCATCAGGCGACTCGTTGACCGGGGGGATTCATTCAATGGTGATTTCCATGGGGACTGAACCGTCATTTCTGGTGGTTTTGTGAGAGCTTCACCTCCGAAGATTTTTTGGGATGTCGTTGATGGGTGATGCTTGGTGGTTGTGCGGGGGTTAAACTTCTACTTGGTTTCTTGCGGATTGTACGGACCGGAATCCCTATCAACCAAGCAGCATTTCGTGCGGTGTCACGAGTTGAACACTGCTGAAATGTATGAAACTGACACATGATCTTTGACACTGGACGGTGTCATAGTAACCATAGTAAGCAGCAAAAAACTATGAAGAACACAGTGACAGTCAGTGACATCAATTTATCACCACTTTAACAGGATTTTTATAGATTTTTAGCAACTTCGATCTTTATTGGGGACAAGCTTTCACCATTTGTTTCCTGGTGAAAGGTTGGCTGGCTCGGCAGCTTGAGCTGGCTCAGGAGGCAGGTTGTGATGGGTTATAGTAGGGCTATAACAATTAAATACATTTATATAATGTCAATTAGTAACTAATATTTAATTACATACAGATTTATAACAACTATAAATCATGGTAATATATGGTAATATATGGTAGTATAATACATTTATATTATGTTAATGGGATCTATAACCATACTGAAAGGTTCGATAACTTTTGATTTTCATATGGCTAACCCAATGCCATAAACCTACCATGACTGGGGATGGTTGATGGCATTGGGTTTACGCCATTATTCTTATTTAAGGAACTCCTCGTAGATCACATCTACACGAAGATCATCTGTATCTCAAATATCAAAATATCTGTGATCGGATATTTCTACAGCAACTAGATGTTATTTGTGGAGGACTAGGATTTGGCAATGGTACATCCCCGAACCTCTAAATGGACATTCCAGGAGACATGATTGAACAAAAAATGGGGGAATGGTCCAGCAAGCCATGTGGGATTTTTACAGTAACTACATGTGTTTTTCTCACATTTGGATATAATTATACAATATTATACATAATATAGTATGATGTAGTATTCCCCCAAAATAACATGGAACTGCATGCTACTCCTGAGGTCCCCTAACATGAACCTATGGTACGGTCTCAAGTGGGTGCGGAGGTCCACTTCACCAGGGGTAACACGGGGTAACCACAACGAGGTAACCGGGGAAGGCCACACCGGGGAAGCCTACAACGGGGTACTACAACGGGAGGGCCACCCCATGGAACTGTTGGTTGAGCACTAAATGGCAGCTTGTGGGGTTCTATATTAATATGACAAGTAGCCCAAAAGTGCCCGAAAATATCAAAATTCACCAACACCAACATGGCACCTACCTGGCACTTATCCTGCTCATGAATTTTAACATGGGTGCGCTAACATGGAACCTTTTTTTTGCCCCACGTTGGTTTTCAGGAGAGTAATATAATATAGTCTAATATAGTAAGATATTATGCATATGCGTTGTTAAAAAATGTCACATGTTCACTCGTATGGTTTTTTCGCGGCTGTGGTTCAAACAATGATGAACCCAAATTTATTGGATGACTACCAGCCAGACGTGGTTGGATTTGCCACATTTTTTACCTCCCCAAATGATTTATGAGCAGAAAAAAATAAGGCGTTACCAAATCAGGGGTTCTTGTGGTATTAAACCCATCCAGGAATATTCACCAAGATTGTGTATTTTCTGGCTACCCTCTGGTACTTTAACATAGCTATTGAAAATGATCATTTATAGTGGATTTTCCCATTGAAAATGGGGATTTTCCATAGTTTTTTGTATGTTTACCAGAGGGTAATCCAACTGGTGAATGGGACTGGGCATGCATCAGTTTCGCTAACGAACAGCCCCTTGTGGGAAAAGGATTTTATGCGATGGATAACCATGCCCCAGATTTTTCTGAATCGGATGAATAGAAAATATGCAGGACAGCCCTATATCTGATGGCAATTCCATGGCAATTCCCTTGAGAATTTTCCCCTTCAACTCATGCAATGCTGCAACTTGACCATGACGATACCGATAAAAACACCTTAAGTTGGTTATCTACCCAGGGTTTTTCGCCATGGTATATCCCAGGAATTTTACATCTTGGCTGAATTCTGATGAATCCCATTGAAACATCATTTGGTTTATATGTGGTTAATATACTGTTAATAATGGTTAATGATGATGATTATTATATGGTTAATGATGGTTAATAGTAATCTGGTTGGTGGTTGACCTACCCCTCTGAAAAATATGGAACTCAACGACGATTACGACCGACTTGATGGAGGTCATGGTCCCATGGTCCCAAAGATGTGGAAGATCCCCGACGAAACAACAAATGGTTTCTGGGGGGTGTTAAAATGATGAACGGGGGAAGGGATTATATCCCAGTATATTCACCAATAAATCCCAATTATATAATCATTCATCACCATGATTAACAACTATATGTTCCCATACTTAACCATTCTTAACCATTCTTAACCATTCTTAACCACTATTAACCAAAGTTGTAGCAAGTTTTAGTAAGTTTTTCAGGTCACCCCGGCCAAGTCCGCGCAGACTTAGCCAGGCACCACTGCCTCTATGGCAACGAACTGGCGGACAGCGAAGATGTGCGCTGGTGGCTGAAACAGCGCCAGGGTGCGCCCTTGGATCATCAGGCAGGGAGCCCTTGGGGACGACGGGACGACGGGACGACGTTCGGAGAAGGTGGTGGTGGTGAAGGGTGGGTGAACGGTGATGATGGTTTGTTGCTTGAAGAAAACCATGGAAGATGTGATATATTTTGATATAAAACGGGAATCATATGAGAATATCTGATGCAGAAGCAACTTGATATGAATTTATATGAATGGATTTGTTCGGAGATGGTGCTAAATCTTCAATTGGCAACGCTGATAGAGGGAAATTATGATTCACCAGTGGATTTAGGGGAACTCTCTGGTAGTCAAACATGGAAAGCTGGGAGCCCCTTGAGTGGGAAAATCATCGACAAGAATGAGGGAATGTCCAGCAAAGCATGTTTGATTACCAGAGAGTGAACTAGTTACCCTCTGGTTATGACTAACAGTTCGCCATGGTATAGATGGCCCATAGAAATAGATGGTTTACCTATTAATAGCATGGTGATTTTCCATGGCTATGTTAAATAGCCAGAGGGTAACTTGGGCAGGGTTACTGGTTTTTCCCGGACTGGAGCTGGGAGCTGAGGTTGATCCGTGGGGCTTCCACAGATTGCAGGAACACCTGCTCTTTGCTCAGACTCAGTTGCCGCGTGTCACTCTGACTGGTCGCTGATGTTTTGAACCTGTTCTCTTTATCAAAATCGGACAGTCACCCTTCAGTAAACTAGTTCTTTGCTATGGAAAAAGGCTCCTTTTGTGATGATTTACCGAACGTGGTGATTTTCATCTTATATAAGTCTTAAATAAGTTATGTTGGTTACCAGACAGTGCTAAGCAATATTCCACTCCCCATTATACCACCATCTCTGTTACTTAATCTGATGTTTTTCCATTGATTTCAGGGCTCGAACGTGGCAAAGATCCTCAAAACCTTCCAGGCTGGGGTCCGCTTCGCGCTAGTGCTTCATGATTTGCTTATGGGTAAAGAATGGTATAAGAGTATAGGAACTCTCAAAAGGATAGGAGTTAGTGAAATCCTACTAAACTAGTAAGAAAGAGTACCTTTCTATACCTTTCTATTAGATACCTTTTTCGGGGCTACTATGTCTTAACGTTGGGTGGTTGGCTGTGCTCCATCGCCCTCGCGCTGTCGCGGCTTGCCAGGTCATCCTCAACGGCAGGCCCTAGCGTTTCGGGTCCGTCACGGTCATTGGTTTCGAGTGCCAAGGCCCTGGGCTTGGGCTGAGTCACTGGTGGTATTACCCTCTGGTTATTTAACATAGCTATTGAAAATAGCCATTTATAGTGGATTTTCCCATCAAAAATGGTGATTTTCCATAGTTATGTGAACGTTTACCAGAGGGTAAAGCCATGGGACATGGGATGGCCAACAGACCCCAATTGGACCTGAGGATTGGGGATGGCTTAGCGATGGCTGAGGATTGGTGCCCAAATCCGTGACGCGAATCCCTAGCCACCGGCACAAGACTTGCTGTTTTTGATGGTTTTTGTGATGCTTCGTGCCTAGTTCGGAAAATGATGGCAATTTGACTAGAATTTTTCAAGTGGGACACCTGCGACTGGACCAGGACGTGGTTTTCAGCCTTTCAAATCTGACTCCAGGCACCAACTATGCCTGTCCCTGGTGCTGAGGGAAGGAGCATGAAAATGTTGTGGAAGAGGGCTGTGTTGTTGATCTTTGAGGCACCCACTTGTACTGTTGAGATTCAACAACACTATTTCAGTGTGTGTTTGTTGATGTTCATGAAACTCACATCGGTACCATTACAATATCCTTCTAGCAGTTCTTTGCTGCATTTTTTGTTGGTCATGGGCAAGATCCCTATTGTTGCCCAACCACCATTTTCTGTGGGTTATATAAATCAAAGCAATCCCCACTTTTGAATCTGTTCTGTTAAATAGTTAAATAACAATTGTTGATTGTTAAATCATCATTATTGCTGGTTAAATCCAACTGTTAGTCAAATCAGTAACTCTTTGTAATAGACGCCTCCCTCCAGGAGGCATGTTTCCACCATCTTCCCTGCGCGACCGTTGCAGGCGGTGGGGGAAGCTCCACATGGGGTACAAAATTGCAACTGTTAGAGGGTACCCTCTGGTAAACTGACATACGGTATATAACTATAGAAAACCACCATGTTTTATGGGTAAATCAACTATACATGGCCATTTTCAATAGCTATGTTAGTTTACCAGAGGGTAACATGACGATGAAACCAGTGGATTAAGGGTGCCCGTCATCGTCGTCGCCGCTGTTCTCGTCGTCCTCATTGAAAAATGCCAATTGGCTGGATAATGAACAGGATTCCACCTTCACCCCTCTACCAGGCTCTACCAGGCTCTACCAGGCTCTACTAGACTCTACCATCAACCACTCTTGGTATCAGGTGTTGGTGCTGATGTTTGGTGCTGATGTGCGGTGCTGATCTTCAGCTCACATCCACAATATGGGTGTGGATGAAGCACTTAAGGACCATCCACAGAATCGCCATTGTTGGTAGCCCAAGCCAAGCTATTCTTGGGGGGGAGCCCCCAGCTTCGACCCATCACAGGCACATCGTGCTGAGGCGCGCGGCTTTCACGGGCCTGAAACAGGATGGCAAAGTCTATAACTGGGGGGGATGTATATTCCATATTATTCCATCATATTCCATCATATTCCCATGTACGGTGATGTAAGGTTAGAGGTACCTCGAATCTCCATCATCCCCATGGATACTTCCACCTTTATCCATCTAAAAATCCCACAGATCAGGATAGGAATCGACCCCGCACCGCGGAAGGTGCCGCCAAGGGGCAAGAACCCCCGTGGGATCCCCGGAGCTCAGGGTTGACCCCCCTGGTGGTTGATGATTAGTTGGAGGGTAGCGAATAGGTACCCAAAAAATCTTAAGATATCTTAAGTTGGGATGATCATAGGATCATATCCTTCATAAATGGTAGTTGATGGGTCATGAAAACGGGGGTTATACTATGTTATACTACAGTAATTCAATGGGATCATAATCCATGAACTGGGAGATGTTTGTTCTTCACCAAACAGTTTTTGATGTAGGTTAGATTAGAACGACCTCACTGCGACGTCTCTGTAAATCATGCTCAGTTAGGGTACAGTAAGTATCCCAAAATGGTATATAAAACATATTGTAATAGGACATGATTTATCATGATTAATCCAGATGAATGGGGAGTTTGGTTTTACAACAGCAGCGGGGTTGATGAGGGTGCCATTCGATATTTTGGATTTGTCAACACAATAATACGGTATGCAACACTCGAAGCCAAAGCTTTACAACAAATATTCTATATGGGCCTGATCTAGAAGCCATACAGTATCCGGAAACATGTGTCTTCACCATGGTTTCTATACGGAGGTTCCTAAGTCATGGGGCTACCCCCAGTTCTCCATTTTTCCCGAATGCGTAGCAAGGGTTCCCGTTTCACTCTGGGGGTCTGGGGGTTGAGGGTGTGTTCGCTCGACGTTGCGTTCGCGAGCGCAACCGTCCGCAACCGTCCGTACGAACTCCGTATGGCCGTGCCTATGGGAAGTTTTGCAGAGGTGGTCCTTTTTGGAGGTTTCAGACGTCTGGTTGCTTCGTTTCGCGTGGCAGGCGTGGCACTTCGTGACATTCAGACGTGTTCTGCAACGTGTCGAAAGTCGTTTTGCGTGGCAGGCGCAATACTTTTGCGACGTTTTCAGAAGATGTGTTGCAGTTTTCGTGGCAGGCGCAGCACTTTGGACGTGTCCATCGTCATTTTTCGTGGCAGGCGCAGCACTTTAGACGTGTCCTGTTGCGTGTTTTTTGTAAATCGCATTGGCAGGGCTGCGTCAAGTGGTGAAGAGGTGCAAATTCCGTGGCAGGCGTGGCATTTTCTGCGATGTGCAAAAATTGACGGAAGCCTCGCACGAAACATCGATTTTGAGGTTGCAAATTTTCAGGTTCTAAGGAAAACTCGTAGGAAAACGTCGATTTTGAAGCTGCAAAGTGTGAAAATTGGAGGAAGTCTCGCACGAAATGCTCGTTTTGGTGCTCCCACCTGTCTCGTCTCGCGTCTCTGGTTTTCCCGTGGCCTCGCCGTGTCTATGGGGGAAGCTGCAAAACTTGTCCTTTTGTCATGTTGCCAACTGTGAAAATCGCCGGAAGTCTCGTACGAAATGATCGTTTTGGTGCTCCCACGTGTCTCGTCTCGAGTCTCTGGTTTTCCTGTGGGTTCGCCGTGTCTATGGGGGAAGCCGCAAAACCTCTCCTTTTCGAAGGTTTCCAAGGAAGTTGTCATGTCGTTTTGCGTGGCAGGCGTGGCACTTTGTGACATTCCAACCTGTTTGATAATGTGTCAAAAATGTCAAACTTGGAGGAAGTCTCGCACAAAATGCTTGTTTTTCTGCATCCACGTGTCTTGTCTCGAGTCGCTTGTTTTTCTGTGGCGTAGCCGTGTCTATGGGGGAAGCTGGAAAACCTGTCCTTTTCGAATGTTTCCAAGCAGGTTGTCATGTTGTTTTGCGTGGCAGACGTGGCACTTTTTGACATTCCAACCTGTTTGATAACGTGCCGAAAGTGGCTCTGGTTTTCTAGACACGTCCCCGTGTCTATGGGGGAAGCTGCAAAACATCTCCTTTTCGAAGGTTTGTACGAACTCCGTATGGCCGTGCCTATGGGAAGTTTTGCAGAGGTGGTCCTTTTTGGAGGTTTCAGACGTCTGGTTGCTTCGTTTCGCGTGGCAGGCGTGGCACTTCGTGACATTCAGACGTGTTCTGCAACGTGTCGAAAGTCGTTTCGCGTGGCAGGCGCAATACTTTTGCGACGTTTTCAGAAGATGTGTTGCAGTTTTCGTGGCAGGCGCAGCACTTTGGACGTGCCCATCGCATTTTTCGTGGCAGGCGCAGCACTTTAGACGTGTCCTTTTGTGTGTTTTTTGTAAATCGCATTGGCAGGGCTGCGTCAAGTGGTGACAAGGTGCAAATTCCGTGGCAGGCGTGGCATTTTCTCACATGTGCTGAAAATTGACGGAAGCCTCGCACGAAACATCGATTTTGATGTTACAAATTTTCAGGTTCTAAGGAAAACTCGTAGGAAAACGTCGATTTTGGAGCTGCAAAGTATGAAAATTGGAGGAAGTCTCGCACGAAATGCTCGTTTTGGTGCTCCCACCTGTCTCGTCTCGAGTCTCTGGTTTTCCTGTGGCCTCGCCGTGTCTATGGGGGAAGCTGCAAAACTTGTCCTTTTGTCATGTTGCAAACTGTCAAAATTGGAGGAAGTCTCGTACGAAATGATCGTTTTGGTGCTCCCACGTGTCTCGTCTCGAGTCTCTGGTTTTCCTGTGGCTTCGCCGTGTCTATGGGGGAAGCCGCAAAACCTCTCCTTTTCGAAGGTTTCCAAGGAAGTTGTCATGTCGTTTTGCGTGGCAGGCGTGGCACTTTGTGACATTCCAACCTGTTTGATAATGTGTCAAAAATGTCAAACTTGGAGGAAGTCTCGCACAAAATGCTTGTTTTTCTGCATCCACGTGTCTTGTCTCGAGTCGCTTGTTTTTCTGTGGCGTCGCCGTGTCTATGGGGGAAGCTGGAAAACCTGTCCTTTTCGAATGTTTCCAAGCAGGTTGTCATGTTGTTTTGCGTGGCAGACGTGGCACTTTTTGACATTCCAACCTGTTTGATAACGTGCCGAAAGTGTCTCTGGTTTTCTAGACACGTCCCCGTGTCTATGGGGGAAGCTGCAAAACATCTCCTTTTCGAAGGTTTCCAAGCAGGTTGTCATGTCGTTTTCCGTGGCAGGCGTGGCACTTTGTGACATTCCAACTTTACACTCTACACTTTACACTCCGCACTCCACAGTTTTACACTCCTCACTCCACACTTTACACTCCACTCTTCACTCTCCACACTCTACACTTTACACTCTACACTTTGCACTCTACACTTTACACTCTACACTCTACACTCCAAACTTTACATTTTAAATTCTACACTTTACACTTTACACTCCTCCCTCCACACTCCACACTCTACACTTTAAACTCCACACTCCACACTCTACACTCCACACTCTACACTTTACACTCCACACTCCACACTCTACACTTTACAGTCTACACTTTACACTCTACACTCCACACTCTACACGTTACACACTCTACACTCCCCACTCCACACTTTACACTCCACACCCCTTACTTTACACTTCACACTCCACACTCCACACTTTCCACTCCACACTCTACACTTTACATTTTTCACTCCACACTCCACACTGTACATTTTACACTCCTCACTCCACACTTTGCACTCCACACTCCACACTTTCCACTCTGCACTCTGCACTTTAAACTCTACACTGTACACTCCACACTTTACATTCTACACTCTACACTCCACACTTAACAGTTTACACTGTACACTCCTCACTCCACACTTTACACTTCTCACTCCACACTCCTTACTCTACACTCCACACTCCACACTCCATACTTCACACTCCACACTTTACACTCCACACTCCACACTCTACACTTTACACACTCTACACTCCCCACTCCACAAATTACACTCCACACTCCTTACTTTACACTCCACACTCCACACTCTACACTCCACACTTCACACTCCACACTCTACACTTTACACTCCACACTCTACACTTTACATTTTTCACTCCTCACTCCACACTTTGCATTTTACACTCCTCACTCCACACTTTGCACTCTACACTCCACACTTTCCACTTTAAACTCTACACTTCACACTCTACACTTTACACTCCACACTTTACACTCTACACTCCACACTGAACACTTTACACTGTACACTCCTCACTCCACACTTTACACTTCCCACTCCACACTCCTTACTCTACACTCCACACTCCACACTCTACACTCCACGCTCTACACTCCACACTTTACACTTTACACTCCACACTCTACACTTTCCACTCCACGCTCCACACTCTACACTTTCCACTCCACACTGCAGACTGGTAACAAGTGAAACATGTACAAGACTGTTCAAATAAACAATTGCAGGAAAGTGTTCTGCGTGACTGCATAACCATGTGTTTCGACATCTGTAGCATGAACATACGTGTGAGCATTCGGGTTCGTGGGCTTCATCTTGTTTGTTGGGGTTTTCCAGACTTTTCCAGTATAAAGCATCCATTCATAGGGGTATGCCCCTGGAAACCCTCATTTGCCACCAAGGTCTCAATTCCCAGTGCTCCTTTCCGGGCCATCAGTCCTCCTTGAATCTGCGGAGGCCAGGGCTGGTTGTTTTTTTCCGGGGCTGGGCAGATGTGGCCTGGGGTGTAACTTTGGTAGACTGCAAAAAATCCTATGAGTTTAGAAAGTGTGTATATATATATATACACTGGTACTCGGCGAGTACTCGGTACACGTACATATAATGGAAAGAATGATGTATAATCTGTATACAACTATATATAGCTTGGTATAATCTATATATATATATTGTATACATTCTATACATTCTATGTATTCTATATATATATATATTCTATATATTCTATATATTCTATATATTCGATATATTCTATATATTCGATATATTCTATATATTCTATATATTCTATATATTCTATAAAACTTATATAATTTTTACAACTTATACGACTTATATAACTTATACAACTTATACAACTTATATAACTTGTATAACTATATAATATAACTTATATAACTTATATAACTATAGCTACCCTAGACTAGAGGTCGTTTGGTGTTTTTAGCTCGACGAAGATACAATTCACAAACGGCAGGTGCGGATCGGTGACAAGCAAGGTCCCTGACAGGAGCTGGGGATTTCCCAAGCACTGGGAATAATCATAGGGATTGTCTAACCAATATGGGTATGGGTCAATACCTATAGATACATTTTTAGGGGGATGAACATCCATTTACCAGCTATTTTGATGTTCACCAGGGGTACAAGGTTTTGACACACTGCCATATGGTTGATTGTGGTAATGAACCAGTGCGATTATCCCAAATGTGGCAGAAAGAGGATACAAACCCATCATATTGTATATGGGGGTTTCCTAAAATGGGGGAGCCCAATAGCTGGATGGTTGATTTCATGGAAAATCCTATTGAAATGGATGATAACTGGTGGTACCCCCATTCTAGGAAACCTCCTTCTAACCAACATGGTTACCCTCTGGTAATTTGTTACATAGCTATTGAAAATTGCCCATTTATAGTTGATTTACCTATGAAAGTGGTGATTTTCCATAGTTATGTTAGTTTACTGGAGGGCAACCAATATGGTTAACCAACAATGATATTGTTAATCACTATGAATAACCAATATTTGACCATATTTAGAGCAAACAACATGTGGTTATCATTGATCTACCATAGGAATATAGCTAACCAATATGGCTATGGATCAATACCTAGAAAAGATGATACCATTTTTCCTTTCCAAGGGGATGAACGTCCAGCAAAATCCCAGCGTTTTTTTGATGTGAACAGAAGGGGTGTTGGCAGTGGGTTTTGACCCACTGCCATATGGTTGATATATATATATATGTTGATAACAGTTCATAGGGATTTCTCGCAAGCTGGTAATATTTCATAGTTAATATTATATTATGATACAAGTATGATACATCTTCATTTGTAGTTACTATAATATGATACAAGTATGATACATCTTAATTTGTAGGCAAAGATGTTGACGGGAATATAATTAATGAATATGATTCATGATACTGTATTTGGATGTGTCTGAAATTGGGAAATATTTTCATCTGGTGGATTTCATGGAAGGTACTGGGATATAGCCAGAATATATATATATATATAATTATATATATATACCCTCTGGTAAACATACAAAAATAAACTATGGAAAATCGTCATTTTTAATATGTAAATCAACTATAAATGGTCATTTTCAATAGCTATGTAACAAATTACCGGAGAGTAATCAATGTGGTATTTGGGTGTGTCTGAACATGGGGGACTTTTTTCTGCCAATGTTTTTTTGCGACTCTTTTATAGGGAAAAATATATTAGTGATGTTTTAACAAGAAACATGTGGAAGTCTCATTTTCACATAGCATTTTTTATAGGGAAAATGATGAGTCGAGCACCATTTTCTCCAGTGGATCGGGTACCCCATTCTTGGACACACACACACACATCAGGTTTCGTTGTTGAATTTGGGTAGGTCAGAATCTGAGACCCAGATTTTCGAGTGCTGATTTTGGTCCATTGAAAAACCGCAATTTCTGGGATACCCATTTTTGACGTATACCAATTTCTGGCAATCCCGTGGCTTATGCATCGGGCCTTATACTGCCAAGCTAGCTGGGGATAAAATTGCAGCCCGACATTTATGCGCATGACTTTAAGCCTCAAACTTGCGAAGTGAGTGTGTTTCTTTGCAGTGTGATCTTGTGTGAACAGCTGTGGAAAGTCTTTATTTGGGTTTGTCTGAAAATATGGTATATTCCCAATTATAGCCATTTAATAGGGATAATGATCATTAACCATTGGGATTAGGGGTACACTATTTTCAGACACACCCATTTTGCGCAGGACTTTGCAAACGCTTCTTCGGTCTGGCTCCAGACCGACAATGCACAGATAGGCTCACGGATTTCTTGGGCACCAGCTCTTTGGAGTCGCTGAATTTTTTGGCCTTGGATTTTGCCCCAGGTATCCAAAGTTCCAAGATACCTCAATTAATCTCAAGCTGAAAATGATATCAATTCAAAAACCGGTAAGCCCAAAGTTCCATTTTGTTGGACAATTTTCAATCCACAAGAATATACAAGAATGTTGTTCAGATTTGTGTGGAGAAAATGACAGGGGGCAAAAACATGCAAACGCATGCAAACACAAGATATGTTTACGAATTGGATCGAATTTGTTGAACAGAAGTTCTGGTTTATTTTGTTTTTCCCCAGCCAGGTGAGGGTCTCTAGATTTTAAGAAAGGTACGATTCCTCCTTCCTTCTTCCTTCTTCTTCTTCCTCTGCCATATCGCCGGCACTGTGGGAACCAACGGGCCCGGATCTCACAGCAAGTGCCAGCTCAAGTAGAGTAATCTTGCTGCCCAAACTTGGCAAAACAATTGGTAACGACTAAGGACAATTCATGACCTTGTCCTTCTCCCCTCGTCCTCCAGCTCCGTAATCGCAAGCTGCAGACAGCGTCAAATTTCAGTGCCGGACCTCGGCGGGTTTTAATGTCAGATAATTTCAGTCGGCATTGCCGGACCTCAACCATGAATGCCAGATATCAGATAGAATAATAAATCATAATAAATCGAATAATAGAATATATTATAATATTATATATATATAAATTATTAAATAAATTCAAATAAAATAATCAATAAAATATTAAAATATATAATGAATAACATATCCAACAAAATATTATACAAAATATTGAATACGGAATACAATATTATATATTAGATAGAATGCCAAATATAATTATTAAATATATATCGGAATGAAATGTTAGAATAAATATTTTGATAAACCATCATACAATAAATAATATATATAATTATATATATAATGGTAATATTTCTCTCAAAAAAATATTATTATTATAATATGAATTTTAGAATTATATATATATATATATATAATTTATTATTACATAAAACGGGACGCCTGTCGAAAAAGTGGGCGCCCCTGTCGGAAACCCGACACTTGTACCCGGAATTGATCCAATACATCATATAATTATGCCAAAAGTCCCAAATTTTCCGGAAATTTCGGACGAACCCCCGAATTTTCACGGAAATTTGGCGATTTAGGAATTTCCTAAAGTGGCAAATTTTCCGGAAAATTGGTGCTTCGGGATTTTGACCAAACCGCGAAATTTTCCCGAAAATTGGTGCTTCGGGAGGTCGACTCAACCGCGACTTTTGGCAGAACAACTCGCATCGCAATGCCTGATTTGGGGGTACCCGAATTTTGGGACAACGGGATGCTTGTCGAAAAAGTGGGCGCTCCGGTCGGAAACCACGTATTTATAGCCGGAATTGATGCAATATACCAGTAGTACCGCACAAGGAGGTGGCGGAAGTTTCAAAAATAGGAAACCTATAGGAGAGATTGGTTGTTGTGAATCCGGGATGGCAGAGCGAATCCACTGATGGACCGAAAGATGCTTGAGGTCTCCTCTCTTTCTAATTACCTATCTATCTATCTATCCATCTATCTGTCTGTCTGTCTATCTGTCTGTCTGTCTGTCTATCTGTCTAGCCATCTATCTATCTATCTATCTCATCTACCCAGCTGGCCTCTCTCTCTCTCTCTCTCTTTCATCTAATTACCTATCTATCTATCTATCTACCTACCTATCTATCTATCTCTCCCTTTCATCTGTCTATCTGTCTACCTGTCTATCTGTGTTGCAGTGTCATTCAGTGTAATGTAGTGTGGTGTAGTGTAATTTAGTGTAGTGGAGTGTACTGGAGCGTAGTGTAGTGTAATGTAGTGTACCGGAGTGTAGTGTGTAGT